CGGAATCGTACCATGACCGCCATGATGTTGGTTACGAGGCTCCACAGTTCCTCAGGCTTGCTAATAAGCGATCAAACAATCCGAAATCGTTTACGTGAAGTGGGTCTGCGATCCCGAAGGCCGCTCAGAGTTCCACCTATTGCACCCTGCAATCGCAGGACCCGTTTACGATGGGCTCGCGAACACAGAAACTGGGAGGAAGAAGACTGGCGCTATGTGTGCTTTTCGGATGAATCCCGCTTCGGTATGAGACCGGATACAAGACGTACTCGAGTTTGGAGAACATCTGGATGCCATGAACGTTTGAGATATTGTCAGGAAGTTCATCCATATGGTGGGGGGAACAATAATGATATGGGCCGGTATTTGGATCGGCGGAAGAACCGATCTCATTTGGATCAGGGGTAACCTCAATGCTCAAGTTTACGCAGAGAGGATTGTTTCAGATGTTATCATCCCTTTGCGAGGCCAGTTGGGTGATTCATTTCAACTAATGCATGACAACGCACGTCCACACACGGCTAGAGTCGTAACACGCATTCTTGCCGAAGCTCGTATCAACGTTCTGCCGTGGCCTGCTCAATCGCCAGACCTCAATCCAATTGAGCACGCATGGGATATGCTTCAAAGAAGAGCTGTGCCGAGTATGCATACCGTACATACTCTACAACAATATTTTGACTTGTTACAAAACACATGGGCGGCCATTCCTCAAAGTGATTTTGATGAACTCATCTTAAGCATGCCAAATCGCTGTAATTGTGTGATTCGTGTTAATGGTGGAAATACAGATTATTAATTTTCTTATCTTTACAATAAAAATGAGCAAAATCATCATTTTCGCCATTTTTTTGTCATTTAATTGACGCCGTTAATTTGAGTTTTTTCCCACAATTTGCAAAAACATCAATTTTAGTTTATTTTAATTAAATATAGGGGTAAGCGGTTAAATAAAACATAAGCATTAAAGTAAGAAGTCGTCCTGGAAGACTGGATTTGGTAAATATTGCTTAAATAATTTTTATTTCAAAAATATTCACTTGATCCCTAGACACTTTTGATGTGTGTATATAGCTTTAGCAAGTACGGAAACTTTATAATTTATTTTTTTCTAGGAAACGGCTCTTCAGTCAAAAATCAAAATTGATCTCTTTTTATAAAACCACTGACGCCATTCAAACCCTGTTCATAGAAAATGAAAGACTTACTATTTTGGGATATTCTAGAGGTCATTGGATTATCTGACCGTAGGTACAAATAAAGATAAGACGTATTACTGGTGAGATCAGATCCACAAATTTCTAGTATTCGCCCCCCTACCTTTAAAAGCAATATTCCACCAGAGTTAATGACACACCTCAAATTGAAAGCTAATGTGAAGTTGGCAAAAAGTAATAATTTTGTGCATAATTATATAAAAAAATTGGAGTTTTTATAAATTATGTTTATAAAAAATCCAAAACTATATATGTATGTACTGTATCCGCATTTATTAAATAAACTTCAAGACATAAAACAAAAAGTCAGTGGTTTTGATTTTCGTCCTTCTAAATTGTGATTTTTTATCAATGTGCGCCGCGCCCACGTCTGCACTCTGAATGAGTCATTACAAGTCTCCAAAAACACAAAGGTACAATATTTCTTTGAGAAATAAGAACTTACATTACTCTTAGCAAGCGTGGGTATCCAGTCCTCATAGAGCAAAAGTATACGGTAGCGACGCATAAAACAGCCGACGTATGAAATAAAAGCGGTCACCAATAATACATCGCCCGGTAGCAACATTCCCGATTCTTTTAGATTATGAACTGTGGCAGTCCATCTAGAATACAGAACAGAACGTGACTAAGCTATGGAATTTGGGTTAAAGGGTTGTTAGAGGACAAAGAATATACTCAATATTACACTAACATTTCAAAAGTTTAGTCTGACAATATTTGGAATACTATGCAGAAAAACATCGTGATGAAACCTGCACGTCGAAGAAAGTTCACAACACTCGGAAAACGTGTGAAGTCCTCAACCCGCGTTGGACCCGTTACAAGTTTATAGGTATTTCGTTAGAATACGAAATGACAATTGCAAGTGAAGTCAAGAATCGCTACCGAATTTTCTCCGAGGCTAATCCGTTGACTAATCGGTTAGCTAAGTCGATAGTAGCAGTGGTAGCGTCGGCTTCAGCCTGGCACTTCATCTTCTCATTCACAGCTTCCTGGAATGCTTTCAGCAAAACTTCCAGTTTCGCTTCCAATTCCTGTTAAATACACAAAACAATCAAATCTACTTCCCTAGTGATGGTTTCACCTAGAATCAGAAGTAAACGCTTTTTGTAGATTTTATATAAATTTATTTAATGAATCCAGTAATGGATGATAACGCACACACACTCATAATCCATATACTCATAGCTCCGCACTAAGGAAACCCTGTGTCGCGGGAGCCATGGGCACACACATAGACAATCACAAATTACACCCAAACTTACGAGAGAGACAAATGTAGGCCATACAAACATTATTCGATTTTTAATTCGGGACTTAATCACGTATAAAACATTTTATTTCGACGTTTCGGACATATTGCAACGTCCATGGTCCCGAAGGGACTGAAGAGGCGGGTGTCAGCATCTTCTAGCCGTGCGTGTTTTTCTAACTACCCGCACTTGATCTTCATTATTTATTTGTGCACTAGGGTACTCACTAGACCGACAAACAACACTCACGACGTCCGGCGACTCGTCGGGAGATATTTGATGTCGTTTACATTTGTTGATAACTGGATCCCATGACGATGAAAGCTTAAAACCGTCTTCTCGGTTGTAATTACGGTGTTTTTTAATTTCAATAGCTTCACGTACGATTTTACTATAGTGATGACGTTCTGTAGAAAGGATCTTGGGATTATGAAGCTCAATCCAATGGTTTGACACCCGCCTCTTCAGTCCTTTCGAGACCATGGACGTTGCAATATGTCCGAAACGTCGAGGTAAATAAAATGTTTTATACGTGTCCCAAATTAAAAATCAAATAATGTGTGAAAATCGTGAAAGTTTAAATCAAAGTATCATACAAACATTTCTCCATGCCGGGAATCGAAACCGGGACCTCTGCGTGGCAGACCAGTACGGTAACCATTAGGCCACGGAAGCAGTTGAAATTATGAATACTTTTTAATTTCATTTTAATTGTCGTGTTGAAATTAGCTAATACTAACGGAGATCTGGTCAGTGAGAAAGGCCAGTTTCTCACGAGCGGCCGCGAGCTCGGCGTTGGCAGCATTAAGAGCGCGTCGCTTGGGCTCGACGACAACATACACGTCGTAGAATTTCACGATGTTTATCACCCACGAGCATAGCCCGGCTGCCGCAGCCGACTTCGACATTATGAATGTTGGATTGAAATCTGGGTTCTTGATGTATGGCAACACCGCCTGTAAGTTGTGTGATAATCAAATGCCAAAATCCATTAGTAATTTAAAAAATACTTCAAGACAGTTTATCACTTGCAAAAAAAAAATAAAAATGTGCCGTTTCTTATTTATGTGTAAGTTTTAGAAAAAGATCAAAATGAGACAGCGTTTTGCAATGTTTAACTTTAACTAAAACTTTAAAGTCAACTTAAGTTACAAAACTCACCTGCACAATTTAAAACTGCGAATCAAAGAATACTTATAACATACCTTAATAACATCAGGATGAATATTTTCCTTATCAAAGTAGACCAAATCGTTCAAAAACTGATCCACTTTACCCATCAACAGCTGAAACCAGATTTATTTTCGTGTGAATACTAAAAGCAGAGTAAAATTAATTCACATTATCTCCCAAGGTTGTTGAATCCCAAGATAGTTCACCTTACAAGCCTTCCAAGATCTGTCCTTGGGAATCTTGCCCTTTTTCGCAAACAGCACAAGCACAGCCGCACAAACGTTAACGACGAGGTCGGGCGGAGAACCGAAGGACTTCAACTCAGTCAAGTTGTTTTTATTCAGAGTGTTTAAAGCTTCTTGGGCCGCCAACAATGCGGGCTCAGCTTTTGCTAAGTCATCTGCGCAGATTTTCGCTTTAATCGTGACGTCCTCTTCGATCACTTTTACTTTCTTTTCCTCTTCGGCAGCTGTTAGAATTATATCATGTAGTGTTAGAACATGTCTAGTGTCTTTGAATCGGATGAAAACTTAAAACTAAGAAGTTTTTACTTCAAAAGCAATTAAAAAACCAGACCAACTAACACGGTGCTTATTTTTCATATTATAATAAATTATGTAAGTTCGTTTCACATACCGAATGCCTTTTCTTTTGATACTTTGTCGCTTTCAGCGCCGACTACTTCAATAAGCTCTTCAGCATTTTTATTCTTTTCCTTCAAAACCACTTCTTGGTCTGCTAAAGTCACCTGAAGCGGAATGTTTTGACTAATATATAAAAAAATTGTTATTATAAATAAGTTAAGAGAAACATATTTATATACGTGAAAAAGGGATAAGGGCAACACTGCCCTCCTTGTCATAACTCATAACTAAAGCATTACCATTTCGGTAACTTTCGATTTTCTTTCCAACACCTAAAGCTTTATTGTCACCTTAATAAATGTCAAATATACTGATTTTGCTTAACAATAAAACTCAAAATAAATAAGATAGTAAAAAATCGATTACAGAAGGTTCTAGATCTCGTTTCACTGATCTCAAATATGTTAATAACTCAATTTCGCGAATGTCGATTGCGTTAATTATGATAAGGAGGGCTGAACAGTTTATGAAATCTACCTTATTTTTAGAAAAACAAAATAGTAAAGCAAATGACATAGAAATGTTAACCTTCAGCACGGCGACATCGCTAGCGCAAGCAGCCAATTTTTCCAAACCATTCTCGAGTCTAATAATCATCAGTTTCAAGTTCTTAGTTTTCTCGTCAAGGAGTTTCCCGTATAGTGCAATTTGCTCGAGGAAAGTCTTCGGAGTGGTATAGTTGTAACGCCGCTCATTTTGGAAATATACCGCTGACATATTATTCACACTTGTGTGCACGTGAGACATGAACACTGATACCGATTCCACCAATTCAGGCTGTGAAAACAATACATTTTAGTTTTCTAGATGCAACAAATTGTACACTTGTTGACACGTGCCTATGTTAATTATGTTTCATTAATATAGTACAATTGGACATAGCTATGCAATCTAGAACCAACCCACAAAATGTCACTTCCGAGATAATTGTATTTTTGTAAAAACAGTGTGAAGAAATAAATAGGTAAGTTGTTTGAGACAAACAACGTGATTTATGTGTAACTATTATATTATATAGCAATAAATAGAAATCATTATGTATCTTTTTATTTAGTTAACGAGAACCATGTTCTAGTTTTCGTAATGAATACGCCAAAGACCTACAGTACTTCATTACATGTGAAATGGATCCATTTAGCATATTTAAAAAATACATTATATGAAGTTAAGCAGCATGGTTCTTTTTAGCTATTAAAAAGTTACTTATTTAGGGTTGGTACCCTAAGGACTCCGTTTTGGATTGGTATATTGCCAGGATCTTTTGTGAGCGGGTAAAGGACACGTTTAGTGTTTTACCTAAATACATAACTCAATTTCAGTCGAGGTGTGGGTTGGTTCTTGTTTGCATAACTATGTCCAATTATAAAGCAGGAACGAACCCTGTATCCAATGCACATTAACCATACCGAGGCTACATCTTTAGAGTAGTAGAGAACTTTTCCATTTAATAATAAATTAATAATAACCTTTTATACTGGTGTCAAATTAGTGATTCGTTTTTATTATTGATATAATAATTAAATTTAAATGTAGGAATTTGCAGATTGGAAGTCAGAGGCGAAAACGAAAAAGTTACAAATTGTATTATAATATAGCAGTATTTTCATATACATTCGGTATTTTGAAATGCGTTTTAGGACCCAAGCTTAACTACAAAATATTAGCCTACTGAAATAATATTTAATAATTATTAGGTACTAGGTTGTTGCTAATGCGTAACTATTCGGGTGCTTGTATATTAGGAAAAGATCAGGAAAACTTACAGGAAGAGCTTCAACTTCAGCAATGAACCGTTTAGAAACAGATCGCAAGGCCTCCAATGGCCATTCGTGAAACCAATCGATGGACGTGCAGTTTACAATCGAAGGGAATTTGCGTGCGCGCACTCGCAGCGTGGCGCCCACAGGTGAGAAACATAGCACCACCTTGTAATAATTGAAGTCAATATAAGCGAAAGAAAGCTACAGGAAATTCAAACTGTGATTAACGGAAAAATCTCATGATTTTATTTCACACTCCTTTGATCTTTTAAACTACCTCTGTGGTCGAACGGTTAACATGCTGGTCTGACACGCAGAGGTTCCGGGTTCGATTCCCGGGCCAGGAGAAATATTTGTATGGTCTACATTTATTTCTCCCGTGAGTTTGGGTGTAATTTGCGGTTGTCTATGTGTGTGTCCATGGCACCCGCGATACAGGGTTTCCCTAATGCGGGGGTAATGTGTAAAACCTCTTTATGCATTTGGAATCGTTCTTTTTCCCAAAATAAAATTTTAAACAATTTATAATAGAATTTATTACCGTTTGAAAAATTTGCATAAATCCTGAACCATAGTTTTTAAGTCCGTCTAATTTTGTATGTACGTACGTAATTATATACTTATACAAATTACAATTACAATTAGCCAGATGTATCCCACCGCTGGGCAAAGGCTTATATATAATTCAACGAAAAGCTGACAAATCATGTCTGGCGAATTTAATTTTTAAATCTTGTCTACTGAATGTAATTAAGGGTATTAGACTATTTATATAGATATTTTGACTATTAGTCAAAATATATGTATATAGACATAATATATTGTTTATTTATCCAGCATTGGCTACAGAGCTATCAGCTTAAAAACCTAACAAATAATTAAGAAACTCAAAACCTAATGTCCTTAAAGTAAAAATATTTTTTTGTCAGTTTTACCACTTTCTCGTGTGGCATATTACGAGAAGGAATTATCTACTTTAGTTTTCGTAATAAAGTAGTTGATCTTTTATTGCAAATCGGTCGAATTAGTGCATTTATTATTACGTGAAGTAACTTAATGTGGACCTACCTAAGTGTATAAGTACTTAAACTCTGTTTTTATCGGCTAGATGCCGCTCAACGTTAAGAAGCTGACACTAATTGTAGATATCAACACGGTTACATCTAAGAACAATAACCATAATGCCTTTAGGTTATTGTTCTTAGGCTGACATACTAATTAGTCATTTGAGTTCCTTTCAAATAACACACAACACACGCAACACACTCATAGGGAAACCCTGTGTCGCGGGTGCCATGGACACACACATAGACAAAGACACATTACACCCAAACTTACGAGAGAAATAAATGTAAATGTAAATAATAATAACGCACACACTCAACATAGCCCCGAACTAGGGAAACCCTGTGTCGCGGGTGCCATGGACACACACATAGACAACTACAAATTATACCCAAACTCACGAGAGAAATAAATGTAGACCATACTAATATTTCTCCCAGCCCGGGAATCGAACCTGGGACCTCAGCGTGGCAGTCCGGCATGGTAACCATTCGGTCACGGAGGGAGTTCAACTATAATTTTAGTTCGAAACTTACCTAAGTCTGGAAATAAAATCATATTATTTAAGTATATAACTTGAAAAATCGAATTAATTTATTTTGTCCAATCTTGTAATTATGACATTTGAAGACGCTAAAGAATTATTTTTTTTAAATTCGCCATTGTTTTTTATTATTTGTGTAAAAACTGCAACTACAAAAACGTGCCATTTTTTGTTGTCATAATAAATTTAAACTTCGCTTTGTGTGTGCGCTATAAGCCCTAGTTTACATTGTCGCGGAACAGAATGAAAGCATATCTTTGTAAGAAAATTGCACGTAGCACAATAAACTTTATATCAATTGTGTAACGTACAAATTAGATACGAATTAAAGAATTCGCGGGAAGCGACGCGAAAAGAGGCTCAGTGAAGCGTGAAGCGTCTACGAAAAGGCATATTGGCCAAAACGTTTTCGGTTCTTCGTTAAAGCGTGATTTATTTGTCAAATCACTAATCATGAAATCAAAATATTTCTATTACTTTTTCTGTTCTTCCTTTTCTCTTCTTTTTGTGCTTCATAAATAAGCGAAATAAAAACGATATTCAAGTACACCATCCTTATCACATAAAAAAACTAAACTAAATAACTAAACATCTACTACAGTCTTAAGGCGCAGTTGCAAGATTGCTACGTGTAATAATTATTCACGATAAATATTTTTCTTACTATCTCATCAGATTTGCTTCTATTATTAGACGTCTTCATATCTAATAACAGTAGCAAACTAAACTTTCTAAAATTACTCATACCTTCAGCATGGTTCGCACACGATTAATGAAGAATTTCCAGCAATTTTCTCTTGTGTCAGGTACACCACTTGCCTTCGTCTAAAATGGACACAAAAACAATAAGTTAAATAGGTAAGGTAGTCAAAAAGATTCTTTTCAATCACCATTGGGATCATTCACCTACAAAAATACTAACATGTAACTGTGTCAGAAAATCAATATAATTTACCGTTACGATTTACGTTACGATTGACACAATAAGCATATTTAGTCGACACTATAAGAAATAGGTCATTCGGCGAATAGGACATTTTTTTAGAAGTAAGTCGTGTTGCGAATAGTTCTCATGTCGACTAATCCATTTCAAAGAGTCTACAAATTGCTTGGACACTCTGTTATAGGTAGAACTTGATTACAGTATTTAAAAGATTTTTTTTTCCTTGTATGGGCAAGTATTGTTTTTAACTTCCTATAAACCATAAGTTCCCAAAGTTTTTGGCTCAACGCTCACTTAGACACGATAAAAAAATGTCAACACCCACCACCACAAAAAAAAATTGAAAACACGTATTTTTTATATTATTAACTTAAAGCTAGTCACAAGGAAAAAATGGTAGTGTGGTTTACAATAGATAATTTACTTTTTTTTTGAAATGCAGTTGTATCCCTGGACAGCACCCCTAGGACTCTTCAACGCCCACTGGGGGGGCGGTAGGGACCATTTTGGGAAACTGTGCTATAAAGCAACGATAAAAGTTCACATAACACAAACCAATTATTGAGCTGAGACATATCTTTCAATAGCGTACAGCTCGAATATAGGTTGGTGTGACGTTTCTTCTTTTCTTTATTCGTACGTCTCACCTCTCCACGGACGCCGTTAATGAGATTTTCAATTTCATCATCGGCGAACAGCTCAGGTATCTCGCCTGACGCGAGCAAGTCGTTGATCAAGACAAGGAACCGCTCCTCGGCCACCTGAGCGTCCGTCATCAAGAACACGCATCCGATGTTTTTCAGACCCGACTTAATATATAGACCGGCTAAACAACAATACGAAATTATGAAGGCGAACGATATTCAAAATGAACGTTAATATTTAAATAATTCTTATTATTTCCAACCTCATATGGACATAGTTATGCAAACTAGAACCAACCCACAAAATGTCACTTTCGAGATAATTAGACTTTTGTAAAAACAATGTGAAGAAATAAATAGTTAAGTTATTTGAGACAAACAACGTGAGTTATGTGTAGCATTGAGAATGATATAGGGAAACTATTATATTATATAGCAATAAATAAAAAACATTATGTATCTTTTTATTAAGTTAACGAGAACCGTGTTCTAGTTTTCGTAATGAAAACGCTAAAGATCTACAGCACGTTGGTTCTTGTTTGTATAACTGTGTCCATATGTAAAAATAAAAAAACAAATAAAGAGGCTCTCCTATTGGTATAACGCCCTAGATGATGCTCTTTTAAAACCAAAAGTAGAACATAATTAAGAACTCGATACAGGTAATAGCCTCGTTAAAATATGTATATCTAGTGAGTAATTATTTACCTAAATCGGCTTTGAGGTCGTTTATGCCATATCCTTTGCGTAATTGCACCTGGAACACCTCTAGGGAAGAGATGAAGGATGAGAGCCGCGACAAGGATTGCTTGCCGGACCCGCCTACGCCCACCAACAGCGCGTTGCCTCGAGGCGCTTCTAAGATGCGGTTGATTCTAAAAAAATATTAAAAACTAAAATATACCACTTTAAAAATCGAAGTCACTGGAGTTGTCAGCAATGAAAACGCAATGATTTGAACGGGTCGTTAAATAAATAAAAGCACAACCAACAAACCTGGCCATAACAAAGCGCCGTCGAACAATTTAGCCCTGATAAATTCTTAAGGAGTTACGGAGTCGGCTGCATTTAATACATAGCGCAAGTACTATAGATTATTTTGTTTGGGAAGAGGTTCGTATCGGACCCCCAATGACGATCGTGTTGTTCATACACTGCTGTGCTGGCACAATGCATCTACAACATTATTCATAGTTCATAAACCAACCTGCAGATATGCTGCATGGCATCCTCAAAGAGCACCAAATTCATGGTAGCAACAAGATCATTATACGCTGATAGGGATTCATCGAGCAGTTTCTTGATGTGGGGCCAGTCGTGAATTGGAAAGTATTTCGGATCGCCAATGCCTTCAGCGAAATGGCAGTAGATCACTGGCTTCGCCAATACTATGTTTTCGTCGTAATCCTGTGTAAAATACAATAGGGTCATAAACATAAACAGCATTCGTCGTAATTTGTTCAATTGACGATATTTTTAAAATTAATATTTAACAATTGCCCGTGTTGCTGTGAATTAATCCTAAAAGTATAAGGTGTCAAAATTATTAGTGACCCAGTACTATTCAATACAAGCTTTATTTTACTGTTTAGAAAGGTAACTTACCTCGAGATTCTTTTTCATGACTTCAACGATAAGTTTTTGGAATGCTTCATTGTCGGCGAATTCAACAAGTTTATCTGAATAGACACGAAAAGCCTCATGCATCCACAGTCTCACTAAATCGTTCGATGTCTTGATTGCATCTCCGGTTGTGAATAGAATTCCCTACGAATAACCAGCTTTTATTGAAAGTGCGCTAAGATCGAAATGGTAAGCAGTTGAATAATGCTTCGTATCTCAATGATATAAAGAAGACTTTTATCAAATGTACACATATTTTGAGCATTCTGAATGTACACATAGATACGAATTTCTTGAGTAGGTAAATATTTTTGGTTAATTTGAACATTCCGAACATTTTGATGCTGCCTAGCTATTTTGAAATAAATACACTGGGTAATTTTCAAGTTACTTTTCTCTACCTAATTTCGGTGGCAATTTTTAATAATAAGTATTCGAATAAATTATCGGGAAATATTAATTTTCAGGATACTACACTTGAATAATTAAATAATACTTCATGGAAATATTCTAGAATATTCAAATAATAAAAATTGCCGAAATTTGGTATAGAAAACTAACCCCAAAATTACTCGACTACGTTATCTTGTCGCCGTGACTTCACGATCGGCTAGGTAGGGGTAACATTTTATGTTATGTTATTTGGAATTGCCCAAAGCATAATGAAACAGAGACTAAAGACAAAAATCTATAATCCGCTAATGTAGAGGTAGAGCGCTTATAGGCTTTTCACCGTATCAGTTCTAAAATTAATCTGTTTTTTTGCTCTTCTGCCAAGGCTTTGTAAGGTGCAATCCTGGAAAACTGTTTCATATGACTTTTAACATGGACGTAAAATTATTTTTCTCAAACATGCTCGGAAATGTATGCATTACTTTCAAAAAACGAACACGGAAAGTTTGTCATTTATGGACCGTGCGACTTCTTCCCGGCCAAGGCCTGCAAAGTAAGTATGAAAATCCTTCTCTAAACTTTTAAATCGACATACTAATAATGAAGTACGTAAACAGGCATGTTTACACAGTTCATTGTCTTCACTCATGCCCAGTGTTCATAGTTGCGAGAATTATAAATACCTACCTATACCTACCACTTACTTAAAATAAAAGAAAATGGCGGTAACATTTAGTTTTTTTGTCTTTTTTGTATTTTGGTCGCGAAAATGCATGCTAATGAGAAAAGCAATAACGAAAATACAGTAATAGATACACATTCAAACACATCATCAGAAGTTCAGCAGACTACTATTAATGTGCCTGGAAAAAACAACATTTTCTTTAGTAATTGTCGTAACACGTCAAATATTACTATTAATATTTTTTTACTTTTTCTATTAAACATCTTTCTCTCTTTAGTCGTTTATTACTTCCTCACATTGTTTGAGAAATATTCTATTATATGCCTCGGCGAGAACGGGTATTGCTTGACTCGTATTAATACATTTCGCTCGTCCTTGTAACTCATACTCGTCCAGCAATCCCTTACTTCCCGGCTTCTACAATAATGTACTATTTAACGATATGAAATAATCCCATTACTAGTGAGTGCATCTTTACCTGGAATATATTGGAGAGGTCTCTCAAATTGAATATGTAGTGGAACTTGATTGCAGTTGGCAGGAATGTGGAAGAGAGCTTGTTATGTAGCGCAAGCGCACAGTTGACGAGCGGCTCAGCATACCGCTGCACTGGCAACACGAACTTGTTTGCGGCTGGCGCCAGGTGCTGAGAGAGAATCTGCTTGTAAATATGGAAACATGCATCTAGACCTGGGAAACTGAAACACAAGAAAAAAAACTGTCAATGATACTGTCATGTATTCACAGGAAATTAATATGTATTAAATAGATCATAAATATATAAATAAAATATATAAAAATAAAAAATAATTATATAGTTGCTATAATACTGGTCACGGCTTACCCTTATTCATCCTAGATTTTCAATATGAAACTTAACTGTATAGTCCTTGACTTACAATTATATGGACGTCGGGTCCGCGCTAAAAAGTGTCCGCACTTGTAAGGCGCTAAAATCGTATACAGAGCGCCACACTCCGCTTTAGTCTTCATTTGTTCTACTGACAGCGCGATACTGCGATGACATTACAATTTAAATTTCGAATAGGTTGACTTGGGACATTTTTTCGTGGTTTTTGTATTAGACCCGTCGTCCATTTATTTGTAAGTCAATGTGTATAGTAATAATAATGTGGCAAACAACCTCATTAATTACCTGATCTCAAATTAGCGGATTCTCTGTACTATAAGTATTAGACTGAATTGACTCCGGGACATGACCCAGAACACCCAGACAGAACCAGTTTAACAAAAGTTTACTTCCCAATTGGTCCTACAGACAATCGAATCCAGTGCAAAACGGGTCAGTGAAGTCATCAAATTGTGGTAATAAAAATACCTTTTTTATTACCACAATTTATTTTACCAAATTGTACTTAAAAACATGCAATCCTTGTACCAAAGAAATGTGTATAACGTACAGACGGCAGCACTTAAGTTGCACATTGACGGATCTTGTTCAGGTAAACTGGAGGCGATATTCGAACAAAAGTACTGTTGACTGTACAAAACTTAAAATGAACACCGTTTACTCAATTATATTAGGACTCTCGCAATGTTGCCAACTTATAGTCCAAACATAGAACTTTGTCTTCTGTTGCAAAATACAACATTCATGAACATCCAAGATTTTATTGACTAGGTATCTTACCTGACGGCGAACGTGCAGAAATGTCTTTGAAGCCGCTGGTCGATGGTAAAGGAGCCTGCGGTGGGATTCATGCACGATACAAACATGCAGTTTGATATGTCCTTCAGAGTCAACTTTTGTCTATCGTACCTAAATATTATAACCAAAGTTAATTATAGAAATTATCACAATTACTGTTTGTAGCATTCATTCAGGGCATTCATGTGAAGTATATTATCTAAATGGAAAATTATAAAAATATCAGCACATTTGACAAATGTAAATCTTTAATAAAATTACAATTCAAAACCATTTATGAATGAATGAGAATGAAAGAATATGCAGATGTTTTCACCACAATGAGTACATAGCTTAATTGACTACTTGAAGTTTGGTGTCTATATTTTTAAATAAATAAAATAAAAAGACATTTATTCCTTCACAAAACATGAAAACACAATACTTAAAAAATGAATAGAAAAAAAAAACCAATTGTGTGATGTGTACAAAAAGGTTAAAAACTTAGCATTGCTGATTTACTGTCTTCGCCTGTAGCTAGCTAGCTAGCTGTTTTAGTTAATTTTAATGTACAAATCATTTTGACGGTGACTATTTGTTTGTGCAATGAGTCAGAAAGTAATTTAATGTGTGAAAAAATGCATCTGTATTATTTCATGATTTAAAATATAGGTCAGAAGTGCGTAATGGTTTAGTGAAGAGGGATTTTTTAGTCTAAATTGTTCTTTAAATTTCTATGAACTTTTGAAATTTCTAATGTCAGGGTTCTAATGTCATGTTAATGGTAAATAGGGTCAAGTATTGGCGATGGGTTTTGTGAATGCCGATTACGCTAATTACTATAGCGCGATGACGGTTGCGCGAAAGCGACGACTTATTTTCACGAATGTTTAGTGGAGCGAAGGTTTAAAAGCGCGAAAGTTTAAAACCGCGATGGTTCATTTGCGAGAATGACGATAGCACGAAGACAAATTTGCTGCTAATGTATATATAATAAAGCTGGAATGCGCGAATGGTTAGTCCTAAGATGGTTAATTAGTTTCACGCAAGTTTTAGTTGAGACGTCAATAGTCCGGAATTCTTTCCCTTTCATTTACATAGGAAGGGAAGTTGATAATTTGTAACATTTTTATTTAAATTAATCGACCTATTGTAGCTTGACCGTCTTTGCACGATCATCATTCGCGTAATCGGCATTCGCAATCACGTGAGAAACACATTGGCGATGATTACATAGGTACCTCGTTCAGCAAAAGGTTTAAACTTACCAATGTCTATAGTCCATAAACTGTCGTATAAGCGTGTGCGGCTGGACAGTTCCGTACTTGTCCACTTCGGGCATATTCATATCGTCCACGAAGTATATCATGAACTTACTGCCTGGTGGACCATAGTTACGACCTGATTTCTTCTCTAAAGGCTTCTCGAGCACTTTTTGGATCATTTCTATGGAGTGAAGAATATTAATGGATACAATTAGGTTTTGAATTCGGTTCAAAATTAACGTCATTAACTGCTGCCGTGGCCGAACGGTTACCATGCTGGACAGCCACGCAGAGGTCCCAGGTTCAATCCCCGGGCCGGGAGAAATATTTGTATGGCCTACATTTATTCCTCTCATGAGTTTGGGTGTAATTTGTAGTTGTGTATGTGTGTGTCCTTGGCACCCGCACCAAAGGGTTTTCCCTGGTGCGGGGCTATGTTGAGTGTGTGCGTATGTGGGAGAGGCGGTATTTCTCGGCAATGGCACACAGTCGGCCGGTGTCAGGGACTCAGTGCCGTATCGAGCAGGACCGCCTTCTACGTTATTATTATTATTAACGGAGCTTTATAATTCCACACTCACTTTATTTCATCAACAACTACCTTTCCATCACCCGGGAACTAGACTTAGGTTTGGGTTCCACCCCTATGTTGTGGATATTCTAAGGATTCGCACGAAGCGTTACTCTTCCACATTTATAGGCGAACGGCTATGTAGTGGAATTCCCTGCCTGCAGACTAATTTCCTGCACGTTATAACTTAGGCTTTTCCAAGTCAAGAGTGAATACGCTTTATTTTGGTGTGCTTACTCCATAGTCGACCTCATCGTCACTTTCCATCAGGTAAGATGGAGATCAAATGCGAACTTATATGTTATTAAAAAAAAATTGTTATTGTTACGAGGTCGCCCTAATCCAGAATAGGTGTCGGAGCACATTATTGCTATTAATCTGCTTACCGGAAGTGGTATAAAAGTTGAGTGGCGCGTTAGTTACGGCGTACGAGTCTGGGAGTGCGTTGAGTTTTGCGGCAACGCTGACAGTCTTACCGCTACCGGCAGCCCCCACCAGCATAATCGGCCTTTCTTTCTTAATCAACAGATCCATGAAGAATCGAATACGCGTCGTTTCCGAGGTAGACACCAGACACGACTTGAAAAGGGAAGGGTAATGTAAAGTTGAAATTTATCGTCCCAACATTGTACAAAAGTCATATTCGAGTAGGTATAATACAAATGTAGGCTTATTGCAAGAAGTCATTAAGGCGATGAGGTGCCCAAAATCTTGTGTAAGTTTTTAGGCGATAACGTAGCACGTGGAACTTTTAAAATAGTACATCCCTGTAACACGTATCTTGAAGTGTAGCTTGAAAATCCTAGAATATTGCTTATTGTTATAATAACGTGTGAGTACTCGTTTGCTACTCGGTACTCGGTGTACTCGGCCGAATAACTCGGTTCATGAGAAGAATACATACTCGGTTAAAATAAAGCATCACCGCTATAGACATAATAAAATAAAATCAACAATATATTTAAAATATTCAAAAGAGATTTATTACTAGAAATTGTAGACAATTGTAACAATTTCTAGCAGTTTAGTAATTTAAAAAGAAAGTTTAAATTATTAATATTTATAAGTTAACTAAGGCAAGTTATGAAGGAATATTTACAAGGCTTTCTGCGCGTTTAAGTAACTAGGTCAGGGTTCCTTTTTTCTTCATACACATTACCCGCTTCGGCAAATAACCGCTCGCTATACACAGTACTTACAGGTGCACATAAAAACACTCGTGCTAACTGTGCCAGTTTTGGATATTTTGTTTTATGTTCTGCCCACCATTGGAAAGGACTCTGCTCTCGCGACAATAAACTTTCATTGACATATCGGCCTAATTCTAGACCAACAGAGGCTTTTAGGACCATCGTGTTCCGGTTGTAATGAATCGAGTAACTCGGCCGAGTACTCGGCTCGGCAAATGTTAAACCGAGTAATATTCGGTACTCGGTTACTCGGTAAAACTTGTACACGGCGCATCTCTATTTGAGACAAACGATGTACTGTAGCAGTGAGAACGATATAGGGAATCTTTTATATTATATAGCAATAAACAGAAAACATTACGTATCTTTTTATTTAGTCATCGAGAATCATGTTCTAGTTTTCGTAATGAAAACTAAATGTGACATGGATCCGTTTAGCATATTTAAAAAAAGACATTATATGAAGTTAAGCAGCAAGGTTATTTTTAGCTAATAAAAAGTTACTTATTTAGGGTTGGTACCCTGAAGGACTTTTATTGTCTCCGTTTTGGTTTGGTATGTTGCCAGGATCTTTTGTGAGTGGATAAAGGACACGTCTGGTATTCTACCTAAATACATAACTCAATTACCCTCGAGGTGTGGGTTGTTTCTTGTTTGCATAACATGTCCAGTTCTTATATGCTTTGATATTTTTTGGTTTGATAGCATGTGTGTATTTTAAGTACAACGCCATCTGTTAGTGGCAATCAATATTATGTTAAATCAAGCGGATGGTCCAACTACCACACTCTTACTCGTATAAATCACAAAGATCTGAACGGCACAACCTTGAGACATAAGTTGACAAGTCCCATGTGCCTGTATTTTCATCAACACCCTTACCCTTCAAAACCAGAGAACAGCTTGACAGAGAGACATTACAGTTTGGCGGCAGAAATAGGTAAGGTGGACGAACTTCCCTGGACGAACTCTTTCCCGAGCTCTACTAATATTTGTTTCGTTACTTCTTGTAATAATAGTAACAATTACCTGAAGCGGCAAATCTGGGTCTAGCTCGAAAGCCTCCACCTTCTCAGACCACGGCAAAAATTTCTTTGTTTCCGGATCTATGAAAAAACTGAACACATTTCCAGTGACTGGGAACTTTATCTGCTTAAACTCGTTGGTGAACCATTTGCTGAACTCATTACGCCAATCCACGATTTGATCTTGAAACAATGATGATCCGAAACCCCATACGCATGCGAATACAAAGTAGGTTTCGTACCTGTAAATGAGACGTGTGTAACTGTGGAAACAGGTTTTAGATACACTCATTATAAACTAGGCGGAATGTCGATTTCTTATTGAAGCGCAGCAGTCCTTATTTTTAACCGACTTTAAAAAAAGGAGGAAGTTCTTAATTCGACTGTATTTTTTTGTATGAATGTTACGTGATTAATCAGGTTTGTGAAACGATTTTGATGATTCTTTTTTTGTTGGGTAGATGGTACCTTAGTATTCGTCCCATTTATTTTTATTTTAATTTGAAGAAAATATTCCACTTCTAACGGTGGTAAACATGAGAGTCAGAATGGCGGGTGTACCTTAACGGATCCTGACAAATTTGGTATCAAAAAAAATTACCCAATTTGTACTATTTAGTACCTCTGTTTAAAAAATTTGTACCTCCATCAGAACGAAGTTATAGCAATATCAAAGGTACACCCGCCGTATTGACTGTCAATATGGCGGTTGTACTACTAGGGTGTAATTTATTTAATAAATATAAAAACTTATTATTTCAAAAATTTGTAACTCAATAGTACTCTAAAGTAAAGGAAACTTCAGCTCGATCTGCTGGTTAGTTTCTGAGAAATATAATAAAATATGTTGAGATTTCAGTGTGCCGTGTGCATCTTAACGAATCCTGATATTTGGTACCAAAAAAATATACCAAAAGTTAACCATTTAGTTCTTATTCTTAAAAAATTTGTACCTCTATCATAGCGAAGTTATAGCGAAATCAAAATTGTAAATATTTTCGTTTTAATAAATTTCCGCCATTTATTTGGGTAGCCAAAGGTTCCACCATACAGCCTCTTCATATGTCACAATTTTTCCTTGTTTTGATTAAAAAGGTTACAAGCGTGTGTCCTTAACTATATTAAGGGCACACGCTTGAGATAAAGTATTTTAGAACTTCATGTGACCATTAGAGGAGCTGTACAATTTGCCTAATAAAATTATATAATATTTCTTGGGGTCGCTATGGATTACAAACATTGTGCACAGGTGCAGAAAATATCTTAACGTCGACTTTATAAACACCCGATATGTATGTATGAGCTTTTACCATTCTCTAGGACAATCGCTAGGCAACAACGACTTGGTAAGGAAACACTCCAGCAAGTAGCAGGTTAGCTGAATCTGTTGCAGCTCGGTGAGTGGCGTGACGCGCTTGTACTTCTTGCACGATTCGAGCAAGGAAGGGATGTATTTGTCGAACATTACTGACAGCATAGCCTTTTCTGCCTCATCGTCGCGAGTCGTCTCGATCCATGATGCTACGAATCTGTTGATGTAGTAAAATCGTCGTACACGATTTTGTTATAGTTTGCTTATAGATATGTAAAGTATATTATATTATTTATATTAGTTATATTTGCGCGAAGACTTTCGCAAAGAAAGGCAATAACTTTTGCTTTTACTCAGTAGCCCAAGTGAAAGAAAAAGCGATTAGCCATTGAAATTATTTTTTCTGATGCAAAATTAAATACAATTAATAACCATTATCTGTATCAATTAATTTAAGCCAAAAATTTTGACAATATTTTTATACATGTATCCTTGTTTTTAACTGATTTTATGGTTCTTTCAAATAGCACGGTTTCACATCCTTGGATTAATAAATTCACTAATTAATTATATATATATATATATATATATATATATATATATTATATAATAAATAATGTAAATATAAACAAATACTAGACATCACGTGCGTTGCACTGATCCCAAAATAACTTTAGCATTTGTGTTATGGAAATCGGAAACAACGAGGGTACAATGTACAATCAGCACCGAGACAATATACATATAAAAGTTAGTTTGTTTTTTCTACATTAATCCGACCGGGAATCGAGCCCGGGAATTCAAAGAACACTGGAGTGCAGGCTACTCAACCACAGTTGTCGTCATACGTTATTTAAAGTTCGTAATGTTTTCGGTTGTTTTTGTAAAATGATGATAATACATTAATTTTTATTATGTGGGATACTAACGGATTCCAGCCCAAATCCTGCGGGTTGATGTACAGGATACCAGCACGAGATACAGTGGCAGGGGTAGCAGTGCGCAGGTTAGAAATTTCAAATAGCAATCTCATGCATTTCGTCAACGCAATCCGCTCATTACTCGCCAACGTTAGTACCTGTGAGTACACATTCACAATCAAAAGTTGAATAATTATAACAGATGACAGTCCTAAAACTATAAGTAGTGTTTTTTTTTAAAGGGGCAGTATGAAAAACAATCCGATAGTCTCTATTCGTAAAAACAATTTTGGCATAGTCAATTTTTTGGTCAAGCGTGAATTGTCCATAAAAATGAATAAAATTTTCAAAATTTTTTAGTGGTCTTTAGAGAATCATTTCAGTGCATGAGACGAAAAAATCGCGACATCAAAAGTTGGTTTTCATACAAAATGGATTAAATTTACTTTAGGAAATGAAACTATTTTTCCGGATTTAAATAGCGTATATTTGTTTTTTCAAACAAACCGACGTTTCGGGCCCTTTACATCCGGATTTAAATCCGGAAAAATAGTTTCATTTCCTATGTGTAACAATCGCGAAAACCTAAGAACTCGATAAAATTTACTTTTTCAAATGTTTTATAAGGATAATTTCATTGTATCAGACGCACAAAATCGGGACAGCAGAAGTTGGTCAAATTTAATAAAATTATTTTTGATATTATTATGAACTACTTCGGTTATTGTTTTCATTCACATCGCATTATTGTGCATACATTTTTGCACTCTAAATTATAAATAGATGGCACTCATTGAAACTAATTACCATACAAAAAATCCAGTAATATAATTGAGGTGTCCTAAATTGGCACAACACTGAAGTGTGTAATTAGATCTGTCAATTCATCACATCAGTGAGACATCGAATTCGTGTCGAATAAATGCTTATTATTATTAAGGCTTATTATTCCTTCACAATAGTGGAGTTTTGTGATATGATTAAAATATTCACTAAGCGGGAAATGTTAAAATAACGAAATCCTATTCGTTGTTTAAACGTCTCACTTTGGTGATTTTACGGCTGCCGCAAACGAACCGATAAGGAACGACTCTCTTACTTTATTATCATCCATGAGCGTGTTCAAAGATTCGATCCACATCGGATCGATATCGCCATCCAGTACGATCCATTTGGGTCCATCGCCCGGCATGTTCGCCATATCTCGCATTATGTTGGAGAACAGTCCGTCTTTCCACTCTCGAGTCGCTGGATTAATGATGCCGAATAGCTCATCGTTTGTTACCGCCTGCCGTAAAAAAATATTGAATATCGTACACAAAATAATATCAATACATATAAAATTTTTCATTACTGGAGACGATTTATTCTAAAAAGTTGGTCTAGGCCATAGTCCAGTAGGACGATTCAAACTTTGATAAACGACAAAAAAATACGTACCTACGCATTGAAAAATAAAGTTTAAATACGTAAAATTTCAAGTCCGCCACTTTTACAAATTAGAGAGTACACTTTTTTTGCTCAGGCCATACAGAGGCAGCCGCGAAAGCGTTGCGGTCGCGGAAGCGTTCAGGGCGCGGGAATTTTTATAATGTACGAGTTTATATGAAGCTTGCCACATTGAAACGCGCGGCTGACGCGCGGCCGCCTCTGTGTTACCACGGCATTAACGCGGAATCGCTTTAAGCCGGTTAGAAAAAGCATTATGTCCGCAATTTCAGCGATAAAGACGTTGCGCGTTTCGGTCCGCTTTGACGCGAAATGCACGTCTCTTTCGTTCTTATTACTACACGAATAAAGTCAGAAAAAAGACTGGCTAACTCCGTGTAGATAAGTGTGGTGATTGCCTTAATGTACTCCTTTTCCTGTTTATTCGAGTATGCAGATTCGGAAAAGGAGGGGTACTAAAAATATGTAATTATGCATTTTCACCTAGTACAATTTAAGTTTGTCATTAGCAATGAATTGCAATTGGATTAACTTTTTTAAAAACATTGCTCATTAACGTACCTTGGGGTCCAGGTCATTGTAAAACGGCTTTTGTTTCAACATAACGTATGTTTTGTTCAGGCATTGCCACACCATCGACTTCCCAGTTCCAGGGAATCCGTCTATAAACACTGAGTGTCTTACAGCGAACAACTCTACCAATTGTACCATCTATGGAAAAACAATTAATAAATATTATTAATTCTAAAAATTACCTACAACTAGTGAAAATGACAAAAGTTAAATTTTATATAAATGTGACGATTATCGTATGGAAAAATGTTGACTATGATTTGCTCGCAATCACATTTTATTGTTTTACATGTTCCAATTGAGTGAGAATAAATAGTGAATACTTTTAAAATGAAGCCAGGTTCCGGTTGCAACTTCATCGAAAGAGCTGCTTCCACAAGTCTTTGTTCGAAATCCATATCTCGTTTCCTGGGCACATCTAAAGCCGGAAACAAGTCTCCGATCAAACCCATGAACACCGGTCTATCGTCAGTTACGATCTTAGGAATGTTAAAATCTCTCAGGGCTCTCATAAGCACTTGGTCTTCTGGTCTTAGGCGGTCACCTCGCTGCAAAATATTGTATCAATTTCAGTAGGGGTCAACTACAGTCGTCGCGAGAAGGACCTATCAAGATATGGGCAACCGTGGTCAAATGCAATCCGAAATCGACAGTTGGTTGTTGTTCGGGGGGTGTCAAGAACACGAATGCTTTATTTAGGCCGCGGCCGCACTACTAAGGCGACTGAAAACAAACTCATATAAACATATGTCGGTGGCCGCACTGCAGAAACGACAAGCGAAATTTATTTGTTCATAATATAGAAATTTCAAATGTTCTACAAGTAATGAGTGTGTCTGCATTAAATAAAATTATTCAGCGACTCGCGTCGACACTTGAGTTTCGTACGACAAGCAGCGGTGCGACGTCTATTTGTCACGATTTGCGACAAAATATGCGGTGATGTACCTGAGCGGCCGCACTGCCCGCGGCGTTCGTGTGACATATTCGAACGAAGAGTTGCGAAGAAGACGTCGCATCTCTTTCCACAACACAAATGTGACTATTCGTCGCATGTGGCGTTAGTGCGGCCGCCACTGATCGCCTAACCATCGCCTAACCTGCCCGATGCGACCATCCATTAAGCGATGTAGCGGCGTTTCGCTGGATTCTCGCTTTTGCAATGCACTTTCGCCGTACCAGTGCGGCGCCGGCCTTATAGGTTAACTCCACCCACTATGCAGAATATTTGTCCCGAAAGAGCCTCATATTGGACAAAGATTTTCAAATTTTTTTCAAATTTGCATACAAAACGGCATAGCTTCGAATATAGATTCTATAGCGAAAGTTGTTCAGTATTAGTGTCACCTCATAAATTTTGAGTTGTAATTTTGTTAACTCCATATTGTGCTATCGAAGTAGACGTGCTAGCGAATGGAACTTCCACTGCAGACAAAAGTTCACTTTTAGATCACGTTACCTTTAGAGAGCCAGCTACGACCAATACAGACTTGATAGCTCTCAATCCCCAATCGTAGTGGTCCTGCTTGGATAGTAACTCTCGACACAGCGTGTACAATGTAATGAACTTGCGCGCCAATAGACGTGCTTCCTGAAATCCTTCGGCCACTAACATGATTTCACAAATCAGTTCGAAATCCGGTACCACCATGGCACATGGTCTGCAATAAGTATTATGTACGTTACTTTTGCAAAGAGGAACTTGAGAACTGGTAAAATATTATAATAATAAATATTATAGTAGCACTAGAGCTTCTGAGAGTTCGTCCACCGTAATACTGCCACCTTATCTATTTCTGCCGCCAAGCCGTATCATGAGCATTATTGCATTCCGATTTGGAAAGGTAAGGGTGCTGGTGAAATGGCACATAGGACAGGTAGGACTTGTCAACTTATGTCTCAGGGTGACGGGGGCACTGGCAGTGCCCTTTCAAATCTTTACGATTATAGGTCTAAGTGGCATTGCAACTGTTATGGACAGACGTGTCGCTTACCACCGACCCACAACTTGTTCGTCCCGCAACTTAGTATCATAAAAAAATATTTTAGGTCTTAATATACATATTTCATTTATGAAAAGCAAATTCCAAACTGTAATTTTTTTACACTGAGAAGTATACTCTACTCAACTACGTTGTGGTTTTACAACATTTTTATCTATTGTTTGAGCATTAAATTACGATTACCAGCGTACCTGAACAAAGCTTTAAGATTCTCCGGCAATTCCGTTCTACCGGCATACCCAGGATTCATAGTAATAAACATGCCAACAGTATTAATGAGCGCAATGTTCTCGCCCATAAAATCGAATCTCTTTTTCTTAAACTTAATGGCGTCTAGCACAGACTTTACCTGCACCGAGACTACGGATAACACTTCGATAGAGATTCTGTTAAACTCGTCGAAGCAACCCCACGCACCGGTTTGAGCGAGACCTTGAAAAGGACCACACAAATATTAACAAAAGGATGCCTCAAAGAAGTAACACAAGCATTGAAAATTCATAATTCAAACTCAGCTTAAGTTAGATAATGATTGTGAATGAAGCGAACAAACATTATAAAAGTTATCGTTCATCTTAGTTTTGGTAGCAGTAGAGCTCCTTGTGAAAGAGTTCGTCCAGGGAAGTACTGCCACCTTACTTATTTCTGTGTTCCGATTTTGAAGGGTAAGGGTGCTGGTGAAATTACACGGGACTTGTCAACTTATGTCTCAGGGTGATGGGCGCAGTGGCAGTGCCCCTCAGGTCTTTTCGATTTAAAGCTCTGAGTGGCACTGCAACTGTTATGGACAGGTGTGTAGCTTACCATCAGGTGCACGCCTTGTTCATCCCGTCACTTGACATTATAAAAAAATCTTGGATCGGAAGTTGATAAGTGAGCGGTAATATAGAGGTATATTCGAAAGTCACAACCACTCGAGATGAGGTGGTGCTAATCGGTAGCTTAAAACGGTGCAATAAATCTGATTACCGACGACATTTTGCAACGAGGCCAATGGAATTTCAAAGTAGATAACCAAAACAAATCAAACCTTTATAGATATTTCCACAAGACTTGTAGTCCATTTGTTCGGAGCAGTTGAACACATACACCATAATCCCGAGTGCGCGTCCCAAGTCCTTCGTGGTTTCAGTCTTGCCGGTTCCGGCTGGTCCGGCGGGCGCGCCGCCCATTATCAAGTGCAAACTCTACGTTACAAAAAAGAATACTTGGGAGATAAATCAACGACCAGACAATACTGAACGAAGTGATTCATTAATTTAGTAGTTAATGGTAATGAGTGCCAGTAGACGTATGTTTATACCGGGTCATTTGTACAAGACTAATAACCTCGCAGCACTAGGTATATTATTAAATTCGTGAACAACCATTTTAGTTCTGACTTCTAAGGCGCGGCCATCGCAGCGCAGTCGCGTGTTTGGCACTAGGAGTCCGACCACCTCCAGTATCAGCGGATTGCACAGAAAGCCACAACAAACTTTAAAGACGTGTCACATAATACTTACAAAAGAAACTAAAAAGTTTAAACGCAATAAACTTGCCATTTATTGAGTTTTGTAAAAAGTGATACCACAAAAGTTAGTAATATAGTCCTGTCAGGTTGTAAGTATTTTATGAATAACCTGTGTACATAGACACTCGTTCGTATATATTTAGTAAGTTTGTAACGAATCACAACTTTGATCGGAACGCTAGTCTTATACAAAGTTTATAATAGAATTCGTTGAATGATCTTTCAAAAAAGCAAAATAATTTATTTATACCTGCGTCAAGGTGATGTAGCAGCGGTCAGTCAGCGGCGTGATCACCAATCGAGGCGTATTCCCTAAATACTCGTAATCATACAGAAACTGTGCGTCGCATATGTTCGCAAAGCAATGGTTCTGTTGGTAATCCCAACGATGCCTAAACAAAATAATTTTGTATGTAAATACTTTATTTAAAAATTGGAAAATTTTATTTAACTAAATTTGTATTGAATTGATATTCAATACAAATTTAGCAAATTACTATTTTTTGTCAAATAACTCCATTTCTAATAGTTAATACAAAAGATCGAACACTTAGAAAAAATTCCTTCGATCCGGCCGGATTCGAACTGACGTCTTCTAGCAAACCGTGCCAACTAAGCCAGAACCAGCGGACCTCACGAATTTTTTTTATGTGCTTGGTTGTCGGATCTTTGGATTTGGTTTTTCAACGACTTTTTAGCCGTAGCGCCATCTATGAAAAATCTATGAAAGTTTTTTGTCACCCAGCTTACTTTTTAAATAACTTTTATTAACACCTGCGCTAGTAACCATTAACATAAATTACCTTAACTGACTCTGCCAATGAAAAGCATTGGCTGTTTCCACCTTCGCCACAATAAGTTTGGCGACCACGTCTCGCGAGTGCACATCAATAGTACAAATAGTCATAATCTTCTGCCGGTCGCCGACTGACAAATCGCCTAATAGTAGTACGATCAAGGCATTTAATTGAAAGATCTGTTTTTTCTGGTAATCCTTCAGTGCGTTCTCGTAACCTTTAAGCAATGAAAATAGAATTTATTATTGGTACAAAACGCAAAACATTGTTCAGGTGCTAAAGGGGTCAACGTTACCTTCTTCTAACTTTGCAAAAGCTTGATTGGTCTCTGTAGTCCACCAAATCTGCGTGCCTACGAGCGCCGGCTGTGCCGGCCAGTCGAAGACCCACTCGTCACGAGGCTTGGCTTCGTACGACTTAACGCAATGTTCGAATATGTCACGCAAAGTGTAACGCATGCAATCTGTTACGCGATTGAGCCATGATTCCACCTGTCACAAAGTTCAAGATTTAAAAGTATTCTTTTCTTTTTTGTATTTATAATTAAAATCGATGAAACCGGTCCATAATGACTCTGATGATACTGTAGCGAATCACAGCAGTCGCTACAAAACTTTTTTGTACATATGTTTTATAGCAGTTTAGTTTTAGTTTTAAATTCTAAATTTAAATAAATTTGTTTTTGGCGCCTTTTCTTTGTTATTGTCATTGTTGTTTGTTTTCTGTTTAGTTCGTAGCTGTTTATTCTTTAAATAAACTGTAAGTACATTTTCTTTGGTCTCACTCTTCAATAGCACCTGTATTCCATTACACTTAAGACATACCTTGCCAGAACAATCGCAACAAGGCGCCTTGAAAGGCACATGTTCCTCGTTCTCCTTTGAAATCATCTCGATAGCTTGCTTGCTATTGGGCGATGGAAACACCAGTTTGGCCAAATTGTCGTACAATTTAGGCAAGTGGCGACATACCGCCGGTGGATTGTTGCCGTTCGACAAGATATCTGAACAAAATACATATTTCATCACAATTCTTTTATAAGTGGCTTGAAGAATGTAATTACGCTGTGAAGAATGCTCTAAAATTAAGACTAGCTCTTGTTGTCATAATTTAACATAAATAAGGAAAAAGGAACGAACCAAGCAAATCTGCCGACGACACAAAGTAAAAGCGAGGATAGGCCAAACGCTTTGTCTCCAAGTAATCGTTGAGCGCCTTCTCGCAAAGATTGAGTGCTTTCATTAACTCCTCTAACTTATCCTGCAAACCTGGTTTGTTGGTCGCTTGGATGATGTTTGGTGTAGCTCCAATTTCCCTCAGGAGTTCCTGTACAACAAAATTATTTTAAATAATTTTTCGGCATAAGCAACGAATATTAAGTAGTTACTATTCGGTGTTCGACTTATTCTGACGATACTTAAACAGGAGGAAGAAATAGGAAATTACACTGTAAATTATCATGTAACTAATATTATTGTACAGCAATAATATTAGTACGTAGTAAACTAGAGAAAGCATAATTTTTCGTTACATTTGTAAGATTAATTATTTTTCTAAGAAAACAAAAACGGTCATAAATAAAATGAAAACCGCATACTAATTATGTAGTTAGTGACATAACAAAATAAACTCTAATAAAATGAACCAAAGTACCTACTTATTATTTGCCAAGAAAAATAAAATAACATTTTTTTTTTGTTTTGAAATTACTCCAACTGAACTGAAAACAAATATTTTCTTCTTTAAGGTGTCATAAATTTAAATTATAAACTTGAAAATAAAATTAGCTTTTTTTGTTTACCTTTTTTGTTTCTTTGTACTATAATTTACTACCATTTTGTGTCAATTTTCTTACATGCCAAAAACAGTTTAGCCGAATATTCGACAATTCGGTTATTCTCCTTGACGAATATTCGGTATTCGGCCGAGTATAGTATTCGTTACAAAACCATTTTGGTGTTATATTTTAATATTTTTACTAGTATACTCGAGTATAGAAGCAGCAGCTGATGCTGACATGTAAATGTTAATCGGTGACGAATGATCCCTACCTTGAAAGTCCTGTCAACGCCATCAAATCGTTTTGAGTCTTCGGGTAGCTGAGATCGGATATCATCGGAGCCTACGAATATGCTCTCTAGATACTGCCACTTGCGTTGTACTTCGAACCAGAGTGCAATCACGGCATCAGCGGTACCTAGTTTTTTAGCCCAATCATTAACTTCTTTCTCGTAGAATCCTACGAATTTCGAGGACAACATATTTTGGACTTGAGACTGAAAAAATAATGTTAATACAAAACTATATTAGTTTATTTCCCCAAATAGGTAAGTAAATTTCGAAAAAAAACAGATCTAACAAAGAGTAAATCTGTGAGATGATGAAATTTAAATAGCTGTTATTACATTCACATCGCGAAGTAATAAAAAGGGCTTTATGTCAACGTATGGAGAAAAAAAGTAATTTGTTACCTGAAATTAAAAAACGAGCTATATTTAAAAAAAAATTATTTCAGGTAAATAAAACGTCTTGCAACAAAAAGTATTGCGCGACGGTATTCGTCAACAACTGGCGTTTGAATGACACAACTGCCATCGATTTTTTGTAAACTGAACATGATTCTGTTACCTGGTCATTTTCAAGGGTTTCTACAACTTCCTCGCTAACTTTGGGCAATTTGATTCCTGTTCTTTCGTGAGGAGAGTACTCAAATTCCATGGATGCCCAAGTAACAGCCAATTCCCTGTAAGTACAGAAAATTATTGTAAAAACCAGGACACAAGTCGCTTGAACAAATAGTACATTTAATATTAACGCAGTAACTAGTTCTGTTTTTGTATACGTTACGTCCACAGGAAGTGCATAGTTAGCAATGTCAGGACATAGAGCAGCCTTTCCCAAAGTGGGCGATAACGCCCCCTTTGTGGGCGCTGCAGGCCGAAAGGGTAAGAAAACCAGAAAAAAATGGGGCGTTGTGTAGCTCTTAGGGGGAGATATGTAATTTCATCTAGGAAGACTCATAGGGTCGTATTCCAGAACTCTACTCAATACTCAAGTCAGGACTTGAGTATTGCAGTGAACACTGAAAATCATACTCAAGTCCTTGCGATTAGGGTCGTATTTCCAGTGCTTGAAATCATACTCAAGTTTGCTCAAGTCCTGACTTGAGCATTGAGTAGAGTTCTGGAATACGACCCTTAGACACCAACTGAGCTCTCGACTCTCGACTACAACTTGTGAGCATCAACTAATATTAATTAAGAGATAGCTCAAACTAACTCGGTTCGATTTTTCTCTCCGTGTAGTTCATATATCTGTCCTATTTTATTGAATAAATAAAATAAAAATCATGTCATTCCGTCGCTCCGTTTCGAAATGAAAATAGACACAAACAAACAAATAAAAAGGCAACAGACACATTTTCACATTTTAATAGTTATTAGTATTCCTAGATAGGTAATTTTCGTAGATAATAGACCGCGGCCTATCATGCTTTAACAAGTTTTTGTTAAATAACCCGATTTGTGAATTCCTGTATCAATCGACTGGTTCATAGAATACTTGTTCTTACTTGTTGGGTACGATTGAGCGTCGAATGAGATAACGAGTTTATGCATGTTTGTCTTATTCCTGTCGGTGCGTGCTGCTTATGCAATTCTATATAAACAACGTAATATTTATTTTATTTTAATTTGCGGTTTCGCGTGTAATAGATAAGCAGTACTTAAGTTCAACACTTGCTTACGTATTTCTCAAAACAAAACAATGTCGGAAGTAAAAAAGAAGAGACGGCGGAATATATTAAATTCAGATTCATTGAAAATTCCACAAACCCATCGTAGTCTTTGTGCCTTCTATGTCTAAAAATATTTTCGAATGGAACAATGAAGCCTTCAAGACTGCAAGATCATTTGAATGAAATGCATCCAGATAAGAAAGACATTTGTTGATTGCTCAAAAAGGCAAACCACACATCATCGGAGAAGAGTTAATTTTGCCAGCAATAAAGGAAGTAATAACTACTGTGCTTCATAAACCGGCCGCAAATATTATCCTAAAAATTCCTTTGAGTAATAATTCTATGAAATGGCTGAAAACATTGAAGAATCATTGTGCAATCATCTGAGGACTAGTCAATTCTCAATTCCGCTCGATGAGTCCACTTTACCAACTAATGAAACATTGTTGCTGTCTTACGTGAGGTTTATTAAAGATGAGAAAATATCTGAAGAACTATTGTTTGAAAATGCAAAAATTTTTCGGGATTTAAATCGCGTATATTTGTTTTTTCAAACAAACCGACGTTTCGGGCCCTTTACAGGTCCCATGGTCACGGTTGAATGAGGTGGTACAGTCTTCAACCAGTTATGTCTAATATTAATGCAGACCACCCTATTTTTTCACTATAGTTACAATAGTTATTAATTAATACCTTATTTTTAATTTTACAAAGAAAAAAATCCAATTTACGCTACATTAAGTTTTACAAAATATTTTATTGAATGAATTTTTATTAAGTTTAATTTATTATTAATTATTAATACAAATTAGAATAAACTAAAACATATTAATTAGTACTGCAGTCTTATGTTTGTTTGGGATTTTTCATTAGAGGAAATACTGGATCCCAAACTGGTGGTACGGAGAAACCATCTTCCCTGTTGAAATTAGATGTTTTTTAATTTCAATGGCCTCTCGCACATCCTGGGTAGATAACGGACTTCTTTTGCAAGGACCTGGGATTTGTCAAACTTCATTGAATGTGTAGGTTTATCCATGACATGCTCGCCGTTGTGTACTACCTACTGCGCTCAGGTCTCAAGCTAAATCTTGCGGGTTATAGTAAAAGTCTCGTTTAGAATGAATGTTTAATCTCCGCTAATATAGCTCACAATAATTAATTTAATTTGAAGTTATGGTGGTTTTTAAGTAGGTGAAAAAATGGGGGCGCTAAAAAATAATTTATTCTCAAAGTAGACAAAATAAGTTTGGGAACCCCTGGCATAGAGCTTTGACGACTTGTATACAAGTTAGATGCAGATTGCAAACCTTTGTGCGGTAGTTCTATTATAAAGTTTGAAAGTGCATACGTAGTGGGATTTGTGTTTCCAATAATCTCAGTGCAAAGCACTAAAAAAACTGACCTCAAAAGTGCATGGAATTATATTGATTTACCAAGTTTTATTGAAATTGGTTACCGGAAAGTGCGAGATACCGGATTCATCTCCTAGTTTGCCACTCTTAGAGGTGGAATATTTTCTTCAAATTTAAATAGGAGCACTACCGAGGTTACTTATGTTACGTTAGGTACTTCTCTTTCCAACAAAAAGGAATCATAAAAACCGGTTTACAAATTGCGTAACACACATACGAAAAAAATATACTGTCGAATTGAGAAGTTTCTTTTTTTTGAAGTTAGTTAAAAATTCTAAATATGAATTTTTATTTTCCTTGTACTATCATCAACAACGAGGTTTGTTTTTATAATAGTAATATTGCTTTGCGTGCGCATTTAGCCAATCAAAAGATTCGGGAACAAAGTTACAGATTTTGGTAAGGTATCCACTGAATTTGGATGAAAAAGGATGTGGTACATAAGGTTATTGGGATCCCCGGTAGAGTGATGTCTTATGAACCTAAAATTAATCTAAAGAGGCTGAGCAGATTTAAATATCTAGGACATTACTTGGCGGAGGATCTTAGAGACCAAACTGACATTGATCGTGAACGTAGGGCGTTGGCTGCCAGATGTATGTTGGCACATAGATTCGCCCGCTGTAGTGAGGAAGCCAAAATAACTTTATTCAAGGCGTATTGTCAATGCTTCTACACGGGTGGTCTGTGGGTTAACAATACGCAGAAGGCACTCGGCGCCTTACGCGTTCAATATAATATCGGTTTCAGGATGCTGTTGGGACTACTGCGATATAGTAGCGCAACGTCGATGTTTGCTCAAGCGGGAGTAGACTACTTTAATGCTGTGATACGAAAAAAGACGGGGTCACTACTCTCTAGACTGCGTTCTAGCCCTAACAGCATTCTGAAAACGTTTGCGGCTAAGCCCGATGCGCCGATGCTTCGTCATTTCGTCCAGGTTCTGGTGATGGTGATGGGGTAATCGGCGGTGCCTCGAGCGTAATAATGTGTGTTTTTATGTTTTGTCTCTGTGTTTACTAACAATAGTCATAAGTTTAAAAATGTCTGTATTTTATTAACAAGTGGGCCTTGGATGCCAAATAAATGATTTATTTATTATTATTATTATTATTATAGGATATATACCGACAACAATATTATCGTTATGTTTTGAAAATGTAAAGACGAACAACAGTAAATGTTAATTGAATATTATTTTTGTATGTACGTTGTTTATATTTCTGATTCATTAATATTTTTTTAATGGATTTCTATATTTAAATCGGATTTAGAATACTGTGATATAATATATTTAGTTACAGTTTGTAAGATAGATTAAAGAACATTTATCGTAAGAGAATCAAGAGAGCAAAGAGTGAGGTTGGTCTTATGATGTAATTCATCGTCAAATATACAATTATCTGGTTACGGCAAAACACGTGGCAAAATCTACACCTCCCGCAGACTCTGTCCAGAACACAAACTTACTTGAGAGTTTTTTCCATAGCGGATTCTTTAACGGATTTGTCGACGATGGTCTTAACCTCTTCTTCAAACTTGTGAAGATTGAGAGCTAGTAGATCGGCCAAAGTTGTGTCATCATCGATGCTGAATTTCACCTAATGACATAAATGTATTTCATTACAAAGCACAAAATCTACAACAAAATATTTCACCTACAATAATGTTGTATATTTGTTTTTAAATTATTGTAATTAGCATTTGGGTAACGTTTGCGCTTATTGAGAAACAGTAACGGTAGCTTTTAAATAGTATGAGGTACTAACCTTACTTGTGATGACAACTACGACTGCAAGTCTCCACCAGTGTCACTATATATTACTTCTATTATACTATGAATTGTTACTATATACACTTTTTACAATAAATTATTTACAAGATGAACTCAGACAATATCAACGAATGGTCTTGAAACTTCTGCAGCGGTCCCTTACGCTCAGATTTAAGTTCAAAACCCGCTTCCTTCATTTCTTGAAACGAATAAGATTTGTTCAAATTTCTGAATTTATTTCCCATATCTTGGCATTCGTATGAGCGAAATCTTCGATAGTCACAGAATTGTAGATATTTCTTATAATTCTCCCTTACTGGTGTTTCATAGTCTTCTGTCGTACTAGACATATTACTATGTTCAAAGTCTTCTAATGATTTGAAATCTGCTAAGATTTCTTCTACGGAAACACGGCTTGAATTATGGAGTTTCATTAATGGTGGTTGATGAAGGTGCTTAGTTTCGATGGACATGAGGTGCATATGAACTGCTTTCTATATTAAAAAATAAATAGAGTTTACTATTCACGTCTCAAATAACAAGGACAAAATTGATAGGCCGCAAAAGAAACTTCTGATGAAATAAATGGAAACAGATAATCTGGTTAATTCAGAATGAATGAATGAATCATAATAATTAGTAACGAGTCCCTTTCATAAAACAATCATTCAGGTGTTTTTCCACTGGCGAAGCGAGACGAGACGTGAAATTTGTGTGGGAAAAGTTCAATTCTCTCCTAGCACATTTTCGGTGGAAATGGTTAGGATGGACGAGGATGGGCGAGGTGAGAAGTGAAATATTTGTTGATGTAATGTTAAACCGTATTGCTGCCTATATAGAGTATTATACTCTGCTAATGAAATGCGTGATGTCTAATTAATATGAATCGCGAGATTGTGGGGTTGTACGTACGGATTTAAAATTAAAAAAAAAAAATTTTTTTTTCATCATCTGATTCGTGTTCTGTTACCATATTTAATAATAACAGAACATGTTACTTCAATCATTTTAAGCCGCGTATTTATCGCTAGACGAACTGAACAGCACAGAATCGTCACTATCCTCAACCACAGCGCGAGCTCGCGCGTACTATTAATAGCAATTTTTGGTGGAGATAGGCCGGCAAGACGTCAATTCTCGTCTCGCCTCGTCTAGTCTCACCTCGTCGGCAGAAAACCACATTCTTTCTATTGGGGGCTTGTAATAAGTATTTACAGAAAAATTAAATTATAATTTCTGAACTAATTAAAATTTTAAAATTAAAATTTAAATGTAACAACCTAGTGACAGGGGCTGCATTTTAGCTTCAACCTGTATAACTAAGCGTAAAATAAAGATAAAGTCTTTGAGCACCTTTGTCGCCATCATTAGTTCGAGCCAGTGCCTGTCTTTTATCGCCGGGTTCTGCAAGTCAGTGACTGCGCGCAATGAAGTCATCAAATTCTTTATAACGGCCTCGATCGCTGGGTACAATTCCCTAATAAAGTGGAATCAAGAAAAAAGTACCCTGTATATAGGAAACAATCAGAAACTAGCTAATTAAAAGTCAAAAATAGGCGAAACCGTAGGTATACTTAAAAATATAATCGTTTGGTCTACTTATACAGAGTATGTAGAGAACGTTTGAGGTTTAGGATTATGGACAAATCGGAAGGTCAAGATTGCGTTTTAGTACAGCGACAAATCTTCAAAAATTCTAATGCCGCATTCGAAATGTCCATATATCCATATGTCCACAAATTCATCGTACTTCTGAAACTTCTGATCAAACGGAAAATAACATACCAAGCTCGCATTTCTTTGTCAAGCTGCCTTAGGTCTTTGGTAAACCTCTTGCACTCTTGGTCCATCCCATCTGCGTCGATCTTCTTCCATGGCGACTTCTTCCAGGACTCAATAGTGCCCATAACGAGGTAGTAGTAATCCCACAATTGCTGCATAACAAAAAAAAGATTGTGTTATTTAAATGTGTTTAATGTGATAGTTCACGAACTTTTATTGACAATAGAATACGAAAACAAATAACTCGACGTTCATACTCGAGAATATTCTGTAAACCGAATGATCGTATATTTCTTTAAAAGGTTTTCACCCTCGAAGTTTCACGATGACAATTGGATATTTGATTTAACATTTTTTACAGTTCCACTTATTTCATGAACACAAACATGTCAAAAAGTGAACTCAAAAACCTTTGTCCATTTCTCAACAAATGCCAATAAATATTAACGGACCTATGGGAGAGGGAATCCAGCCCTTTTTAGCCAAGACCTAAACCTTTTTTTTGGAGCTCATTACCTATTAATTTCTATTCCTGTTATGAAGGGCATAGGCGCTGGTGAAATTACAGGCACATGGGACTTGTCAACTTATGTTTCAGGGTGACGGGTGCAGTGGGAATGCCTCTCAGATCTTTGCGATTTAAAGTTCTGAGTGGCACTGGATTTCTATGATGGGCGTGTCGTTTGCCACCAGGCATACGACTTGTTCTCTTTCTCAAGGAGCTCTACTGCTATTAAAATTATTACTCCACTGTTACTACAATAATTAAATACTCGTATAACATCCCTGGTGCACACAAGTGACATACCTTGATAAGTTTGACTTCGCGTCGACACTGTTTAAGGTTCTTCTCGTCCGGAGGTTGGATATCGAACAATGAGCATGATTTTTTCAACTTATCGATGATGTTCTCGAAATCCATCAACTCACGGTTCACTTTATCTATTAATCTATACGGTTCTTTACATGATTCCAAGAACATCTGCAAGGATAATGTGTTTCTTTTATTTGAATATTATAATATAGTCAATGTTAATTAAAATATTTGGTAGCTCGCGTTACTGTCGTAACTAACCTAACCTAACCTAACCTAACAATGACTTAGCCAGGGAATGCAATATCGGAATAGAGGGATTCCGTACCAATTTAGCGAGACTGATCCCACACGTCTGACCGCGCATCACTTATCTAAGTCACTTAAACAATACCTCGTATGTGACCTCATTCTGTACCAACAACCGCGACGAAATAATTCCTGCAAGGCATTTTCAGGTCAATAAATGAATACCCAATCATTTTAGACCTTATACGTCTACATTATTTTTGGGTTTCCCTATAAATGTTCATTTCTATAATTATTGTGCGCTATACTTGAATATGAGGGAGAATGCACTCAATTGTAATTATTTATTAATTTAATATTTGATTATACTAAGGTATGAACTCACTTCTTTCATCTTGAACTGGTCTCGGTACATCTGCAGTCGCAAAGTAATTAAAGATACTCGCTTCGCGATGAGCGCCGCCTGCGCAGCTTGCAGCGGCGCTACATTATTCTTCATTACCGTTGCTAGCTTCACTAGGTTCCTCCATTTTTCAGGTAGAACGTCCAGCTATATGTTAAGGAAGATCCATAGTTAGAGAACATAATAACTGACTAAAATGAATTTAATTAACGAAATAGTAAAAAGTCCTAGTTTCTTACCAAAGTGTGAACGGAATATTTGTGATTCGTATAATCCTAAAATTGATCCCATAGGCAGCAGGAAAAATAGCATCGCATAATAAATTGGATTAAAGTTATATGATTAACGATTATTTATTTCAATTCTATGTCTCTACTGACTTGTGATTGTTAACAATTATTTGACAAAATTAATCAAGCTCGTGTCTTGCTATATACCACCCATAGGAATTCACAACACTCAATAATATGATCAAAATACCAACACGGAACTGACTTAAGCCGGATGAATAAGAGCGAAACAGACGTGCGTTTCATATCAGCGGCTCGAGCGAAACGAGCGTTATCTTTTTCGCTCTTATTAATAGCTAAAACACATGCTATTCTCTGCTCCCCCTTAGTAGTCAATACATAGACTTAAGGACTAGTGACCCTTCCGTACTATTGGTCTACTTTCCCCATCGGTCCACTTTCACTTTTGATCTACATACTTTCCCGATCGGTCCACTTGTTTTTCCCGATTCGACTATTTCCCATTTCGTCTACTTTCCTGTTTGGTCTAGTATTCCGGTTGGTTTACTACCTCGTTTGCTCTACTTTACCGTTTGGTTTACTTTTCCATTTGGTCTACCTTCCCATTTGGTCTACTTTCCTGATAGGTGTACTTTAATGTTGCGTTTACTCAAATAATGTCAGTACAGAGTACCTACTAAAAAAACCGACCTCAAAAGTTTGTGGAATTATTTATTTATTTGCCAAGTTTTATTGAAATCGGTTACCGGAAAGTGCGTGAAGCCGGATTCACCCTCCATTATAGTTTGCCACCCTTGGAGGTGGAATATTTTCTTTAAATTTAAATGGGACCACTACTGACTCTTTCCAACAAAAAAAAAACCATCAAAATCGGTTTACAAAAAACTGGAGTGATCGCGCAACATACATACAAAAAATACAGTCGAATTGAGAACTTCCTCCTTTTTTTGAAGTCTGTTAGAAACTATCTACTTGATTGTGTTTTTTCAAATCATGGTTAACGTAAAGCGGCCATCATTATCAAAAATATAAAAATGTAACTCCTTTACAAAATACCTTTGAAAATTAGCAATTTAAAAAAAAAATTAATTTATTAATTTACGTGCTTAAAAGGAGGACCATTTCGACAAGCGGACCGATCAAGAAAGTAGACCGATCTGGAAAGTAGACGAAATGAGAAATGGACGAATCGGGAAAACAAATGGACCGATCGGGAAAGTAGACGAATAGTGAAAGTGGACCGATCGGTAAAGTAGACGAAATGGGAAATAGAGGAATCGGGAAAGTGGACCATTTGGACAAGTGGCCGTATACCGCTTGTACCGAAGGGATCTGATTAGGTTGTCGTTTTTACATTAAAATTTGGCAAGTTGTACTACAGTTTATAAACGTTGCACCTGTTCATAAGTCTCCTCAGGAAAATCAACTCCATATTCCTTGAGCACATCAATAATTTCTCGCAAAGGTTCGAACATAGTTTCAGTCTGTGCGTCCATCTTAGCACGAACTTCGTTTAGTACGCCCATAACTTTCAACAAACCTTCGTAGTCGTCATCTCCTAGCTCTATAGAAAGCTCTTTCGTCGCATATGCGATGAATTGTTCTAGATCGTCTAAGCTGAAAATTTTACCACTGTTAAAAATACTGTAGAGCTAGCACGACACGGCGCGACTTGCGCGAAAGCGATATAAAGTGCGAGAGCGACATAAAACGCGAGTGCAACATAAAACGCGAGAACGACAAAGAGCGAGAGTTACACAAAGCGCGAGAGCGACATAGCGCGAGAGCAATATAAGGCGCGAGATACTCTATTCTCGCAGAAAGTATCTCGCATTATGTCACTCTCGCGCAAGTCGCGCCCTGTTGTGCTAGCCCTACTGGTAGCGAAGGTGCGTACGGAGAAAATTTAAGAATGAAGACACGACAAGACCTCATTTTTTATTCGTCCTTTCTTTGCGTCCGAGAAAAAAGTACTATACGTTAATTTAGGATAAAGCAATTCTTAATACCAATTTGGATAATTTTCAGCTTAATTTTCCCTAGCTAATTTTGGTGGCAATTTTTATTATTTAAGCATTCGAGTACATTATCGTGAAATATTAAATAATATTTCAGGATACTACACTCGAATATCAAGTACTTCGTGATAATATTCTGGAATATTTAATAATAAAAATTGCCACCAAAATTAGGTAGAGAAAACCTGAAAATTACTCAGTTGCATCCTTCGACCGTTTTGAAACAACTAAGTAACATAGTCATTCACACATATTAAATGATATAACGTTGGATTACAGATTTTTAAAGCATTTCGATTGTGATTGCCAATAACACATACCTCTTTTGTACATAGTCTTTCAAATTTTGCTTAAACAAGTTGCTCCACTTGCAGATGATATTCATGATGGCTTGGTTGAGTCGTTTCAAGTCTAACTTGAGCCAGCCATTGACGAGATAATCTGGCGGTAAGGCTGCCACTTCATCGTATAATGCATTGTACTTGTCGATCTATGATAAATTAAAAAATACATTGAACAAGTGATATTATTAGATATGCCTCCGTTTAAGGTTACATTATGTCTGTCAGTGTCGAACTTGCATATTAAAATCATTCAGGCATAAAGTTTACCTCTTTTTGATACTCTTCTAGTGTAGGCTTTGCCTCCGGTGGCTCTTGACCTTCATTTTCGAACTTATACTTGTCAATTTCTTCCGGAGAAATTACTCGACCGTACTTAAGGAAACCATTGAGTACCTCTTGGCGGTCTTCGGTCCATAACGATGCATATTTCTTGTATTTCTGTACACAGATGCAATAGTTGTAATCCATGTATTTATTATTTTGTAAATTGGTTAAGCCATTTCGTTTGGGTTTTGATTCAATTAAATCTTAGTAGCAGTAGAGCTCCTTGTGCAAGGGTTCGTCCAGGTAAGTACTGACACCTTATGTATTTCTGCAGCCAAGCAGGAACGCAGTAATGCTCATAGCATTACGGCGTTCCTTGAAGGGTAATGATGCTGGAGAAATTACAGGCATATGGGACTCGTCAACTTATGTCTCTGGGTGACGGGCAAAATGGGAATGCCTCTCAGATCATTGCGATTTAAAGCTCTGAGTGGCGCTCTGAGTGCAAGTGCTATGGACAGGCGTGTCGTTTACAACAGGTGCACGAGTTTAAAAAAATCTTTGTATTTTTAGGGTACCTATTGGTATGTTAGTTTGGACAGGGCTCCATCACTCACTCAAGGTTACTCGATAAGTGCGTATCGCTGAGTGTACCGAGGTCGGCACAAACACGAGCCTCTCACACTCTGAGCCCGTGCTTAGGTTTCTTTTTTCTACCGTAGTGAGCGCTTAGTATCATTAGTCAGATTAAGTGGGCTATTATAGCGTAGTATTTTCGATTTTGCATGAGAGTGATGTCTTATTTACGTAGTAACTATTAAGTAATCTGTAGTTTGGAATGCAAGATGGCATACAGCATATTGACTTCTATTGGATTGATGGATTTTGTTCAATTTTATTAAATTATTTTAATGCAAGACTAATGCATTCCTATATTTTAGGACTTTTAAAGTTTTAAAAATTTATACAAACGGATTTTTCATAATCTATTTCACCGACTCACCCCGGAAACGCTGTTGGATAAAGATATCGTATCCGAATCAGAATCGAATGTTTAACTCAAATGCTCTGAATAGCTCGGAAAGCGCCGTTCGATTCGAGAACGATATCCAATCGAACGATTTGGTTAAAATATCGAAGAGTTCTGAATCGGGGTGCTGATATATAGGCTATCATTGCTTATTTAGTACCTAATGGATTTATGGATTGATATAATTTGCCAGAATTATGTCCACAACAAATCCACCATCTCTACAACAATTAAGTGGATAGAACGACCTACATAGAATGTAGATAATTCAAATGGAGTTTTTATATATGAAATGAGTATTTTATCTTAGATATCTAAAAAACTATTTAACTGTAAATTACCGTAGCATAAGTCAGAACGTCCGCTATGCTGTTTTCAGTCCTCTTCAAAATATCGTGATAGAGATCGATCAACTTGTCTTCCTCCGCTATGTCATCTAAGAGAATAAACTCCAAGTTACTATAATGAATTATGTGTCATAGTTTTTTATTAAAAATGCACTTATAAATTATTTCGACCGAGTACAGTTACAGTTAGGCAAATTAATATGATTAGATAACATTGTTGTTTTCTATAAGTATTACAATTGAATGTAGTCCAACAGATATTCAGAGTAATTAATCTTATTAAATATACCTTCGTAAGACGCGATTGTAATGATAGGATCGATCCTCGGAAAGAGTGTGGCCTGCAGGAACATGTCTTTCATCATCTCTTTCAATGTGTCGTACACGCCGTCCTCGTCGTCCAAGTCCAGCGAAGGAGTAAAGCAAATATCTAGCAAAATAACAGAAAAATCAGATAAATAACACTTTTGTCCACGTTCAATGGGATCTGCCGCATTATCAGAGAATGTAGATAAAGGGCGGCGACAGCTTAGTTGCAACGACGTTAGCCTCCTTTTAGTAGCAGTACAGCTCCTTGTGAAAGAGTTGGTCCAGGGAAGTACTGCCACCTTACCTGTTTCTGCCACCAAGCAGTAATGTGAACATTACTGCATTACGTTTTTAAAAGGTAGGGAAGGGTGCTGGTGAAATTATAGGTAGGTACATGGGCCTTGTCAACTTATGTTTCAGGGCGACGGGCGCAGTGGCAATGCTCTTCAGATCTTTGTAATTTAAAGCTGTTAGTGGTACTGACTGCTACTAATATCGACAGGCGTGTCGCTTACAACTAGACGCACGACTTGTTCTTCCCGTCATTTGATATCGTAAAATAAGAAGGTCCTGCGTTTGAATCCACCAACAGAACTGTACCACTCAGTTTTTTCAAAAGTCGAAATTTTTTATGAAACCTGTATGCAAAAAAGGTAGACATAACCCTTCGAAGATATATCCTAGTCAACCAACCGGTATTGGGCATCTCAAAACGAAACTCTCCTTAAAGGACCCGTGCCCGGCTGTGGGACATATATGTGTCAATGGTCAAGCACCACAATTGAGCGGAAGCGAGCGAAAATGCTTCCAAAACTTAATTAACTTTATTTTTATATTAGTATTAGGTTACTTTACCTGGATCCTTAAGTTCACCAATTACATCGACAAATGCAACATTCGGGCCGGACTCCAAATTAGTCTGTGTCTCAAACAAGTTTAAGCTCGATCCTATAGCTTTCATCACGTGCTTCGATACCTGTTAATAAGTAAAATCTTTTATTTTCAATGCCATATATTATTAATGCCACATTTGTAAACTAAGACAAAATATGAAAGGTCTGCGACTGTGGGCATCAGTGCTTACTAATGAGTCGACGTATTTAACATAAGCTGGCCAGCGTTCTGCACGGAACGCCTCTTCCTCCATTTCTCTACGTTCTTCTTCTATGTCAGCTAGCTCTTCGGGATCTTCGATCACCTCTTCTGCTTCATCGGGAGACTCCACCTCTTCACCTATACAGTCATATTATACAATGTGTTGATTTAAATTCTCGCCATATTTACAGAAGTTATTCCATATCCGAAACTGAACCCAAATCACTAAAAACATTAATCTCAAATAAAATTCCAAAATTCTTATTTTTTATTTAATTGTTGTAAACGTCGATTCGCGATCACCTGATTCAATCAGACAGAGGACCGAGAAAAGAGAAGCCAGTGTTATTATCTTTTTCTGAAACGCAAGCCGATGTGCCCTCGCTCATACACTGGGATGCGCCTACCCCAGTATTCCCAATGTATGAGCGAACGCACTGCAATATGATCACCCCAAATGGTCCCAATCAATAATTGATCAATTCTATTTCTATCTAGTATATTTTTGTGTTTTTACGTGAGATTTTTCTGTTCACAAGAACTGTATTACCATCAAGTGCTTCTTCTTCTGTAGATGACTACAGGCGCACTTGGCGTCCATAATGACTAACTAACATAAGAATAACTAACATTTTTAGTTTTCATTAGTCGGAGAAGATTACGAGTGTCGAACAATTACGCGCAAAAACTGTCTCCGCTTTCAAACTTGTGAAGTCAACTAACAATTTTTTTTAGTCGACGTATTATTTATATTATTAATTTCTTAAATATAGCGAGAATGCAAATCAACACACTGTATAAGTTAATGAAATAAGTATATAGTTGCTTTGGAGCCTAAAATGGTAATGCTAGAACTTATGGCATCATAAAGCTTCGTCTTGTAGTTGAAATTTCGTAAAATAGCAATAGTCTAAGTGCATTTGTTACATTATTGCGTGTTACTGTTAAAATTTTTGTTTATTGTTAATATTTTGTAATAGATAATTAAAATTGTAGAAAATGAAAACCTCCCCCTTTTCCAATTCATTCCAATTGAAGGTACAGCACACCTGCATTCACACTAAAACAATGACCATTCATGACATTTCTTTGTTTACATTTTGAACATCTAGTTATGATTCATACTATAGTCGGGATTTTCTAAACACGTAATGCCGAAAATAAAAAATAACTAAACAAATTGTTATTGATATGTGATATCGAACCAGCGTCTGTCGCCTCAATGTGTCACGCTGATTCGAGTTAAGTCGTGTCGAATGAATGTTTTTTGTATTTGTTTGATCTTTATATCAATAATCAATACTAATAACAAAGTACTGGAGAATTTTAAAAGAAATAGCGAATATCACGGTAGTACAAACATCATGATATTGATTAAAAAAATATAATAAAAACAATAACTAAACAAATTATTGCACACGGAATGAAGTTTTTTCAACCTTGGTGTAAGCTGACGCAAATCCATACAGGGCCAGCATAGTGAACTAGGGCCTAAACCCAGTCCTAGTTGTGCCCAGTGGTGGGACGTATAATATCTGAGATAATAGCAAAAACTAAACATTATGACTCTTCTTATGGCAACAATAATTATATACCTGCATCCCGACGCGCTTGCCGCTCCGCCTTTTCAGCTTCCTTCGCCTCTCGTTTCAAGCGTCTAGCATCTCTCCGTTCTTGTTTAATCCTTTCTATTTCAGCCTTTTCAGCTGCTCTTTCTTCCTTTTCCAACCTCTTCGCCTCTCTCGCTTCGGCCTTCTGTTGCAGTAGCAAAGCGCGTGCTGCTTTCTCATCGTCGTCCATTGTGCTCTCATCTACTTCTTCTTCCTCCTCTTCTACATCTTCTTCCTAAAGGGTACCGACTTGGGTAAGATATTTTTATTATGATATTCAAGGCGAAAAACTTTTACCCCGTAATATGAAGTACAAAATACAATTACAACATCAAATGTTAACACGTCGTAGATATTCATTACAGCCGAAACACCCCACTGCTGAACATAGGCCTCCCAAAGGACGCCACAACGACCGGTCTTGTGCTGCTTGCATCCAGCGGATTCCTGCAACCTTCGCCAGGACATTGGACAACCTTGTGGGTGGTCTGCCCACGCTGCGTCTTTCAATACGCGGTCGCCACTCGAGATCTCATAGCCCCCATCGACTATCGTCTGCGAGCAATGTGCCCCACTCAGTAACACTTGTAGCACATGTCATATATAAATTAGTACCTCGTCTTCGTCTATTATGTTGAAGAAGAGTTTATAGTTGTCTCGCAAAATATTCACAAATTCTTCTTGGCTGTCAAGTATCTTGTCACGCCTGAAATAAGATTATGAAATAGTATAGCTGTAACACGTCTCATTCCATATACCGAAGTAGGTCTTCAGTATATGGAATGAGATAGAGATATATATAGAGAGAGCATTATATAAAAAAAAATATGTTGTATAATTTATTTTATTGTTGTATATTATTTTATTTGTTACGTAATTACGTCACCACATTATAAACGCACACAGTAGGTATATTAATTTTTTTTTTGCTATATTTAAGTAGGTACTTTTACGATCTATAATATACACACAACAGCAACAGAACGTACGAAGAACACATACACAAATATTTAAGCAGTTTATTTTATTTTGAGGGAGCGCCCTTATACATACACTCAAATTACAAAAGAGCTATCGTACCGTGAAAGCTATACCAGACCTGGTGACGAAGCGCGACATACGTCCATTAATGTCCAGCAATTCGAGTTTGTCCGGATTTGTTCTGCGATTATGGAGTGGAATGTTTCCCCATGCGTCAATGTGAGCTAAGCCTCGTTTTACATTATTCTGGGCTTGAAGTACCCGCTCTTGTAGCGTGTTAATCGCTGCATATACTTCGTCCAGCCAGTTCGCAACTAAAGGCCAGCATAGATTAGTTAAGTACAGTCTGTCGAAAACTTACGGATCATAATAATTACAATTCTTTTATAAAAAAAACGGTTTCAAAAATTAGTGGAAGTGAAACAGAGGTGAAATATTTTCCTCAAATTTGAATGGGATCACTATTGAGGTACCCCCATTCTAACAACAAAAGAATCATCGAAATCAGTTCACAAATGTCAGCGTAATCGCGTAACATACACACAAAAAATGCAGTCAAATTGAAAACCTTTCTTAAAGTCGGTTAAAAAAAATTTACACTCTATAGACAACGATGCACACTATTGTGACTCAATTGTCATTGCAACAGATTTTAACAATTAAAATGCTCAATTAATGTTCAATTAAAATTCATTTCAAATTATAAAAATTGGTAAAAACAGTAGATACAATGTCGTTGAAAAGATATAAGGTTATTTGGAAACCTTATACCTTTTCACGTGAACTTTCCAATTGGTTAGTTTGCAATAAATAGCATTTCTATGAATTTATTCACAGAACTGAGAATCGTTTCAGCACTGACTTTTCCTTTAAAATATTAAAAATACAGACTTAGCTTCTTAGCTATTTTAATATTGTTTATAATAATCAACGCCCGAACAAGAGCAAAACTTCACAAAAATGCTGCTGAAAAAATAGCTGCCTGCCATCTGTTGTTAAATCGCGGGTTTACTTGGTAACATCTATTGATAACATATCCATAACTGCTTCCGTGGCCGAACGGTTACCATGCCGGACTGCCACGCAGAGGTCCTAGGTTCGATTCCCGGGCCGGGAGAAATATTTGTATGGCCTACATTTATTTCTCTCGTGAGTTTGGGTGTAATTTGTGTTTGTGTCTATGTATGTGTCCATGGCACCCGCGACACAGGGTTTCCCTAGTGCGGGGCTATGATGAGTGTGTGCGTTATTATTATTATTATTATTGTGTTTATTTTAAACTCTCGCCTCTCCCAAGGCCTAAAAGACTAATTTTGAATTTTATTATTATTATTATTATGTTTATTTTAAACTCTCGCCTCTTCTAAGGCCTAAAAGACTAATTTTGAATTTTTAAATGGGAGAGGCGGTATTTCCCGGCTATGGCACAGTCGGCCGGGGTCAGGGACTCAGGTCCAAGAATCGGCGAACAATACGTGCCGTATCGAGCAGGACCGCCTTCTGCACTTGTGCTGGAAGCGACACGCCACAGAAATCCAACCGCCTCAAGCTGTTAGAAAGGCTGACTGGAATTAACCCATTTGCGGACAAAACAATTGGGATTATTTCAGTGGAGGCCACATCCCATTAATTATATTATATTAGCAAAAATTCAAGGCTATTATTATTATTATTATTATTATTGATCGTGGTTAAGAATACAAAATAAGCGTCCGAATAGGCGGAGTTACGAGTGCGAAATTTCTTTGTATGAGATTGGGTATCTATCTATACTAGTATAATATTATATTATCTGTGGTCTTAGACAAGCGTCACAGTACATTAAAGAAAACGTAATTTATGTTTTTTTTATGATATCAACAGTGGCAGATTTGCCCTAAGGCCCAGTAAGCCCGGGCCTAGGGTGGCTAGATTTTAGGGGCGGCCAATCGTGACAAAAAATTCACTGATGATAACAAAAAATAAGTACCTTTACTTCACGAACAATGTTATGTTAGAAATTCTGATTTAACAATGCGAATTAGAAAAGCGAGCTGTGATACCGTCTTCTCCATCATTAAACACTTAAATGTAAATAAAAGTCGAGGATTTGACAATATACAAATAGCACACTTAAAACATGTAATTTCTGACATTACCCCTTTGATTACACACTTAATTAACAGTTGTTTTACTACGTCATTGTGTCCCGACGATTTAAAGATCGGCATGATAAGGCCCATATACAAAAAAGGTTCCCATAAGGATTTAAATAATTACAGGCCTATCACGATACTACCTTCCATTGATAAGATAATTGAGAGGTACATTGGAAACGAAATAACTAACTACTTGAGTACTCACAACATAATTAACAACAAACAATATGGTTTCCAAAGACACCGAAGTACATCGCAGCTATTATCTCGATTTACTAATGAGGTCAACGAATACTTAAATGACCGGCAGCATGTGCTTATTGTTTTTATTGATTTTAGCAAGGCATTTGACACTTTAAATTACAATATACTATATTCTAAACTAGAACAAAATGGAATACAGGGTCCATTACTTAAATGGTTTCAGAACTATCATAGTAACAGACATACTTGCGTAAGCATAGCAGGAGCGGTAAGCGAGAGAACTGTAACTGAGGAGGGCACAGCGCAAGGTTCAATTTTAGGACCAATTGAGTATTTGATTTATGTGAATGATATGTGTAACATTTTTACAGGCGGGTCAGTATATCAATTTGCGGACGATACTTGCATAATTTCCTCACACAAAGAGATTAACGAGGCTCAAAAAATACTCCAATACAACTATGATCAAATTTGCAAGTGGGCTCATGACGTAGGGCTCGTTATTAATTCAGACAAAACTAAAGTTTTGCATGTACATTCTCCGTACATAAAATCATCATCAACGCCTACCATCGTGTCACACAGTCACCAATGTTTACATAACTTAACAAGCAACGTGTGCTCTTGTCGCACCTTGCAGTTGGTCGATCGACATACTTATCTAGGACTTATTATAGATAAACAATTTAGCTGGAGACCTCACATAGATCACGTTTGTAACAAATTAAGAGCTATTGCGACTAAACTATATATTTTAAAATGCAAGCTCCCGTATAAGTCACTGAGAATGATTTATATGTCTCTTGCCGACTCCATAATAAACTATGGCTTATGTAGCTACGGGCGCACTTATCCTACCTTCTTGGATAATATCTATAAACTGCAGTTATCCTTGTTAAAATTAATTGTTCCTTTCAACGTAAAATTAAAATTTAAGGATAACTATGAAAAATTATTTGGTTATTGTAAGGTTATAAATGTATTTGACAAAGCAAAAATGCTATGCGTATGCCAAGATTACGATAATTGCAAGCACAATCTGCGAAAGCGAATGCGCGCTGAACAGTTGCGCTCGCTTTCATATATGCCGACATTTTCGTTGCCGGGTTACAATAACGTTTATGGAATGCGCAGGTCGGACTACATGCTGCCAAAAACTTTAAACGATCTTCCAGGCACAGTACTAGATGCAATCGAGGGTGATGTCAGGAAATGCAAAGCTATTTTAAAGAAGTACTATCTTGGGTCGTAATGTAATTTTTCATTTCATTTGTATTTAGCTCTCTTAATTGTAATATATTATCTGTATTTTAGTAAGTAGTAAGCTAATTTAAGTACCGAGCTTGTTGGCTCATCGCTAGGTGGTTAAACCATTAAGTTTTTACCTAGCGTTAATGTAATAAAATAGTTAATGTTTTTGAAATTGAATAAATTAAAAAAAAAAAAAAAACCTAAATATTCTAAAAAATTCACGCACATTATGGCGGGCCGCACTGCACCGCGTCGTATAACAATAATCTTCCTAAATATGAATATTGTAAAATATAGATATGTTACATATCTATAATGTAATGTATAATCACTACATCACTACATATTATCACTACCGCGTTTGTCTGTCTGATCGCGATAAACTCTAACAACTACTGAACGGATTTTCATGCGGTTCCCACCAATAGTGATTCATGAGAAAGGTTTAAGTGTATAATTTATTTAGGTTTTGTGTAAGTTGGCTGAAATATGATGATAAATGTTAAAGATGTCCGTGTGTGGGTGTGCGCCCCGTAAACTAACAGAGATATATCAAATAAAGTTCTAAAAAAATATTAAAATTATTAAAAATATTAAATAGTAAATTGTGAATCGATTTCGATAAAAGTTGGCAATAAAGTAAATTCATTATGCAGTCTACCAGTATATGGACATATGATGAGTGCTGAGAAAGGGGCGGCTGGTACTGACTACATGGCCTGGGGCCTAGGACAGCCAAGACTGCAAATCCGCGACTAGATATCAAGTTACATGACGAACAGTCGTATGCCTGGTGGTAAACGACTACGTACGCTTGTATAGCAGCATAACAAATATCATAATTGCAACAATCTCAGTGTAGTCTCAATGGAATTATACTGACCAGCGGTTTCAAGAAAATTAGCAGACTTGGGGTCCTGGCAAGGTTCAACACGCGATATAATAACATATATTAATTTAACAAAAATAACAATAACAAAAATTCAAGGCTGTTGGTTTTCATATCAGTGTTAGCGGACAGTCGTTAATCAACTAGGGTTCATAATAAGCTGTCAGTATACACTCACAGTCATCGTTCCAGGTAAACTCCTCGACGCCGCGGCCAAGCAAATTGTCGATGGCCGAGATTTCCTTCTCGATCAGTGCCACTTCCGTTTCATGGCTGCCTTCGCGAATGGCGTTGTACCATGCGATGGCGCGGTTAAGACGATTCATATCATACTGTCAACCAAATGCCACATATCTTCGTTTTCAATTATTACCTTTTTTATTTTAAATAATTTCAGTATGTTTATGAACACACAGGTTGAAATCATCGGTTATAACAAGCCAATAATATTTAGATACTTACCAATGTTACAAATAAACAATTTTTTGTTATTATATTTGTGTAAGTAGTTTTCATGCATTTGGAAGTAGTATAATTCATTTGGTATTCTGCGACATTAGTATCTTACCTGAGTAATAAAAAATTACCTGTAACTTTTCATTTCGATCGTACAACTCCAAACCATCTGGAGGAATCCCTTGTTTGTTTAAGTACTTCATGTAGCGTATTTCACGTAGCAACATTACGAGCTGGAAAAAGATAAAAACTCCACGTTCGAAATTAAATGGAGTAAAGAAATGTGTCAGTTGCTGAATGTTTGTCGTTATTTCAAAAATTCTTTCATTTTACACTACATTTTACAAGTGGAGATTCACCATGTATGTATAGGTACGTCTACCTTAACAGGTTGAACTGTTTGCGTTTTCTTTTGCTCATACCAGCATTAGGATTAATTTACCTCTGGACTGAAGTTATTCCTGACGAAAGGCGGCTCGCGGTAAATGAGGTTCTTAGCCAGGTGTTGCTTGCATATTCCAGGTACAGTCGTACACCACGCCTTAAACTGTTTGTCCTCCACTTGGTTCAAATATGTTAGCATTTCATTGTGTTTCTGCTTCATATATTGTGCATTTTCTGTTTCAATGATGCTGTAATAATCACAAACTTATTAAGTCACTTTTAAATCCTAAAATGTTAGATTGTATTTCCTTTTTACCAACACAGTAGTGTTTGAAATAAAAATTGTTTTAATTTATTCTCATTGTTTCAGTTTTTATTGGGATTGGAATATTAATTAATTTTTCGATAGATCGTTCCTTATAATCTGTTTGGAGCTTAGCCGCTTAGCTAACCTAAATTAGTACCCTACATTGCAAAGTGACGAGTGGTTAATGTTCATCTCTTCCAGGTACGAAATCATTAATACTAGATCGTTGCCTCAGAGTGAAAACCTCGCGTACGCGTTTTCACATAGTTCGTTTTTATTTATTTTTGTTGAGGAAAAACTTCTTGATCAAATATATTATGAAAGTAATACAGGGTGTAAAACGACCCTTAACGAAGTCGAAATATATGCATAGTGTACATGAAACTAAGACATAATATTATCGGGAAACAACTTTTATTTTTAGGTATTAAAAAACAGTTGTTATTTCGGACGCGCAATGTAACGTGTGCAACAAAATGCTCAAGTGTGCGCGTGTCTTCGGTACGCGTTCAGTCTGAACGTAGACTGCAATGAACCGAGCGCGTTTAGCCTCCGTAGAACTTTGGCTGCCGTTCGCAATTCCAAACGTGTGTTTTCTCACACCATGTTGAGAATAGATTATCTGAACTTCAATCCCGTAAAGTCGAAGTGTTCCAAGAGCCATGCCATAATACAAAATCATGTTAACACTGTCTCAAGCACTAGTTAGTTAGTAAGCATGAAAAACACAAAAACACCGCTCAACGCGAAATACTGGTTTCTTGATATCAACAACACAACGCATTACGTAACGACTCTCAAGTATAATACAGGACTTAACGATCCGCACACGCACTGAAACAAATTGCCAAGCGAGGCTTGAATCTCCCGATCCCCCCACACCCGCCTCACTCGCCTCACTCTTTTCGAAAACATCGTGGATCGTATTGGCGCACCCACTAAATTCGTTTTAGTTTAATTTTCTGTATTAAAAATAAAAAAATTGTATTGAAGACAAAATATAACACTCAGTACTTAAGTTTATTTAGTTTTTAGTTAATTTAGGCTGTGCTGGATGCCACAAATCATCGTTCTCGCCGAAGTACGTCGATCCGTCCTTATGGCACCAGCTGAATTACGCGTTTGTGTGTATGTATACTTCATTGCTGCATGGCGGCGGTCGCAAATCGAACGATATTCATTGCGGGTTTTTAGTTTCAAACGTCTCGTTTACTTCTAAATTAAAGAAAAAAATATTGCATTATTAATACAATAGTTGTATTAATAATTATAATTATAATGTTTGTTTGTAAGAAAGCTAAAATAGATTGTGTAAAAAACGTGAAAAGAAAAATGTTCACTTTGACTCTCAATAACTTCTTAAATTATCAAGTTTCCAGACATGGCCCCATATAAAAAAAATACTAGTAAAGATGGGAAGAATACGTGGCTCATACTTTCTTTAAGCGTCTTTTTACACCCTATACAGTATCTGAAAGAGGTATAATTTCACTACTTATGTTAACTATTGCACTATTGCGTTTACTACATTTTATACCACATTTTTATCTTCGCCCTGAAATATTACATAGAAATCACATACGAGGTATTTACTCTAAGACGGCGATATAAAATAGATGTTTCGTTGCGTCTGGACAAACCTTTTTCTCCGGACAGTCTTCCTAAAAAAAGCCTAAAGTAAAGCTTCGCTGATAAAAGGTAAATATATGAGCGTCTTAATCATCAGTACTTAAAAAGAAAATGATACGAAATTGAAAATTAACAAAGTAGTAACACAGAAAATAATCCTCTTACGGATCTTCAAATAAGATGAAGTCTTCCATAGGATCCAGTATACGCCTCCTTAGCTTATGAACCCACCAAATCATACCAGCAACTGGAGGCAGATACGGATCAACCATCGGCCTTTCAGGTCCCTTCGTTAATTTCTGCCAACAGTAAAAGTATACATAAAAAATAATAAGGTACAAATAACTATACCGATTATCTAATCTCAAATTAGGGAATTTCCTGTACTATGAAGATCAGAATAATAGTATTCACTCCGGCGCACTATCCCGAACACCCAGACGAAACTCAATTTTCAAAAGTTCATTTCCTAAATGGACCAATTTAATTCCGGGAATCGACGTTCCTCAACTAATCCTTATTCAGCGCTCACGGTGAAGACCGTTGAGCCAACGAGGTCGTCGAATCGTGGTTTAACAAATCTGAATAGATTTAATCTTAAGGGGCAACTTAGTATACATAGTAGTTGGTTTCATCAGGCGCAGAATTGAAATAATATATGTAGTCGATTTTTCCAGGTCAGTTAAAAGTGAAGACTCACAGCCATCTCTTCATCAAATATTTCCTTAACAGCGTCTAAGTTAGAGTGCATATATTCAAGAAGCCGGGGAAGTTTAGGTTTCAATTCGGCCTTGATTATTTTCCGATGGAACAAATCTCCGATTATTTGGAAGAACTGAAATAATACAGTTGGTTAATCATTTTCAAGTTATCTGATCCAATCAAAAGATCTTCAGAAAAACGTGTCACAAAATCATTGTCGGCAACATTTGTTATTTTCAAATCATGAGCCGTTGGAGTTAATATACAAATAATAGGTTAGGTTAAGTTATAGAAATGAACATTGATTTAGATTACATATACATATGTATACGTTATGCTTAAGACCAGTAAACGAGTTTAGGTTTTTGCGATCATTGGAAATGAAACAATTTTTTCCAAAAATGGCGTACATTAGTTTTCTCAAACAAACCAACATTTCGGGTTCTTTGCAGGTCACGGCTGTTTGAAAAAATACAATCCAAGTAAATTTTATTTAAAAAATTCCAATAGCAAAATAAATTACTAAGCAAATAGGAACAAATAATTTAAAAGTTGTTTACGAACTTCGTTTAAATTAAAATTTACAGTCAAAAGAAAAAAAATACAATTTACGCATTCTGCCTTGTCGTCACTAACAAAATACTTGCGTGTAATGCAGTTGCGTACTTTACTTTTATCCCGAACCTACACGAGGGTAGGAATAATGCTTTCAGATAACGCGAATAGAACACGATTTAAAATATTTCACCAAGCTGTGCCCATAAGTTCAACGTTTGCAACTCGGCATATTTATTATATCATACCACGATCATACCTTAAAGAAGTGTGTCAGATTGTGGCATTCGTCCAGTCCCTGAGAGAACAGCGAAGCGAGTCGCCTATCAACGTCCCCAATAATATCCATATATTTAGCATAATCTGGTAAAAAGCTCTGATCTTCGGGATCGGCTGGATCGTACGTTATATAACCTAGTTCTTGATATTTTATTTGATATTCTTCCAATACCTAAAATCATTTAATCAAAAAATTATATAATCTATCGAGTTCTTTGGTTTTCGCGATTGTTACACATAGGAAATGAAACTATTTTTCCGGATTTAAATCGCGTATATTTGTTTTTTTCAATCAAACCGACGTTTCGGGCCCTTTACAGGTTTCATGGTCACGGTTGACTGAGGTGGTACAGTCTTCAACCAGTTCTGTCTAATATTAAAGCAAACCACCCTATTTTTTCACTATAGTTACAATAGTTATTAATTAAATACCTTATTTTTAATTTTACAAAGCAAACATTCCAATTTACGCTACATTAAGTTTTACAAATTATTTTATTGAATGAATTTTTATTAAGTTCAATTTATTATTAATAAATGATAGAAATTAGAATAAATTAAAATTTAATGTACCGTAAATTGGAATGTTTTCTTTGTAAAATTATAAATAAGGTACCTATTTAATTAATAACTATTGTAACTATAGTGAAAAAATAAATATGGTGGTTTGCATTAATATTAGACATAACTGGTTGAAGACTGTACCACCTCAGTCAACCGTGACCATGGGACCTATGAAGGGCTCGAAACGTCGGTTTGTTTGAAAAAACAAATATACCTCGCGATTTAAATCCGGATAAATAGTTTAATTTCCTATTACACAATCTAAATAATTAATAATTATGAATTATTTTTTGTCATATCGAGTAGAAACTTCCAAGATTTCCAATAAACTAGTTTAGCAATTCATTTGCTTTTAACTGTAGCTGATTCCTGTCCTGATGGGAACAAAGGCGAATGTAACACTAGATATGAGCGCCGCGCCGGAGCGCCGCCGTCAGTCGCCGCGTTTCTCTCCGCGCCGCCACCACCGCACCGCTGACAAATGCAATCGGCGCGCTGTTCAGTTCAGTTCGATCAGGTAGTGTTAGGTAGGACTTGAAATTAAAATGAGCTTGAAGGTGTACCTCATTTGAAAAAATGAGGCGGTTCAATGTCCTACTTCAAATGAGGTGACGTAGTGGTAAAAATGTTTGCACCTACGATAATGATTCAACAGACAGGGAATATTAAGCACATTTTCATAACTTGATGGTATCAGTCAATTAGATAACTTAAGTGTTATGATATAGTATAAATAAATGCTAATTTTATTTACTACGTATTATTATGATGTAAAATCAGCTAAAAAGCGGACAGTGCAGGAACAATCATTGTTGCATTTGTTGAATTCGAAACAGAGTGATATGAGTGAGACTGTGACATGAAGCTATGATATGAGGTGAGGTGTGAGGTGGGACATTTTTATGACATGAGGCGTTGTGACAAACTAACTAAGCCAGTGGTACAAACGAGTTGCCTCGTGTATGAGTAACTCAACACTACGATCAGGCGCTTCGGCGCGATGGGGTCGACGATGTAGCATGCGCACCTAAATAATACATATTCACCCTCGCCTTGAAAAGTTCCAAGTTAAAGCGTTCGAGGAATAAGTCCGCAGGCAGGGAATTCCACTCTCTAGCCGCTCACCATATAAATGTGGAATCGAAACCCTTCGTGCGAATCTTGGGAATATATACAACATAGGGGTGTAATTCCAGCCCACGTCTAGTCCCCCGTTGATGGAAACCGGAAGGCGGAATCAAATTATGCAATCGCACACTCTCCGTGATATATCCTGTAGAATACCGATAAGCAGGCAACTGAACGGCGTTGTACAAAACTCTGCATCTTCGCCTCTACAATTCCGAGTTACCTATAAGTCTTTTCGCACGCTTGTCGATTGAAGCCATGGTGGACAGTTGGTATTTAGCACGTCCAGTACACGACCGGACTTGTGCTTAGTACAGCTGAAGTATCTGTCCCGGTGTGAAGTAACGCCTCACCTTGGAAACGATGCCTAGCTTCCTGGCTGCATTTTTGGCCATGGATTCAATGTATCTGCCGAAGTTTAGATTGGACGATAGGACAGGTCCATTCCAAGTAGCTGGAGACGGTTGGCTATCGGTATGGATATATCACGAAAAATCGGAGGCAGGTGAAAGGGACTCCTTTTTGTGAAGAATAGACACGCCTGCGATTTGGTAGCATTAAACTTGACAAGATTGACATCGCTCTAGTCGGAGACTGCCTTACCTAAATGTCAAATTCAAATGACTAACCATGGACTCTCGACAAGACTGGATTTCTTCTCTACTGACCATTGCATTGGTCAAATACTTGTCCACAACTGTGCTGTCATCAGCATACCCAAAGGCACCTGGAATTAACATACCATTGATATGCAGCAGAAAGAGAGTTGCGGACAGTACGGAACCCTGAGGAATATCTCCAAATGTTCCGAAGAGTAGTCTAAGACCACTCGAATTGAACGTTCACTCAAGAAATCCGAAATCCAATTGTAGAGGTCAGTGAGAAGCCCATAAGAGGAAAGCTTGCTTAAAAGGCTTACGTGCCAGACTCTGTCAAAGGTCTTAGAAATGTCTAAAGACACTGCAAGGGCTTCGTCATAGATGAGAGGTGTACAGAAGAAGATCCCGTACATAAGATCCCCAGTAGATCGCCCTCGTCGGAATCCGTAGTGGCGATTATTGAGGAGATCGTTGTCTTCAAGGTATGACAGGAGACGGTTTTTAGTCCACGTTCCATAGTCTTGCGGAATATGGAAGTGACTGAGATAAGTCTGTAGTTGACAGGGACAGCTCTACTTCTTTTTTTGAGCACAAGGTGCACGTTTGCAAGCTTCCACGACCTGGGAACCACACCAGTCTCAAGTGAGAGGGGATACAAACGTGTGAGAACAGGAGACAACTCAAGCGCACAGTTACGCAGGACTATTGCTGGAATCCCATCTGGCCCGCTAGCTTTATTCACATCTAAACTTCGCAGAGTTCCGAGTACCTGTTTTTGACGTATGCGAACTGGCGCCATACTACAGCCAGTGTGAGATAAAGATGGTGGTAGGTTCCCGGCGACATCCAGACGCGAATTTTCTGTAAAGAGTGAGGCAAAAAGATTCGCCTTCTCTTCCGCAGTATGAGCCAGCGAGCCTCCCGGCCTCAGCAGAGGTGATAAAGAAGGGCAGCTAAAGTTTGTTTCGACCATTTTGGCACAGGACCAAAAAGACTTGTAAAAGAGCTGCCTCCTGGAAAAGAGGCAAGTTTGGCCTTATGCGACGCACATGGTCGAACTTTGCCCTGCGTAACACTCTTTTCACTTCTTGGCAACCTTATTAAAAGCTTTCTTCAGATTCCGAGTACTCGCGAGCTTTGTGTAATCGAGCATCTGCCCAAGCTTCGTACGCCGACTGTTTTTGCTTCAGCACGGCTACAGTCAGCGCTACACCATGGACGAGCATGGATGAAAAAAAAATGGCGCATTCCGTCCCAATCTGCTAACCTGTATCGCCACACCCGTCTCGTACCAGTCGTACCACTAGGGCCCAGAATGGGTGGGGAGTATGTACAGCTTTCACTAGACAGTGGTCAGAAATACCCAATGGTACATCCACAACCACAAAATATCGGTCTGGACCAGTTATTAGCAGTAGGTCCAAGCAATTAGCCGTATGATACACAATATCTGAGATTCTCGTGGCGCCACTGACAAGCTGGGAAAGACTTAGCGTTAACGCAAGTTTACGCGTCTCTCTCCCAGCATGATCAGTTATCTGGTACGGGAACAACTATTATTAGTGGTCTGCACTGAAGTCCCCAAAAATGATTAGTAGCGCCGCTGGGTACCTGTGTTGAGCCTCATCAGACATCTCACTCAGATATCGGAACAGCTTGGTCGTCTTCCACTGTGCGAGCGGTACACACAGCAGAACTTACATTATTTGTTTACTCCCATGACCTCATATTCGAAAATGTTTTGTTTAAAACATTAATTTCTCAATATCTGACGTCGCCATTTTCAATACGCATACACAATACGGAAGTGTGCGCGTGCTTACGATCGGAACGCCTAATCGAACTGATAAAAATTTGATTAGGTACTTTAGAAAATACGTTATTTTATTTTTTCCTTTCAAAAAGTATTTGTTTTGTGGTTGGTTCCCGCCGCCGACACTTTTTCGTCGGCGAGTCGCCGCCTATTGGTCTATTATCGACGCTCATATCTACATATGTGTGTTACTTAAATCACAGTGCCATACCTTCATACACTCAGTACTTAGTATTTTGCCCCTCAATCCACAGAATTCAACCTTCTCTAGCTTAAGTATCTCTGTGGTCGCCTCTACCATATCCTCGATCATTTTTAGCCTCTTCATGTATATGTTGAATCGCATAAACACGCGGTCAAAATCAAACGCCCATCGCACAGGGATCACCCCCGGTGGAAAGAATGTGTGCACTTTGTCTCGATTCATCTCATATGTTTCACTGTAAGATCAAAATACATCATCATCATCTAATATAGATGGGTGCTGTAATATAACTAAAGATCGAAAAGGATGGCCTGCACTCACTAGAGAAGAAGTAAATAAGTAAGACAACTCAGACATTGATTTTACAATTACCATTGTAATCTTTGGCTTATTAGAAAAATAGCAATCGAATAGACCGGCCAAAATTCTGAACATTATTTTCAAGCCGTAGACTCAAAATGGAAAGAGTTGCCTTAAGCGCCACGCAAGTGGGCGGACAATCGCAGTGGACCTCTTAAAGAAGTAATTACTTCACTCAAAGATCTAAAGGCTTAACTCAGAGAACGACGAGGTAAAGTACATACCAGGCGAGACGATGTAGTACCTATATTCTTGTTTATATAGTCTTTTTGTTACTCTTGCACAAGAGGCATAGCTACTACCCTTGATTTTTCCGTTACTCGCTTAATACAATATAAGATTCGGGTGATACTTTTCATGTGAAACACATCACCACCAACACCCACACATAAACAATATCAAAATTACTTCCACACATAACTATACTACTAAGCTACGTACTCGTGTAGAAACAAATCATCAATAATACAAAATAAAGAATAACTTACACAAACAGTTTTAGGTTTTCCATACCCTTTCTTAGTTTTATTAACTGCTCATCCGCCTCCCCTTGAAATATTGACGGAGGGTCGATAGAATTCGTGCACTGTTGGATCACCAAGTTGCAAACCTCCCTTAAAAGCGCTGGAAAAAACAAGTAAACTAAACATGTACATAATTTCCAGATAATACGGCACATCAATCAATTCATAATAATCAATATCGTATTCGTAGGTTACACCACCACTTTTTACACGATTTTTATTTCTGGGTTATCATATCAATATCATATCATTTTCTAATTGGTTCTAACATGAAAAAGCTTTATTTCCCTACAAAATCTTCGCTTTTATGGTCTGGACAATGAAAAGTTAAAATTTAAGTACCTTAATGGTACGTAAATTTAAAATAAGTAAACTTAATGGGAACGTACAAATTTTTGAGATTTTCTTTATTTAAAGATTAAAAGGCAACATTATACCAATTAATAGTACATATCTATATTTCAACCAAAAATCTTGAAATTGATGACAAAGAATGTGTATAACGAGTTCTAAGGTTTTCGCGATTATTACACATAGGAAATCGGGCCATGGTCAACTGTCAGTTCAGTCAGTGAAGTTAACCGTTACTATGGGACCTGTAAAAGGGCCCAAAACGTTGGTACAAAAACAAATAAACGCGATTTAAATCCGGAAAAATAGTTTCATTTACTAAAAGAATGTGTAGTTTAGCGAGATTAGGTAAATACCATTGTGTAAATCAATACTATCATACAGATACAGAACCATTTTAATAATTTGTTACATAATTATTAATAAAATTCAACTATTGAACTTCGTGTACACATGGACAATTTTTTTTAACGTTTTCATCCGACAACGTCAAACAAAGAGAGACTTATAATTATATCAGCATAATGTATCAAAAAATGTATGTATGTTTTGACATAGTTTCTATTAGTCCATTGTTGCACAGAGTGCGTGTACTCAAAGACATGTGGGGATGTCTTTTACGAACCTTCTTACTAGCTCAGTTCTTACTAGTTCTTCAGATGTACATACGTTAAGAAATTAGCACTTTTTCTAGTGCTAAAATTTTAGTTATCTATTTTTGTAGCACGAGAAAAAGCGCGAACTAGAAATTGTACAAAATATAATATCTACTCAACATCAAAAGTAGGTGAACAGTAATTTTTTTAAATGTAAATTACACATAATACATTTTTTAATACTTAATAATAATAAACTTGTACATAATAAATAATAACAAATCTAATAAAAGAAATACCAACGAAAATTCCACGGAAGCGCATATTTATTTAAGGTTAAGGTTTTTGTTAAAAAAATTATTATTCAGAGACTTCTGATGTTAAGTACGGTTACCTATCACAAGCTAGAAATAACATTTAATAGAAATTTACTCCTCCGAACCTTTAAGCTATTATTGAACAGATTTTGTTTCTTGCCACGTTGTTTCATTTGTCCGAAAACACATTACAATTTTATTGTTACACCGTGTAATGTTTCACTATTTTGACAAACGTCGGGGATAGCGCAATTACGCGTAACTAGCATTTGATTATGAGTCTTCATTTCGGCAATTTAGTCGCCAGAACAAACCCGCGTAAATGTCGTGGCAACCAAATTAGTGGGATTTTCGGGAGTCTATTGTTCGGTCCGTAGACAACATAAATTAATGCTTACTGTGCAAAAATGAAAGTCGTAGCCATTGAAATAACAAAATAATAACGTTAAATACCTCCTCCTCCATCCTCCTGTGAAATTTGGCTTGGTTCAGATACGCGCTTTTTACCAATATGCGCTACATACGCGGATTTGCACTATCCCAAATCATTATGGCAAATTATTCGTTTCCCGATTCTCATTTCACCAATATTCCGTTTGACTAAAATAATTAATTGAATATTTTGTTTTTGTTTAAGAACGATATATACATAATACCTTTTTTGTTTTATTTTTTCTTCAGCTATAATTTGGTATGTTTCACCCAAATAAAAGATAAACAATGCTTATTAGACATGCGTGCTTAGTATATGCAAGCAAGCAGCCTGCGGTAGAGCGCTCGCAGTTCACATTTTTCACCAAACCTCAATTGTTTTGATATATTATTTATAGCTATCATAGTCGTTAGCTACCAAGCATGCAAGCATATATGCAAAGTACGCAAGCATGGTTGCAAGCAAGCACGCCAGCACGCAAACACGTATGCAAGCAAGGAGACAAGCTTGCAGACTATGCTCGCAGCGTGTTTAAGTAACTAAGAGTTAAAGAATAAATGCCTAATAACGATCTGTTCGTTAGTGTGAGGTACAATTTACCTAAAAATTATGTGGAAATGAACCAGCCAAACTTCTGCCTAAAAAAATGTGTATGGATAGTAATTATCCTCTTAATAGTTTTTCGGACAAATGATACTTCTGCTAACATATTTCTGTGTCACAAAATCACAGGCACATGAGACTTGTCAACTTATGTCTCAGGGTGACGGGCGCAGTGGCAGTGCCCCCAGATCTTTATGATTTAAAGCTCTGAGTAACACTACAACTGTTATGGGCAGGCGTGTGGCTTCCTACCAGGCGTACGACTTATCGTCCCGTCACTTGGTATTATAAAAAAATAAAATTCCCAAAATAATGCATTTCCAAACAAAGTATTCTTGCTTGTCATAGTCACCGCTAACTACACGAAGATAAAACAAAAAATCATACGTATCAGTTTTTCAACATTGCAGTAGTATCTAGAATTGCCCCAAAGAAGGCCAATGCAGTGGAACATCGGTCGAATAAGATATTTGGCATCGAGGAAATCTGTCTGCTCGAAGTTCTCGAAATGGCCGATAAGAGGGCGCTGGTACACGTAGATGTCGCGACATTCCACGACAGCTGGTCAGAAATGTAAGTTCTCAAATGTACAGTGAAATTAACACACATCTAAGTCGATTACAATTCAAATAATGTTTAAAGAGACTAATCAATAAATAAAAATATTTCGTTGTCACATAAAAATCTACTACAGGCCGTCATGTAACGAGGTTCCAAAAGATCGTTAGATAGCGTAATACTAATTGACCGTTTTTATGTGCTGACAATAAATGTGTCAATCATCTATACTAGCTCCACCATTTCAGGTCGCATGCCTAGATAGGAGATAGATAGGAGAATGACGAATTAGTTATGATGTCAATTAAGTACGACATAACAACTGGGATGCAATTTAATCCAATTGTTTTAGCCTTGTCAGGTACTGTTAGAAAATGAATCATGTTTTTTTGTCTTTACAAATATGTATGAATATATTCAAGATTACTTACCACCGACAACATTAGTCAGCATAGTTTTAAAACAGTTTAAGTAAACACTACGTGTGTCTTCCAGATAGTGAGCCATCCGTTTCACGCGGGGGTCCCGAAGCTGAGAATAAATGCCTTCGAGGTTTTTAAGCCGCTGGCTATAAAACTCTATGTCTGCCAAAGGCAGAGGGAACCTTGTTCTCTTGAAAGCTAAAACATAATATGTTGTAGAAGTTAAGATTTGAGCCCACAAATTAAGGAGTCACCACACTTATCGATACGGAATCACATCAATCGATCAAAAAAATCTTTATCTAAATGTAATAAGAATCAAAATGACGTTGTGCGTTTCGCGTCGGCGACATTAGTTCGTTTAGAGTTCATTTTTCGATCTTATTGCAAGGACGTAAAGAATTTTTTAACCGGCACAAGGCGATTCCTTGTGAATAAATGTGGTGAGTTCCTTATAGTGACCATTCAAAGGTTACAATGTAAGTATAAAAAACACAAATTAAGTCAAGTAAAATAAGATACAATACGATAAATACTTTTGTTCTGTTCGGTACAATATTTTATTACATACCCAAATAAGAATCCTCTTGCAACAAATCATGGACTTGTTGCGTCCATTTGATAACAGCGCCTTCTATACTTGTTTTTAACTCTAGATCTACTTCTTCACCATCACTGGAGAAAACCAACAAATAATTGACAATAATTTTGGTACATAATTTAAGGTCCGCGCACACTATCGAGCATAACGGAAGAGTAAACATGGGCAAACCAAGTACGCATAATGTAAAATAAAAAACAATACCTACTTGTGTGTAATGAAAGAAAAAGATACAAGTTAGTTGCCGCGTGACTCGACCGTATAGTAGGTCCCTCAAATATGTATTAATATTTTGGACACATACCTCTCTTTCAATTTTGACTCTGCTTCGAACACTTTTTCAACTCCAGCTGGCATTGGCAGCATTACTTGACTGGACATTTCACCTTTCAGCTGATGATAATTAAAGTTGGTAATTACGAGTGATAGGATATATTACGGAAAATGTGCGATGGAATTACACGATTAATTCCGCCTTCCCCTTTCGTCACCGGGGCACTAGGCGTAGGCTTGGGTTCCATCCGTATTTTGTGGATATTCCCAAGATTTGCAAGCGTAACTTCCACATTTATATGGCGAACGGCTACGGAGTGGAATTCCCTGCCGTCGACTTGTTTCCCTGAACGTTATTGACCCTTTTCAAGGCGAGAGTGAATAGGCATTATTTAGATGTGCATGCTCCATCGTCAACCCCATCGTCACTTTTCATCAGGTGAGATGGAGGTGAAATGTGCTCTTACATTATTATTATTATTATTATTATATAAAAAAAGAGTGAAAACAGCATTTACCGCCTTTATTAGCATCGAGTGACATTAATAAGGAAACCCCAAACGACTTCTATTTTTTAATAATACCTACATAGGTATGTATATGTATGTGCCAGACACCAATTGCCTGGACTCAAACTAGAGAATTATCTGTACTATTAGTACCAGAGCAATAGAATTTACTCTGGGGCACTTCCCAGAACACCCAGACTAGAAGTGTTTTAGAAAAGTTCATTTCAAAAATTAGTCCCATCGGAAATCGAACCCGCGACCTCCGCATCAAGTATCCACAATGTAAACCGTTAGGCCACCGAGGTTGTCATATATCTGCCATCCGCTTACTAAAACGCGGCTAAGTGACAAATATTTTTTTGATATATCGATGGATATCATAAAAAACTATAACCTAGTTTTAGAATCACTTGTCGCGTTTTAGTTAGTGGACGGCAGATATATGTATATACAAAGCGCTTTATTTTAAAATGGGACAGTATGGGGAAATCCGAAACATAGAAGATACTAGGAAACATTTTTATGAACCATTAGTTTTTTTTTTGTGAAAACATTGGCATAGTAAATTTTTTGGTCAAGCGTGAGTTATCCATAAAAATGAATAAAAGTGATCAAAAATTTTTATGACCAACTTTCGCTTGACTAAAAATTTACTATGAAAAAGACTTAAAAAAAAAGACTTAATGGTTAATTCCTAAGGTCAATGGGTTCCTATGACAGTTTCCTTGTAACATCTATGGTTTCGAATTACCCAATAAAAAAAACACTGTATATGAATATTAATAGACTACATATTATTAATACAAAGTAAACGTAATAATATTATACATTATTTAGGGCCTATGCACATGGCGTATTTTACACGCGTAGACGACGCGCGTTTTACGAACGCTCTTTAAATGTGCATTTACGGCGCCGAAGATGTTCGAAATGTAGATTGTTGCGTTTGTATCGATTCTAACGCGCGTAAAACGCTATACAAACGCGCGTTTGCATCGAATCAAACATTGCGCTGCAAGACTGAGGAAAGGGGCAGGGGAGGGGCGCGCTCTCACGCCACATTATTACGACATTAGTTACAATAATTTACCTGGTGCATCAAAGCTCTCAAGTCATTGACATGTTTCTTCATATCCTTTTTCACAATCTTAGGCCAGCCTTTCTGGTTCTCAGGATTGCAAAGCATTGGTCCAATTACTTCATCCGCCATTATACTGAGATCTTGCAGGACATTCCCTGACATTTCGCCCATCATGAGAATCTAAGAGAACAATACTTACTCTATACCATCATATAAATAAACTACATTATGCAGTTGGACCTTCTAATTCGCGTAACTTATGCAAATCTTAACTGCTAATGAAAATAGCAACACATTATGTAATATTATGTGGCATTTTAAAAACATATGAGTAAATCAATAAAATAATATTTACACTTCTGAAGTTCTTCTGATCAATTCGCTCTGGTGACTTCCTAATCATGTAGCACATCTTGCCTCTGCTTATAGGAGGAAACTTTAAGGAACAAGTCAGGGTTCCAGCTGCTGTCATACGAAACACTAAAAGCTCCAAATTTGGCAGTTCAAAAAATCTAAATAAGATGTGCTGTAACAACATAAGTACATTATTTTATGCGAACTAGTTATATGAATCCGTGTTAGTGTAAGGACGCGTTTATTCGACACGAACATAATCGCGCTCAAGCCGCGCGGCTGCCGTGCGGTCGCTGCACGGAGACCGCCGCGCAGCAACCGCGTGCATATAACTGTCATGGCAAAATACGCTCTATTTATTTAGCTTTTACGTTTCAACTTAAATGAGCGTCACGGGCGCGCGAACAAGACTGGTTTATCATTGGTCTAGGCGCGTAGACCAATGATAAGCCAGTCTTGCTCCGCGCGGTTGTATTATTCCGAGGAAAACTTTTGCGTTTTGTAACTGGGCGCTAATGGTTTGACCTACTGCCTCTCAAGTAGAGGTCGACGATTCAAATCTAGGCTAGCTAATTTCTCGGAATTTATGCGCAAAACTTAATTTGAAACATGTGATTTTCGGTGAAGGAACACATTGGGATATAATACTGTACGTCGAGAAAGGTTCACGACCCTCGATAAACGCCTCCCAACTCGGATTGGGCTAGCGTGGCGCACTGTGACCTAAACCCTCGGCTGAGAGGAGACCCGTGACCAGCTGTGGGACGTATAAATGGGTTGATAATAGATGACTTAATAAAGTTTGAAGATTGTACCTATGGAGTTTAGATAATATAATAATCTCAGTACAGTGTACTAAAAAAAACCGACCTCAAAAGTACGTGGAATTACGTCTATTTGCTAAGTTTTATTGAAATATCTTGAAATTCGCCACTATACAGGACTTGACACTGGAGATAATATAAATCGGTTCTCACTACTCAAAGTATATTGAGAGAAAAACGAATTGAATTGGAGAAATAGCAAAATCAACCTTTAAAATAATTGCTCCTTAAGTAAAATTTAGGCACTATTTATAAAAATGAATCTTCATGCGTGAACAGCCACCCTTAGAGATGGATGATTTTCTTCAAAATGAAATGGGACCACTATGGAAGTACCCCCTTTCCAACAAAAAAGAATCATGAAAATCGGTTCACAAATATCGGTGCTATCGCGTAACATACATAAAAAACAGTCGAATTGAGAACCTTCTCCTGTTTTAAAGACGGTTAAAAAACAAGTGCTCGTCTGTAATAAAAAATAACAGGATTATCAATTTTGAAGTAATAAAACATTCATTTAAAAAAATTATTACATCACAACAATGGCTGAAAAACAGCCATAATTGGAATCTGATTTTCCGTTTTTCAGAATTCTAGAAATCTGTTTTGTCAAGTTCTGTATTATGAATGAATAAATTTATCAATTAAAATGTTAATACTGCAATTCCATTAAGTTAGTTTGTTTTACAAGCAGTGTTTAATATTTATAAGGAAGAATATAGAACTAGTTGAAAGATTTTATGTTTGTATTTAAACTTAAGGCGTTACTTCGCGCAAGTCCATGTTAATAAAAATGAAAGTATGTTAATTTGCTGCTCCGCGAACTCAGTGAAGGGTGCGAAGGGTGCAGTGGAAATCCAAGAACGTAGAGAGTTACTTTCAAATAGCAAATCGACTGTGAACTGGCAACCGGTACTATCTCAATTTTGATAATTTTATAGGGATGAAGAAAAAAATTGTTTGCGTCATTTATATAGCATCTGGTTTATTAAATAAAAATACGTAGTGTACATACATACATGTGTAATAAAAATGCTTAAAAACTATGTAGCAAACCATTGACCTGCCAATAAATGGACGTTGGTTTCGCGCTAAAAAGTGTCCGCACCTGTAGGGCGAGCGTCAATCGCGCAACAGTCTTCGTTTGTTCGAGTGACAGCGCGATTGTCAATCATGTTGTGAATAACTTGTAAAAATTACTGCAGTAATGTGTAAATATAGGATTTTGTATTATATTTTCACTAAACATATCATATCACTAAATATATCATAGTCCTCATTTACAAGTGTTATTTTGTACTCAAATTTTGTTTAAAACTTCTTGTTTTGTAAATTAGTCAAAGCAACAAAAATGACACCGTTCCAAAAATATTCTGATCTGTTGGGTAACTATTTGAAATAATTTTTCAGTTGAAATGAATTGCGCGATCGGTAGCGATAAATCGTACAGCGATTGGGCAAGTGCAAATGATATCGTATCAAAGTGTACAACCAAAAGGTTATCAGTTTCCACTACCAACAGATCACACGATAGTATACATAACCCTTTATAATATCGATTCTCACAAAAATACCTTTTTAGTATGTCAACAGTTAACATTTTCATAAACAAAATAAAGATTCACAAAGAAAAAAATAATAAGAAATGAAAGCGCCCGAAACGTTGGTTTGTTTGAAAAAACAAATATACGCGATTTAAATCCGGAAAAATAGTTTCATTTCCTATGTGTAACAATCGCGAAAACCTAAGAACTCGACAAAAAATAATAATTTAAAGTAAACACAAAAGCACACTACTTTATTAAAGACGTGCTTCTAACATATTTTTTTTATTTGTTTTCTATGCATATAGTGTGCAATCCCAAGGCTGCAGCTGTACGGCGAATGCTGGTCCATGGATTATTTTCGAAATGATCCAGCACCGCCTCTTCAATGTCAGGATCACGAACATTTTGGCGACCTTCTGGCCAGAAGTCATTCCGGAATTGATTATCATCCCGGAATGCGTCAATAGTTTGAAGCCTCAAAACCATATTCCGAAGCAGGTTCTCGAAGGAATTTGACAGCGTTCCGCTTCTAGTCTACCATCGATAAATCTCTCAAAACAAAACAGTAGGTATTGAATCTTATTGTATAAAAATGTATATAAAATACTCTACCATTTTTAAATAAAAATAAACTGAACATTAAATTTTCCCGCCATTTTCAACTAAATTCAAAGTAAATCGTTGTGTGAGGTTAGTGATGTAGGGCACGATTTTAATGCCGATATCGACGAATTTACGTATTTTTTTTTAAAGAAATTAATTTAATAATAAATAATAAATAGTCATAATTTTCAAGAAAAAGCAATGCCAATTAACTAGTTGGTAGTAACTCTCTACGACCTTGAATTTCCACTGCACCTTTCGGTTACACCCTGTATAAGATATATAAAATATACTTATAATCTGAATATACAAATGCATTTCAATGATTGGATATGTTTTTGTTCAAAGTTACTAACCCTGTCATCTGAGGTAATGAATTTGTTCCACTTGTCAATCTTCTGCTTTAGAGCTCTCAGCAGGTATTCACTGAGGAACTCTAGCCGCACATCAACATCATCTTTCTGAAAAATGTTAATTTTGAGGTATGGGATGGCATTAAAAAGTAATATAGATGAATGGACAGTAATGTTTCATCAGGATATTTGGTAAAGACTTTCAATTTAGAGAACTAAATTGGACCCTGTAGTGGCTCCACAGTATATAGTATATTGCTATTAAGAAGTCATGATTACAAGAAGCAAGGGTCCAAATTGATATTTATCATGTACAAAGGCGAAAGGCTGAGCACCGAGCAAAATGGCGCATATTGGGAGAGGCCTATGTCCAGCAGTGAACTGCGATATGCTGATGGCGATAATGAACAACACAAGTAAACCAGGGGGTCTACTCTCGATCTCGAGTCCGAAACAATTACTGCCAAATAAGCAATACTTGACCAAATCAAAAGACGCGTGATGCGAATCAAGCTTCATACATGATACTTGTCTTTTAATTTTGTCGAATATTACTTATTTGACAGTAATTGTTTCGGACGGATGTCGGACGGAGATCGAGAGTAAACCCCCAGGTTCAGAAGTGCACACAAAGGCAAATTTGTAAAAGTTAGACAAAATTACATATTTCAGTTTGAAGGGAACGCTGCCGCCAAGTCAACGTATGGACCTGGACGCTAGAGGAAGAAGGAAAATGAGATTACATTGAAGAATATCTGAAAGTACTCACGTCGCCCATATTGATAGATTGTTCACTTTCTCAATTAAATATCGTATTATTTACGAAACATGATTATAATTATGCATAAGAATTGTGTCTGATTATAAATATAATTTATTTTGAACTCTGATTTTCTTTGTTTTGATTTCAAAACAAATTATTATGCAAACATGTTCATAAATACATAGAACATAAAATGCGTTGCTATAACAACAACCCGAAAAATTCAAATTTCGAACCAAGAGATTTAGTTCGGATACATTTACGGTCATTTTACTGCGTACTCAAAAAATATTAGTAGCGACTAAAATTAGTCGATTACAGATTATTTATGTACCGTAACGATTATTTGTCTCCATCTTTAACATCAGACATAGAGATGGGGAAGAGAGTTACATTTCTATCACAGAATCGCACTTATTTCTTTTTAAAAAAAACATGAAAAATCACCTCGATTTTGTCACGCCTGTCTTGTACATCTTTCCTCTAAGTTGTACATACATGTAGAGGTGGACGTTAAAGCGAAAAGCACTTAAAAAGATTGCTTTTTTAATTAAGCACCTGCACGCTTTTCAATTTAAGCGTAAGCGTTGGTCAATTCAGTACTCAACAATTTTATATCATTTTTTACAACGTGTTTATGTTTCAAACCCGCCACCTATGTTTCCGAAACAAATTAATTCGTCAATGTGAATAATAATTTTTTAAATAAAAATACAACTCGTGGACAAACGAAATGTCGTTCCTTCGTAAAAAGTCACGATGATACTATTTGACCATCCACCTCTATTCTGACATCCACGGTTTAAAAAAAATATAATCAACATTCGCGCCAAAAATTGTTGATAGTACGTTACGTTATTTTGCTTTTGTACAGCAACAATCCATAGAATTGGGTAAAGTTACGGTGTTTTAGATACTTATAATTTAATAATGGAAGGTTTCGATGATCCCGGTGTATTTTTTTCTGATAATTTCGGTGTTGAAGAGAATGAATCACGAGATCAAATTAACCTACAAGGTGTGAAGAAAAAGTTCAAAGAATTCATTCGTCAATTCCATACAGGCAACTTCAACTACAAATACAGGTATTTTATATATTCCTTGTTACTTTAATTTAATGGATAAGGTTCAAATTTTGAGTTCTCAGTTTGTATAATTTTTAGTTACAATTTTTTTGTGATGTCTTTATTTGTTTCAGAGACTCTCTAAAGCTGAACTACAATTTAGGACAGTACTGGGTAGAAATAAATATCGAAGACTTATCCAGTTTTGACGAAATTTTGGCGGAAAAATTGTACAAAAAACCGACAGAACATTTGCCAATACTAGAAGAAGCTGCTAAAGAGGTATAATATCTCGTTGGTTAATTGATGCTGTTTTACAATGAATTTCTAGACAATGTAAAATGAAGGGATCTGATCAAGATGATCTCAGTTTAATGCTTGTTTTCTTGAGTACAACTGTTCTTGACTACCCGCTTAAAATATGTCTAGTAGCTGTAGTTACAGTTATAACCAAGTACCAGTATTTCCACACATGTCGATACTTTGAGGAAGAAAGTGCATAAAAACCGAAATACAAAGCTTACAACAGTTTAGTCCATATATTTTGCACATGTTTATGTTTATGAAAAAATCTTTTTTATTTTTACTGAATAGCAAAACATTCAGGTAGAATTTAATTAGAAAATTTACAAATCTTAATTGTACTACATCAATTACCCATTGTGATAAAATTGGCTTTTTTTGTACTTTCCTCCTGTTTCCTGTCAATATCACTTGTTGTTAAACTTTTTTAAAATCACTTTTGTCTAACTTTATAGTTAGCGGATGAATTGACTGCGCCAAGACCAGAAGGCGAAGAGAAAGTAGAAGACATCCAAGTGTTACTATCATCTGATGCTCATGCTGCAAATTTAAGAGAGTTAAAAGTAAGTTTTTTACTAAACCATTATAAAGTATTTTGTGTTGTGGTTAACACATGCATCGCCGTGGTGGGTCAATATGACCGGCATCTCATCTACCTAATAGGTATATATATATAATATATATATAATAGGCTGTGGGGGGTTAAAATGATGCTCGTTCACACTGCAAGTGGCAAACATTACCTATTTAGCCATATAATGTGACTGGCGGGGCTCTGACGAAATTTTGTTGCCACATGGTTTTTAGGATTTTTGGCATTGTACCTACTTTCTAGATTAAGAGGAAAAAATATGTATATTTTGTATAAAATAAATTGACTTTAATTTGAAATTAAATTTAAAACTTACAAACTAAACAAAAAATGGCTTTTGTGAAATATCAAACTCAACTGAAAAACATATTTCAGTTTTAGGTAAACGTCGATCAAAGTATACAATGTACATACTCTGCCCGGAATTGTGACCGGTGCGGCCTAAACATAATAATTATTGCGTTTAGGCCTTGCCGGGTTGTAATGCGCAGTAATAAAAATAATGCCAAAATATAGCCAATTAATAAAATATCGCGAAAAAACTTATATACTTATACAAACAAGACCAAAAACAGTCATATTAGCCAATGTCATTTTTTTTAACAGTTAAGTCACAAATTTATGTTTTATAGGATATGGCTAAAATGTAAAAATATAGATTATGAAGACAACTATGAGCAGCTACAAAAATCAGAACCCTGGAAAAACATCGGTCTCAGCTAGTGATGAAAGAGACACAGTCTTTTATGGCGTTTTATAACGACTCTACTCCATTTTACACGACTCTAATCTAAAATTAAGACTGGGGGTTCGAGTTTTTATTAATAAGACTCAGTTGTTATACTAAAAGACTCAAAAGACTTAAACGACTCGAGTTGTTTGCAAAGGACTTATACCTATTTCATGTCTTATTAAACCCGAAATTTATAAATAGAAATGACGTAAGTAGTATGTAGTAAATAATCACGTTTCTTTACTTATAATAAAAATCGTGATATAAATACCTTGTGGGTAGAAATAAAATCACGCCATACGGCTCATGACGCTTGACTCCAGAGGTTATGAGGCGCCAGTCGTTTTAGTCCTATACGTCATTTAAGCTTCCTAGGGTTAAAAGACTTCGACTCGAATTAGTCTTCAGTTTTAGTTTTATGACTCAAGACTTGAAGGTTTAGACTAGTTGTAAAGCGTTAAAAATTAGTAGAGGTTTTTTAAAAGGCGTCAAAATACTTGAGTCTCTTTCATCACTAGTCTCAGCCCACATTAGGTCAGTGTGGCAGATTATAGCCACTCTACAGAGGAGACTCAATAGTGGGCAAGGACTTATCATTATAAGTCCTTGCCCACTATTGTAATAGATGATATAGATGTGATATATAGATGATATATTGTAATAGATAGTATATCATTCGTTTAAAAAAACGAAATTAGAAGTTTACCATAAAGTAAATTGATCTGATTTAAAGATCAATCATTGCTGTAAAACTAAAGAGACCACTTTATGAACTATTTTTTGCTATTTTCAGTCTGAAACTGTCTCCCGCCTAGTGAAGATTCCAGGCATAGTTATATCAGCTTCAGGGATTAAAGCTAAAGCCACCAAGATATCAATTCAATGCCGATCATGTCGCAATATCATCCCAAATTTACCTGTGAAACCGGGTTTAGAGGGATATGTTATGCCAAGAAAATGTAACACGTAAGACCCTTATTTTCATATAATGAAAGAAATCTATATACCTGTCAAATCTTATGAGTTCTTAGTCTTACTTAATTCTTATAATCTTTTTTGTTGGATTCACACACAAACTTAAACACTCCACACTACAATTACGAAGTTGTCTGATGGGGTGAGAGCCTGGTGAGTTGTAATACAGGTCTAGTACCTAGGACTTACTTCCAGTCTCTCACAAATTGCTCTTATATTTAACATTGGGTCAGTTTAATGTAACATTTGTATTTGTATTTGAGAAATTATAAATCATTATTTACCTTAAGAATCACCTACCTACTTATGTATGTAAGTATAGCTAAGGAGTTCTCTGTACTATGGACACCAGAGTAACAATAAGTATTATACTTGGGGCACTACCTATAACCTTCTGGAACACCTAAGTCAAAACAATTTTGTTGCCTGTATTGATTTGACTGAGATTCAAAATTGGTATCTTCTCATGTTGAGGCTAGAGCACATGAGAGATGTCAATTTATGATATAAAATTATATACTGTATTAGTTGACATCATAGTAACTTTGTAACCAAACTCATTACCAAAGCTTTTTAAGATTTTGGGATTTCATTTCGTACATTTGAATAATTTCAGCCAACATAACAACTCGTGACCCATTGATTACCATTGTGGGTGCTACACGGGGCTAAATTGGTTCTAGTCTTACTGAGAATTCTCTAGTTTGATGTCAGGCATCCTGACCATTTTGAGGGATGGGCTTCAGCATTGTAACGACCCTGTAGTAAAATAGTGTAGGCTTACATCATTTAAAGTTTAATTTATGATACCACCTTATGAGTCTATCAAAACATTTCGCTCGACAACGCCATGGTGGATAGCGGAGGTGCACAAACCAGCTTAATCTTTATAGCTTTATATTTGCATAAGAGATGATGAACAAGGAAGCAGTCCAAAAATTCTAACCCCAAAAGAGAATGGATGACTCAGGAAAAATTAGTTTAGTTCAGTCTTTCAGACATTTTTGTGGTATGGGTTGGGAGTGCTGCACTGCTACAACCAACTGTGAAAACTTTTGTAATTTCCTCAAAGGCCCTCTATGTGGCGTTGACCCATTTTATATATATACTGAAATGCTATTTTCTCTCGAATGGTAAGAAGATAAATGGGGTCGCGCCCTTTTGGAAATGTGTATTAGAACTATAGATATATCTATGATCAGGACCTATGTGATAACTAATTTTGAACTGTGATTTCAAATCATACACTGTCACCTTCCGGCACTCTCACCTTTTTGGGAACTTTAATTGGATTTGGTGACATCTTATACATTACAACTTCAATTATTTAAACTTCAGTTCAAGAAAGCGTTTCAAAATACAATTTAACATCACACACCTATGTTAGACGGTTGCAGAGTATGAGTCTCTAGATTAATAAAAAATAAACAAAATGTTAATCACAATTTTGACTGTAAACCAACTTCTGTAAATCCTTTCTTCTGTTTATTTATGATTATAACACAAATTGTTATAATTTATAGGGAACAAGCTGGTAGGCCAAAATGTCCACTGGACCCATATTTTATCGTCCCAGACAAGTGCAAATGCATTGATTACCAGGTAAGATATAAAGAATCCTTTATCTATATGACCAGTAACTTTTGCTTCAGACTTTGCACAACTTGTTGGAAGGTAAGTTAGTACTTTCTTCATTCACATTAATGATTCATTGGTTAATATTAAACTTTAAAGCTGTTATACATTGGTCCCATCCATGTCCATGAAACTGTCATCACTGGGTTGGCAAGAGACTTGCAAAAGTTAATGCCAGGTGCAGAGCATAATAATAATTCCAGTAGCGATGGATTAATTTAAAGCAACCAATATTCGATATTATATTGTAGATGATTAAAAGTTTATTCATCCAGCCAACCATGCTTGACTACTAGGTACTGAAACTCCAAGAGACCCCAGAAGACATTCCTCAAGGAGAAATGCCGCGTCACCTTACCGTGTACTGTGAGCGCATGTTGTGTGAAAAAGTAGCTCCTGGCGCCAGAGTAATTGTACTTGGTATCTATTCTATCAAGAAGATTGCTAAGATTGGGGTGAGTTGGCTTTTTTAAGTAAACTATTATTTCAATTCAATTCTAGTTTTTTTATTTACATATTTCAGTATTTTGCACATGTCGTTCATTGTTCCATATATGGACGAACGGGTAATGTTTACGTAATTGTTATTATTTCCGTACATGAGAAGCATAACACTGTAACTCCATTTTTTATGATTTTGAGTTTTTAACGGTATCTTACATAATTTTTCGAGCTCTATCGACCCATAAAACTGTGTCTACAAAATTCGCCATAGGTACTGATTTCTTTAAAATTATTTTGATGTAAGACCGCTATCCACTACGAAGCATTTTATTGTAAGTTCGGTGTTATGCTCAACGCGCTAGTGTTACGCGTTAGCGTTATGCTCAATTTTAGTACAGATACAGTATAATGTTATAAGGTAATGAAAACAAATAATAGTAAATAGACCACGATTTGCCGGTGCCTGATCAAGGAATACACCGCGAAATCCCCAAATTTAGTTTAGATTGTCTCGCTACCCTTGCACAAATTCAAGAAAAATTTATGTTTAAATATGAAAAAGTTCTATTTTCCAGAGGGTGCTATACGTGTACCCGGAACAGCTCGCCCAAGGCACGGGCTGATCTGAGGCCAAAGCCTGACTGAGAAGGTCCCTGTGCGGGCTTGCTCGCACAGATTATAGTGCCCTTCCCGTATAACCAAGAGGTTGATATGGAGCGTCACTATAAACAAAACTTATGTATGTAGAAAGATATGGGGGCTGTCTGCAAAGCTGGACGAGAACAATGAATTGGTAAACAATTCTCAAAGGTCTGGGCAAAATAGCCCTCAGTTATTTGATAATGAAAATTTCGTTGAAACTCCCGCTGAACCTTGTGCTACAGACAATAATGATTCCGATTTTGACTAGACGCCTCCTGAGCCAAAACTTCACAAGGGATAGATCACTTTACATAGTGCACGTTCGTGACTCCGAAAAATCAGGAATTATTGTGTACAATTTTCATGAAAAAATAATAACGAAAGTCATTTTAAACATAAATAGAAATTTCTTCATAAATTTTGTAGCAACCAAAACAAACAAAACTTATTTTTTAACTAATGTAACCTTTGTAGGTAACGACTGTGTGATGGGATGACTGATACTGACAAAGGTTACTTTAGTTAAAATAATAGTAATAACAACAATTTTCATGATGATGATTATTTTTTTCATTTGTAACAGGTATCACATTACATTACGGTAACTTTTTCTATTTGATTTTTGATTAAAAGCAGAACACGTTATGCGAACTAGTTTTTTTGTTTTATTGTTATAAATAACGCCAAAAGTAAGAAATTGGTCTCATTATGTAAACAGCTTTGATCTCTAATTACCAAATGTTGAATATTAGAACATATTGTTATTAAAAATTGATCAGTTTTATTTTATGACATCGTAAATGTTATACATGTTGCATTTTGACGCAACATCGCTTCTCCTGTAAAATTACAAAAATGGCGGTTAGTGTAATGCTTCTCAGCTTCGGATTTTTTATTGTAAACATTTTTGTTTGACTCATACTTGATCTACGAGGAGCTAAAAAATAAAAAGATTGATAACTTTAATCGCTTATTTTGTGAATATCGATTTCATGTCAGATGGGTATGTACATCACTATTTGACATTGACAGATGCAACTCGCCTGAGTTAAAAAAAAAATGTCCAATTTTATATTATTTCGTAAGAAGCACTATCGAAGACATTTAATTGTAATGGAATACAAAAAAGAGATTACTCTCAGTCTTGGCTGTAAGGCGCATTAGTGCCTTTGCCTTTTCCAATGTAAAAAACAGTACCAAACAAAAAAAATTATGCAGTCCGTGAGAGATGGGGAGACTTAGGTTTTCGCTTTGCCTTTTCATCACATTATAAAATATAATTTCCTATCTTAATGGCTAATAACGGAATAAAAATGGCTGCCAGAATGATATCGACGGTTCCTAAAGTGTTCCCTCGTGTTTGTATTGTGGGGGCTGGGCCAGCAGGATATTATGCGGCTATGCACCTTACAAAAAATTTAGATAACGTTAACATAGACATCATCGAAAAGCTACCGGTCCCGTATGGCCTGATTCGATATGGCGTTGCTCCAGACCACCCGGAAGTAAAAAACGTCATAAATCAATTTAACAAAGTGGCCCAAAAAGATAATGTAAACTTCTATGGGAATATTGCTTTGGGGAAAGACATAACACTTTCGCAGCTACGTCAACATTATCACGCTGTATTACTCACATATGGAGCAGAAGAGGACAGATTACTTGGAATTGAAAATGAAGATGGGCACAACATAATAGCTGCCAGAAACTTTGTTGGATGGTACAATGGACTGCCCAGTGATAAAGATCTTAAAGTAGATTTATCTGGACACACTGCTGCTATTCTTGGGCAGGGAAATGTCGCCTTGGATGTAGCAAGGATATTATTAACACCTATAGATAAATTAAAACAAACGGACATCACAGAACATGCTTTGAATACTTTAGCAGAGTCTAAATTGAAAGAGCTATATCTTATTGGTAGGAGAGGACCCCTCCAAGTAGCTTTTACTATTAAAGAACTTAGAGAACAACTTAAACTGGAAAACTGTAAAACAATATGGAGAGAAAAGGATTTTGAAGGAGTGGCAGATGTAGTGAACACTCTACCACGCCCAAGGAAAAGATTGACTGAGTTAATGTTGAAATCTTTGAGTGAGACTCAAACCTCAATCGGCAGAGCAGAAAAGTGTTTTAAACCAGTGTTCTTTAGAGGCCCAGAGAAGTTCTTGTTAAATGATCAAAGACATGTGACTGGTATTGAGTTAGTATGCAACAGACTTATTGGAGACAAATTCGAGGAACAAACATGTGTGCCAACAGGTGAAAAGGAAATTTTAAAGTGTAGTTTAGCATTCAGAAGTATAGGTTACAAAAGTATTGTTGTTGACGAAAGTTTAACTTTTACTTCTAGGGGCTATGTGGCTAATGAAAAGGGACGTGTCATTGAATACACACCACAGGAATTGGGTAGATTGTATGTGGCTGGGTGGCTAGGTACTGGACCAGTCGGTGTGATTTTACACACTATGGGTAATGCATTTCAAGTTGCAAAAACAATATGTGAAGATTTTCAAAGCCATAACATGCAATCTAAAGCTGGCTTTAATGAAATTAAAAAAGTGTTGAACACTTATGTTGTTGATTGGAAAGGTTGGGAAAAAATTGACAAATATGAAACAGAACAAGGTCAAAAGATTGGCAAACCTCGTGAAAAAATTGTTGATATCAACAAAATGATAGAAGTTGCAGATAATTAATAAGGAAATTATTTTGTATACCAGTGATTTAAATCACAATGTTACATTTGTATTTTAAGTATGTTGTTTATAATATTCCTATTTTTATATTTTTTCAGGTTCTTGTTATAACATATTGTTATGATTACATTCTAAGGTTCAACTCACACTGGCACAGAGTCGAAGCGTCGCTTCGCGTCCTGTTTTCCAACTGTAACGCTTGGTGTCGCGCAACGACACTCGCATTAGTGTGCCCGAATCACTGTGTGGTCGGCGTCTGACGCCTCACTGCGCTCATGTGACGCGCGTCGACGCGTGAAGCCGCTCGACTGCATCGAACGCGCGTCGACCCTCGTTTCCATATTTGCGTAACACAAATTTGTACCTTAGTAATGGGAAAATAGAGATGAATATACTATAGACGAAAAACATGACGCGTCGCGACGCTTCGACTCTGCGCCAGTGTGTGTTGAGCCTTATAGGATTATAAGTCAATGAACATACAGTAAATCAATCAAAACAATTCACTTATTTTGTTTTACTTTATTTCTTAAATTGTTTGTTTTCATTATTATATACATCACTTTAATTATTAAAATATAGATATAATAAATTATATAATTTACTTAATATTGCACTGAAATTATAAGGATTTTTTAAAGCAAAAACTTACAGAAACAAAATAGCTTCAAAATTAAAAAGAAGCATTTAATGATGGTATACCGCATTTTATGTTATGTAATCTAATAAAATGTTTATGTAAATACTTATGTGAATGTATACAAAATTACAAGTATTCCTTTTTTGAGGAAAGCCTTTTTTCTTTCTTACAATAAATTATTAGCAAAAAAATCTGAATATGTGTTCAATTTGTAATATGTCATTTATAAAAAGAATTCTAAAACAACTTACCTATTACCTTCTCCCACCAGAGAGAAGGTCGCGAGAAAGGCTCTGTCGGAGTCCGTTCATCTTACCTTCGCGCAGTTGGCCTTACAACCGAGGAGGGAGCTACAGGTGGCCTGCGTCCTTTCACGACAGAGGAAGAAGAACAGTTTCGAAGACTCGCAGCCTCGCCTGATATATATGAACGGGTAGCGAAGTCGATTGCGCCAAGTGTGTTTGGCGCTATTGATATGAAGAAGGCTATCGCATCTTTGCTTTTTGGAGGTTTGTATTTGATATTAAAATGTGAGAATTTCACTTTAAAAAAATAAAGTTTCTATTTTCTAAACTTAACTAATATTGGTAATATAAATAATAATAAAAATGTGCCAGACACCAATTACCTGTTTCAATAGCTAAGAGTAGTAGTAGAGAGCTAGTATGTTCACCAGTTGAAATAAGGCCACGCTTTGTTTTTAATTAAGTATTAATATTACGATACATATATAATATAGCTAACCCAAAGAAACTTTATGTAGGCTCGCGTAAACGCCTACCCGATGGTTTGACGCGCCGTGGAGACATCAACATTCTCCTGCTTGGTGACCCTGGTACTGCCAAGTCTCAGCTGCTGAAGTTTGTGGAAAAAGTGGCGCCGATTGGTGTTTATACTTCTGGCAAGGGATCGAGCGCTGCCGGCCTAACCGCTTCAGTGATTAGAGATCCGGGAAGTGTAAGTAAAAAGTTAAAATTTAATTCGAATCCGAAGCATTCCACCTAATTTACTTAGTATTTATTTTGCCTGTGGTATGATATTATAAATACATTTGTCAGTTTTTAACAAGAGTCATATTTTTTTGCCAGATAGAACGTAAATTATTGCGTAAATAACAAGATTTTCGTAACACCTGCTCAATAGATACATTAGATAGATAATAAGGCATATATTGATCATTATTCATATTCGAGTGGAGGCAAGCTGATGATAACTACCACCACCATTCACCATTTGTATAAGTAATTACAGGCAATAGGGTATTTAATCAGTATTGTACACAAAATTCTCTTCACTAACATTAAAAATAGGTAAAAGTTTATATTTGACATAAAGTTAAAAGAAAATCGGTTTAAAAATAAAATAGTTACATTTAAAAATCATGCGTTAGAAAGAAAGAGTTACAGCCACTTAAGTGTGACGTCATAGAACCCTACTACAGGTAGTTTTGCTACTATCTCTATCACTGATATTAAGCAATCTCTAGTATTGGTAGAGATATTGAAATACGAACCTCGGATCCAACTTCAGCATGTTAATGTGAGTTGATTGATATGGTAAATAAATATGAGTCGTGTTATTGTTTTCTATAAAACAGCGCAATTTTGTGATGGAAGGCGGCGCTATGGTTCTCGCTGACGGTGGAGTGGTGTGCATCGATGAGTTCGACAAGATGCGGGAAGACGACCGTGTCGCTATACATGAAGCTATGGAACAACAGACTATTTCTATTGCCAAGGTTAGAATAGGCGTTTTTCCTATATTTTTTTATAATATAAATAAATAAACGATTTTAATTTTATGCTTAAAATCGTCCATACTCAATATAATGGCCCAGTGACGCCACGTCACGTACCACAGGCGATCTTATCGAATTTATTCATACGTGTGCGAAAACAAAAATATACTACATTATTTACACGTTGTAATTAAAACGTATTTAGGGATGTGAAGATGCCCAAGAATTCTTAGGTTTTTGCATTTATTGCACATAGGAAATGATACTTTTTTTATCGGATCAAAATCTCGTATATTTGTTGTTTCAAACAAACCAACGTTTCGGGCCGTTTACACAGCTGTGCCGGCACCATGAGATCTGTAAATCTGTGATTTAGATCCCAAAAAATAGTTTTATTTCCTAAGTGTCCCAAGAACTTCAAATAGGAATTCTCTTAAAAAAATTGTTCAACTCCTTGGTCAGGAAAGAAAATCTCATAATATAACTACATATTTTTTGGTACACCATTTATATTGGAATTGTGTATTTTGTAGGCTGGCATAACAACAACTCTCAACTCCCGTTGTTCGGTGCTCGCTGCCGCAAACTCTGTCTTCGGTCGGTGGGATGACACAAAGGCGGACGACAACATCGATTTTATGCCGACTATTTTGTCGCGATTCGACATGATCTTCATCGTCAAAGACGAACATGATCAAAATCGGGATATTGTAAGTACATCATATAAAACTTGTATGGTCTAGGAAAAGCATCAAATTTTGTTATGAGCCGATTAAATTAATTTTAGCTGATTATTTTAAATTATGACGCCAAATACAGAGATAACATAAAATGATAATAATCCTCCGTATCTGATTTTTAATACACCCGGTAACATTACAAAATTCGTGAATGAAAAACAAAAGAAATTAGAAGTTTGTGATAAAATTCACAAAATTTTAATAGTAGATAAATAATACCCCCGTCAAAATTGTATTATCTTAGTAGATAGTTTCATGTTAAAAAACTGAAATAAGGTGCTTTTCCACCAGCGAAGCAAGACGAGGATTGAAATTTGTATGGCAAAATTTCAACTCGCTCCTAGCGCATCTTCAGTGGAACTGGTCTGGATTGACGAGGATGGGCGAGGTGAAAATTGTAATATTTGTTGATGTAATATTGAACCGTATTGCTACCGACATAGAATACCTTTTACACTCTGCAGGATCTCGCGATGACTATTACTATCAATCGCGAGATTGTGGGGTGCGTACGATTTGAGATTTGAAAAAAGATGGCTTCATCTGATTCTTCTACCGTTAACATATTTAATAATAATAATTTACGGGACTTGTTACTTCAGCCGCGTGTTTATCGGTAGACGAACTGAAAAGCGCTGAATCTTCACTATCCATAACCACAGCGGGAAGTCGCGATTGCCCGCGCGAGCTGTTAATGGCAATTTTTGGTGGAAATAGGCGGCAACATTACTCGCCTTGTTTCGTCTCACCTCGCCGATGGAAAACCCTCTTTATTCTGTATATATCGATATATTTTTCCCCACAAAAGGAAAATTTCAGACGCTTTTTACGTAGGAAACATAAACGCTAAAACCATGGCTGAGTGCTGGCTATTCATTGCTGCTGCTATTTTGTTTTTTTGTAATAATATTTTTATGCAATTAGATATTTCGGAATGTTATGAGCGATATTTAGGCTCCAAAACATTGAAATGGATTCACATTTTTCGTAACCGTGACTATTTATAACACTCGCAATCTCACAACAGTAAATGTCGAGTTTTTTTGTACGAAAATTGTTTTTGATACTTTATTGTATATAATTGTTTTTGAACCTTTGGGGCCAAGGTGAAAATGAGAAAAAAAGAACACAATGTGACCTCCATTTCACCGGAAAGTGAGGTCGACGATGGAGAATGCACACTTATAGATATGTATTTAGTAGCAACAAAGCTCCTTGTCAAAGATTTCGTCTTATTCCATTGTATTATAGTATAACCGCGTTTGTTTTCATAATAAAATCTATTGCATTACTTTTTCAGTGGATTTATTTACTAAATATAAAATTCAATTGTGTCAACTTGTTTAGGATGCGTAACTTTCTTCTCAGACTCTAGCCAAGCACATAATCTCAGTGCACATGGGAGGCGACAGCGTGGAACGAGAAACCGCAGCAGGTGAATTGCCCCTCTCCCTACTCCGCCGCTACGCCGCATATTGCCGCGCCCGATGCGGCCCAAGGCTCTCCGCTAGTGCCGCTGAGAGACTACGAGCACGATATGTGTTGATGAGAACTGGAGCATCCCAACATGAGCGACAAGCTGATAAGCGGTTGTCTATTCCTATTACAGTTAGGTAAGTCGAACACTTTAAGAGGTAAATGGGTTAGAGAAATGCAAAGAACGAAAGTTAGCGCAACTCTTTTCTTTAGTGCCTAATGAGATGGTCTCCGTTTTGTTTTGTCAATTACTTATTGTTGCCGATATTTGTAAATTACACCCAGAAAATGTCAATCGCAATCGGTTAATTACTTACAACAATTAAGCACCACGAGACTAATATTGATTATTATGAATATTAAATAAATTTGTATATTTTTTTTTAAGGCAACTGGAAGCTGTAGTACGCATCTCAGAATCTCTAGCAAAAATGCAGCTGCAACCATTTGCGACGGAAACTCACGTGACTGAAGCTCTACGGCTCTTCCAAGTGTCTACTTTGGACGCCGCTATGACCGGTAGTCTTGCTGGTAAGGAATGTTAACACTAGCTTATACTTTGTATATATAATACCTCATTTTTATTATTCTTACGTTTCGTATATTAAAACCAATATTCGTAAAATAAGGACGAAACTTATTAGGAATACCATTAATTTTTCAGAACAAATAGACTTAATGATTTTTTTAATGTAAAATGGACTTATGCTTGGCCACAATCTCACCAGGAAGTGGCTGGTGTTACGCGCTTGTCTAGTTAATATCTTAAGTCTCTTTGCTTTTCGCCGAACAGGCGGGAACACTATATTATAGTATGCCAATTGTGATACTCAGTGCGCACACACATAGATATTATTTTTAGTTACATATACCACTCAGATCATGCCGATGCTGTACAATTATAACCTGCCCAGTGACACTAGGAATATCCTGTTTAAAGTTGATTAACATAGTGCTTCTGGCATGTTTGTCGTGAATTAGTGGATGACTATTTCCAATGTGTATTGATCTTTTGCTACGGTAGTGAACAAATGGGCCAAAATATTATGAGGACAGTATGCACTGCATGCTACTTCACGAGCGAAGCCTCAACCTTTAAATAAATGTAAATAAATGTTCTTCACAATGTTGTGTCAATCTTGTAAAAGTAATGTAATGTCGAATTATTAAGGAATTGGGTAAATTTTCAGGTGCAGAAGGCTTCACTTCCGAAGAAGACCACGAAATGCTGTCACGCGTTGAAAAGCAACTCAAGCGCAGGTTCGCCGTCGGCTCTCAAGTCTCAGAGCAAACTATAATCCAAGACTTCTTACGTCAGAAGTATCCAGAAAGAGCTATACTTAAAGTCATCCACACCATGATTAGACGGGGAGAACTACAGCACCGTTTACAAAGGAAAATGCTGTACAGACTTTCTTAATTTCTTAGTTTTTGTCTAACATTCATTTTTTATACTATGAGTGATACAATACAATCACTAGTAAGACGTGTGTTTTTAAATTAAAACTCCATTTTAAATATATCGACTATAATTTAGACAATCATGCTCAAAGCACAATAAATAAATTTACCTTCAGTTACACTGAACATCATGTTAAAGCTAATGTAATATTCCCTTTTCTAAATAAATAAAATTACAAGCAAATAAATTAATATCTTTGGTCTCGTCTTGTAAAATAATACAAGACGTAGAGTTTGACTAGTATGTGTATGTCGAGAATTTATTTATTGCTTAACTTGTTCAACTTCTACCTTTTGTATCTTGAAGGGATATTCAGGATGGTTCTCTACTCCTTTCCAAAACAAAAAGTTGAAGATACGCCCATCTTCTCCTTTATCCAACTTTTTCAGACGATTTACTTCCGACGAACTTAACTCAAAGTCGTATATCGACATGTTTTCCTACAAAAATAAACGGTTTAAAAATAATTAGTATTTAGTGACACTCGAGCAACACCAAATTTTTCTTTACATATCCAACAACAACAAAGGTCCTTAAATATATTATCTAGTATAGAATTAAGTAATAAAATACCTTGAGTCTATTTACACTAGTACTTTTCGGGATTACGACAACTCTTTGAGCAACTAAGAAGTTCAGAAGCACTTGTGCTGGCGTCTTTCCGTGTTTCTCTGCTATCTCTTTCACGTCTTTATGTCCTAGTAAATCTGGGAAGGTGTCAGGGCTGAAATTTTTTTGCATATTACATAAGTATAACTTTTTAACTTGTAAAAGTGGGCCGATCAATCATTTCGAGGTCGCGGTGAACCCCAAGCCAAATTTTCAATTATATGCAATAGTACAATAGAATCTCATAACCTATTTATTTCTCCCCTCATCATTTCTCCCACTTTTCATCTCATAATATGGTTAATTTTAAAAAGTTACTTGAGAAAATAGAATTCTGTACTAACTTGTAATTATATTTGTTTACAAAATGATCCTTAGCACCTGGACTGCCAAGAGGTGCATATGCTGTCACAACAATCTCGTAATCTGAACAGAATTTACGAAGGTCCTGCTGTTGGAAGTAAGCATGAAGTTCCACCTGCAACACCTGAGGCTTAAAATTGCAGCTCTGCATAATTTTTGTAATTTGTTTCTCATTGAAGTTTGATAGGCCTATGTTACGGATCAATCCCTTTTCCTGGCATTCTTCCAGTTTCTGAAAAAGACGGAAATTGAAACATAATTTTGTGTGGTGATAAAGTAAAAATTGTATTTGTATCATTTAAAAAAATGTAATTTTAATATATGATTTTGTTTGCATTATTGAGTGGTGCTCAGCAATAATTGGCTTACATGTTGATGAATGCTATGTACAACAAACTGGTAGGCGTGTTCTGGCTTGTTTGTTTAGTTTCCACTTAACTCTGTACAGACCTTCCATATCATAATGTGGTTTGTTTCGGTATCCAACTCATATTCACCAGTTGACTTTACTTTTGGCGTGAGCGTCTGATCGTCGCAATGAAAAGCAAACGGCACGTGAATGAGGTACAAATCTACATAATCCAATTGCAGGCGCTTGAGTTGAAGAGTCAGAAATTTATCTACATCCTCCGCGCGGTTGCCTACGTGCGGTAGCTGAAATAAAAAAAATAAAATACAATATAACAATCAATGTTTCTTTTTTCTGGGTGCAAAAATAAGATGGTCATAGAGAATTAAATGTTTAGATAATTTTCAAACGGAAAAGAAACTATTTAATTAATAAAAGATAAACAGTAAATTTCAAGGCACGCATGTCCGCAGCATTGTACTATTAACGTGTTACCTTGGTGGTTACAAATAAATCTTTTCGCGTTCCTTTTCCATCAGATATCCATTTTTTTATAGCAGTTCCAATAGCCTCTTCGTTGTTGTAGTTGAATGCTGTGTCTATATGTCTATACCCCAGGTTAAGAGCATTGTAAACCGTCGATTCTATTACATCGGGGGGAGCCTGAAATCGTCGGTGATGATAAAATCAGATGATATGTACGTAAATGTGTGAACTTGAACTTCAATAATATGCCGAACCTGCCAGGTCCCCAAACCTAATGTAGGCATCAAATCGTTCGTCTGAGAAAGTGACACGTGCTTCATTATTCTACAGATTCTATGATAACACCTAATCTGAGCCCTGGAAAGTAACTGCACACGTATCCCAAGGTTCATAAATCGCAATTGAAATTAAATCTGTCAAATATTTAATGTTTGGCGACTATCCAAAAACGTTTAGTTACTTAAACAAAACTATTAAACGCATACGCTTGCAAGCATGAAAGTTATAATAAACTCCCGGTAAAAAACAAAGACTATGTACTCTTCACAAAATACACATAAATCGGCAAAATCTTTAACTCAACAAAATATTGATTTTTTGTGACGTAATACTACATATTCAAATTTCGCGGCTCTTCCAGGGCAGTTTTTATTACACCGCCACGTATGTTTTCGAAACTATAAACCGCATCAAAGAGTATATATGTAGATTAATGGAAGACCGTATCTATGGCATCAAGTTATGAATGAAAATTTCCACCCATAAGAATGATGGAAAAAATAGTCTGAGGGTCGTATTCCACAACTCTACTCAATGCTCAAGTCAGGATTTGAGCAGACTTGAGTATGATTTCAAGCACTGGAAATCAACCCTAATGGCAATGACTTGAGTGTGATTTTCAATGCTCACTGCAATACTTAAGTCCCGACTTGAGTATTGAGTCGAGTTCTAGAATAAGAATGAAATGGACAAAATATCAATGGCACTATTAAAGTTTTGTTTTCAATTTACACATTTTAATCCAATTATCCAACCTACCTAATTTTGATTGGCTAATATGTGCAAGTAAAAATTTTAACGTCAATTACAAGAACAATAACTTGTATCAATGACTACTACCGAGCTTTTTTTTTAACATTATTTATCTTTTCTTCTCTGACATAGAGAACAGAACAAGCTAGCAGTCATGTCATTCATAAAATAAAAATATTTCCCGCCGATCGAAATTTAGCACAATATTAAGTAAATTCAGTTTATTTTCAGCTATATTCACGGAAAAAATATTGGATTTAAAGGAACTAAAAATGGGGGTAAGTAATTTCATCATTACACAACTGATTTCTATTAGAATTTCCCTGCTATAATGCTTGACACCTTATTCATTTTAGTAGGTTACAAGTGTTTTTATTGCTGTTTACTTGTTTGATATTCTTCTATACCGTTAGACCACTATGAATACATATCATAATACGCCCAATAGTAATATTCATAACTATTGCAGAAAAAATCGGCATCTGCAAATAAAAGCAAGGAGAAGCGGCAAGCACGTAAGTTGGAACAACGCCGTATAGCCGATGGCATGAACTATGTGACTTCTGCCAACAAACTGACGGACATATCTGGTCTTTGCAAGGAGCTACTCGTGTACAGCAATAACGAATTGGAAGTCAGTATGTACATACAGAGGGTAACCGACCTGAAGAAAAATGTTCTGGAGTGGGCGATTGATCTTACTGAGAGAAATATGAAGAAATTGTAAGATTTAAATACTTACTAAACTTACTATATGTGTATAATTCAGGGATTCTATATGCAATGTATATGAAGTTAATATTTTTGAAACTATATTTTATTAACTACATTTCCTAGGTATTGTATAGAAGAACACCTAGGTATTGTATAGAATGACGGCTGTAGATTAGGCAAAGTATTAAATGAGCGGCAAAAAATCAAATTAGTTATTTCTGTTTGTGTTTCCGACCTGGTTTGACCCCCGCCTGTAGGTTAGGTTAGTATTTGAAAAAGCCAGAACCGAATTGGTTTGTGTTTCCGAAGTGGGTTTAAAATGATTATGGAAAAAGTTAAATATTTAATGCTGTACTTTAAACAAACAAAGAAAAACTAATTCATAATAATTGACCAATTGTCACTTAGCCTCGTTTTAGTTAGTGGACGGCAGAATAGACATTGCCTGATTGTTTTAGAATACCGGATTATATACATTGCCAGTAACATTTATGTATTCATATATATTTTTATCAAGTGTTCAATACTTTTAAAAGAAAGAATTTCATGCCTAATATTGAATTACCAATAACCTTTCAGGGTTATATGTTTACTTGAATGAGTACACCAGATCTGTGGAAATAAGTGTTAAAAGTTTTTGATGTGATGAATATTTTATACCTTGTGGTAACTACATTTTAATATAACAAGTTGACATAGATTGGACTCTTGCGTCGTTGAGGAATTGTAAAAAATGACAATAAACTTATGTCGAATATGAACAAGACACACTACCAATAAGAGGGAATTCATAATCAGCAATCTGTTGAATGCAACATACATACTGTACATATAATTGTTCATCCAAAAGTAAAGTCACCATTCATTCTAGATATGAAACATGTGCATGGGGCTGGAACCGTGAGCGCAAGGTAGAAGAAATGATGGATGACAATGCGTGGTATCTCATTGCGAAAGAGAAAACTGGTACTTTACTGGCCTTTTCACACTTCCGCTTTGACATGGACTTTGGACACCCTGTGTTATATTGGTAAGTTTTGTTTTCATTTGCCGTACATATGTGATTTGAATAGTACCAATCCTTTTGGCGGTTTAGGACCACAATGAGAAGAGACCACAATTAAAAAGTACCACTTCTGAAATTGACCATTTCTTGAATTGACCACTTCTTGAAATAATCATTTAATTTTTTAATTATAAATTGTTTTTTTTACTATTTTAGACCCTTTCGCCAATTTAAGACCATGCCCAGACACTTATCCACAACACATAGATACATTACTTGAATCATCGAGTACCTACCATTCAGCTTTAGCTACAGCCTAATTAGGCTGTGGCACTGGTTGTCAATGAGCCCTAAGCTGAAATGAGTGACAGATGTGTGTCATAAAATAAAATAAACTAGATGAGTGTGAGTGTGTGTATATGCGTGTGTTTGTGTGCGTGCGTGCGTGCGTGCGTGCGTGCGTGCGTATGTATGTATGTATATATGTATGTATATAGCAGGATAGATATCTACTGCTACTGTGCCTACCCAGTATGGAACTTCGTACGCCCATTAGAGGGCAACAATGGGTGAGGAGATGCACAGGAGTTTCATCGGCTTCATGGCACAATCTACATTCTCTGTTTTCTCTCTGCCCAATTTTGCACATATGGTTGTTCAAGCCACAGTGCCCTGTTAAGTCTCTAGTCAGCATTCCTGTCAAGTGACACAGCTTCCCTATAGTGTTTGGCACTGTAGGCAGCATTCAGGACCTTTAGAGTCCAGCTCCAGCCACACGCCTCATGAGACGTGCGTGCTCTCGTTCAGCAGAGTGAGCTTTGCTAGGCAGCCTCTATCCTTATAAAGGGCTCAGGACTAATGAAGACCTCACTAAACCAGCCTTTGCCAGTTCATCTGCTGCCTCATTAACCTCATGGTAAGAGTGTCCTGGAACCCAACGCTGGACCACATTATTCCTTTCTCCGAGAGTATTTCATACAGTTACACAGTTCTCTACAATCTTCGAAGTTTGGGTGACTGAGGATAGTACATGTAGAGCGACTTGACTATCTGAGTTTATGTAAATATACCTATTAACGTAGCTTCTCTTCAGGTTAAGATCCGCGCAAACAATTATGGCATATATTTCGGCCTGAAAGATAGAGGAGTGTCGTCCCATGTTCAGCTTGTTGCTGAGATTGGGTCTCACGCCGTGTATGCCACAGCCTACGTGGTGTCCCATCTTGGACCCATCGGTATACCAAAGAAGGCTACTGGTCTTCCAGGTGAGGTTGTTAGTTACAACTGCCTCCGTGGCCGAACGGTTACCATGCCGGACTGCCACGCAGAGGTCTCAGGTTCGATTCCCGGGCCGGGAGAAATAGTTGTATGGCCTACAATTATTTATCTCGTGAGTTTGGGTGTAATTTGTGGTTGTCTATGTGTGTGTCCATGGCACCCGCGACACAGGGTTTCCCTAGTGCGGGGCTATGTTGAATGTGTGCGTTATTTTAAAAAAAAAAGTTACCCAATCTTCCCTGATTGGAAATTCTTCTTGGTAGAGTTTCTTAAAGTTTGGCTTGGGAAGCATGACATCAGAAGTCTTTCCCAGAACAGGATGTTCTAGAATTGAGTCCTGAGCCGATGTCTGGGAGAGCCATATAGTCCTTAATCTGGTGGAGAGTCTGTACATACTGTTACCGACCTCCTTCTGTATGAATACATGAAGGGGAGTCATATACAGAGATGCATTTAGAGCCGCCCCAGGTGTAGTGGACATGGCTCCCGTAGCTAGCCGGCACACGATATGCTGTAGACTCCCCAATGCGGCAATAGTTCTTTGGCTGACTTTAGCACTCCAAACAACAGAGAAATATTTCAATAATAACCAGAGAGTCATCTTTGGTTTTAGACTCCAACGCAGTCCCGCCATACGGGTACAGATACCTAAGGCCATATTCGCCTTGTTGACCGTGTTAACTATATGGCAGTTCCACCTTAATGTTTCATCCAGGGTTACCCCTAGATATTTACTTCTGCAGACAAATCCACAGCCCTGCCACCAAGGATCGGTTACTTTAGTTTATCTAGTTTCCGCTTCCTAGTGAAGGGGACAATGGTTGTCTTTTCCGCATTAATAGATAATTTGTTATCTTGACACCACGCGGAAATGGTGTCAAGTGCATAAGTGATGATATAGTACTTTGGCAGTGCCCGCGAACTATGATTACTAGGTCAATCCCAGAGCGTCAATATTCACTTCGGCCAACCTATACAGGAGCTGATACACAGCAAGAGTCCATAAATTACTCCACTTTGCGGGCAGCCTCTTGCTGTGGAGGCCACAAGTCGGTCCCCGTGTAACGAGATACTGGCCCTGCGGCTTAAAAGCATGTTTTGCACCTATCTTGTAGTAGAAGTGTTTACACGTTTGCAGGTTGGTCCCTTCACCAGAGTACAAATGGGTGTATTGTGAAAAGTTATCTCAATGTCTAGAACACAGTGCTATTTGTTTGTCCTTAAACGCTCTTTCAACCCTCTCCACAAAGTGGAGCAGAGCTGTCTCTGTGGATTTTCCATTTTGATAGGCGTGTTGAGCGTGATGGATAGGACTGTGCATTACGGACGAAGCCCTAATGTGATTACCAAGTACCTTCTCCCTTGCCTTAAGCAAGAACGAGATTGGGCAGATAAACAACTTTACACGGTGTCCATTGTATCGGTATGTGTCCCCAAGCAAGACTGGCACTGTATATTTTAACTGGGTTTGGCAAGATCACGTCTATGCCTTGCTGCAGCAAGATGGGAGTAATACTGTCCTCACCTCGGGATTTATACGATTAAATGAGCTTATAGCCCAAGCCACTTGTCGGAGTCTCGTCATGTTGGCGGCTCTATTCTAGTCCTCGTTACAAGGGTTATGTACAGTAATTATTGGGTTAGTGTGCGAGTCGCACAAGGCCCCCGGAAAGTGGGTTTACATTAAAAGCTCAAGGGTTTCTGTCGTAGAAGTCGAGAAAGTCTCATCAGGCTTTTTTAACCTGCTTGATGGGAATTCGCTCCTTGTTACAGTTGATTAGGGCCTTCAGGTCTCCCATTCATTTGTTAGCTTGGCCCTATTGCAGAGTTCCAATTTTCTCTCTTAGCTTTCTCAGTTTGGCATTCCACTACGGATCCTTCCTATTGAAGGGCCAAATCTTCGGCGGGCAGCTTTCCTCAAAAGCACTAATGATACTCCTGGAGGTGACCTCAACAGCTAACACTAGACACATCATATGGCACATCACTATATAAAGAGTGTTTCATTTTTGTGACTTAATGTAACCAGTCTGGGAATATTATATGTTCTTAAAAACAATCTTATGAGACGCACTGTATTACTGCAACCAATAATTTGGTTTAATGTGGTCTCTACTGATTACGTCTTGAACCAATATTCACAGGCCTTAAGAACTATGGGCGTCTCAACAGGATGAAGAATGTGGCTGCCCAGGAGGGAGTTTAAAATAGTCCTCAGAGGGCAATGAGCATAGGGGATGGAGAGTTTGGTCCGCATTACGATAGAATCTTCAGTCTCTGATCTTGCTTGAGGTTAGACATCGGTTTGTTTAAACCAGTGTCTCATGCTTTGTCTGAAGGTTATTCCTGCTCCACAAACGGTACAGGCGCTGTACTGTTTGATGATGTAGGCATTAATCAGGGCTCGACTACAAAAACAACTATATTATATCTATTTGTAACATGCTACAGCATTAAAAATTACAAATTATGATTAATTCTAGCCATGGGCCAAGTTATATACAGTTAAAAAAAGGGAGGTGATCAGAGCTGATTTTTTTTTCATGAAATTCACTATTGCAAATGTATAATTGGATTATGTCCAGAAATTAACGTCTTTCGACAGAAATGGTGATGGTGGTGGATTGTGAACACCACTTCGAGCCAAACCACCATAGAATGAAAGTTTATAGAATTTTATAAAATCCAATTATTTTTATCTAATATGTCCATTCCTTCATTGTTCAAATAATGATTAAATTACAATTCAATAATCATTTTTATGTTCAACAAGACTCGTCTAACATTAATATTCATTACGATGATACTGATGAAGCAGAATGGATACATAAAAGCCAAACAGGTTTTTAAATACATTTTATTTTCATAAATATCTTACACACAATTATTTACACCTAAATTATTATAATACAAAGTTTTTGTTACCTACTAATTTTTGGCACTGGTCAATTCGTTTTCACTTTATACTTCCACAGAAGACAAAGGAATAGACTAACGTTTTTTCTAAATATTTTAGTCTCGAACACTAATTTTTTTTCGAAAGGCCACCATTTGATACATCTCGTACATAAATACCTAAATAACGTGTGTAGGATAAAGAGCGTCATTAACGTGATTGCTATACAAAGTATTACTACATCTAAAAGTAAATATTGGGGTAGTGGCAAGTCAAGAACTGGAGACCGCAGATGCGCAGCCCCTTTATGTCTTAACACGTACTCTATCCAATACACGCCCATATCTAGCGGAGACATTGGTCTATCAAGAAAGATATCTCGCAACTTCAAAGAGTTTTCTGTGTACCTGAAAGATAAATACAAAAATCTATGAACTCAATTATTTATCACACAACAAGGGTCATTAGGTTATCTTTGTAGAGGGTATTTGATAGTCTGTAAACTTTATTGTTAATTAACAGATAGAAGACATAATAACATTTTTATAAGCATACAAACTATAATAACAAATGAGTTGTTCGACATCCGAAAAGAGTAAACAGATGTTAATAGCCATAGGGAAAAAACATGCAACCTACTCTATTTCGTACATTACACCGAAGTGTCCTTGCTGTACAGCACTTTGGGAACTAAGTCTCATATATACATAACATTTAGGCTGTCTACGCAACAAGATTGTGCAGTATGCAGTAAATTAATCTGTAGAAAAAAAATTGCAAAATGTAGACTTACTTTGGATTTCTTAGTAAATCACTAAGAGTTTCGGTCCAGGATTCAACGGTGCTATCTCTTAGAATGATAGTGCGAGCGACCCCACGGTCACTCATGGCGTGGGCATTAAGTGCCTGGTCGGCGTATAATGGCACCACCAACATAGGCACCCCACACGCCACCGTCTCCTGCGTCCCCAAAAGACCACCGTGTGAAATAAATAGCTTCACATTCGGATGACCTGCAAAACGTAAACACAATTTATCTTAATATTAACTAGAGGTGGTCGTTATTACAACAGCAGATTACTTAATGAATTATTCTTACGAAATGTATTTAATAACTCATTATCGAACAACTGTCTGAACTGCTGCTATTATACTCATTCTGCTGTTGCGGTTGCGTCGCGCAAGCAAGCAAGTATGCAATAACCAATAGGCAGCAAGAGAGAAATGGCGCTAATCAAGTGATTGGACGATGCTATGATTTGCTTTCTCGTTTTATATTTTATTGTTACCTACTTATTATCGTATTGTTATTATAAGTCACATATTTGAAACTACGATTTTGTGCTTTATGCAATTGGAATAATGCCGATTTTAATATTCGATGTCGACAGGCAGTTGATATCAATCAATTTAAATACAACTGGTGCCGAAAACAGCCATTTTATTTTGGTTTATTGAGCTACATATAGCTTTATAACAGTAGCAGATTTGATTTTATTGCGTGAATCGCGGATAACCATCCATTATCCGCAATTGAATCGCGAATAGGTTACACAACAGTGTTGACGTTGTGTTCCCTGGGTCATTGAGTCGAAAATTACAAAACTTACTATTTTGTCTGCAACTTTTATTACAGGTTTGTTTTTGATTAAAAATTCTAACTGTAAAATATATTATATACGCCTAAATCCTACTAATAAGTAAAGTTAGTACGCTCAAGAAAAATCAAGCTATAACCAGTAATTTATTGATTTAATTTTGTTTGCACCATATCTAAGTTATTTTTTGTCTAATTTGGGTGCGTTCGTAAACAATTTAGATTTACCATAACAAATATAGTTGGATTGCCTCAAAATTTTCAAAAATTTTCGAAAATTTCGTAGCAACAAAAATTACTTACGTATTACGCGAGAAATCAAAAGTTACGAAAAATGTAAAAAAAAACCAGCAGAATAACAGGTTTTCTGATAACATTTACAATAAGTTGTCAAGTAGCATAACACTCTATTTAATTAATGACAAACAGCTGCTTTCGCCATGTGAAATTAAAATTATTCAATAAAATGATGAATATCAATTAGAGCAACTGGCACAAAAATACTTTACAACAAAAAACTTTTGTTAAATATCGACATTACGTTAAAATTACAATAACGTGTAAGCCATCGCATTTTAATGCTCGTTGTCTGTAACTAATTCCTATACTTACAAAGGGTAGCATATTGTGGTATCCACTCCATGGTATAAACGTTGTCAGGGACGGTGATATTTCTTGAAAGCAATCCCCTGTTCATCTTGATAAGCACAATCTCGGAAAACCGCGATAGTGCCTCGAAAATGTTCACAAGAGTCTCGCTAGGGATTGTTTCGATACGGGACATAGATCCGAAGCTCCAGTAGATCACTCCTTCGTTAGACGCGTCCAAAAGCGCTTTGAGATCCTGATGTAATAATACAATTTTTGTATACATAAACGATAATAAAGATATGTCTTACATAATAAAATAAAAGAAATGTCTTATCTTTTGAAATTGAGGTAAAGGAACTTCTAGTTACATAGTTCAAAGTTTATTCAATTAGCCACGCGCTATCGGAAATAAAAATGCGATTTCTTATATTGCAAACAAGTAGGCCGTCATTTGTTTACATTGAACAAACCTTTGATCAGGATTCGAGATAGTTTCTCGTAATTCGGCAATTACGATTTGATTCATTTGACATTATCGCGCGTGTCAGAGGGCCCGGGGTCCTGAGTCCCGTTACAACTAATAAGTAGGTTAACTGCCTAATATTATTTGCACGCCGTCTGAGATAATCGCTCAGTCAAAACTACTCCACTGTGCGGCCGGTGAAATTATTTTTTTTTTTAATTTATTTATTTAAACACTTTATTGTACCACAAAGTAAATTACAAATTTTCAGAAACAATATAAATAATTGTTTACAAAGGCGAGCTTATCCCCTACAGAGATTTCTTCCAACTAACCTTTGAAAATCTCAGAGGAAAGTTGGTTTTTGGGGTGGCACCAAAAATAGATAAATAAAGAAATGGAATATGCTATACTCAATAAATACACAGATAAATTTATTACATCAAATGTACGTACGAATACATATATATTACGTAATGTTGATACATTAATACATACAAAAACTATTATAAAATTAATGCATAAAATAAAAGTATAAATAAATATATCAAATGTTAATAAACATTTTCATAAGCTCTAACATGTGGAGTCTGAACAATCCCAAAACTTCAAAAGAGCACCCTTGAAACCCCGGACCGAAGGTGACTATCTGACCTCGACCGGGAGAAGGTTCCACATACGGGCAGCATTTGCTGTGAACGAGTACGTATATTTTTTTGGGAACTGTGTTGTGGAAAGACGAGGGACAAATTGGTGCTAGAACGCAGGTGGTCACCCATAGTATGACGGTATTGAAAACGCTCACGTAGATGGCTAGGTGAAGTGGGATGGAACAGGATTTTATAGAGGAAGCATAAAATGTGAGCATTTCTACGTAAACGAATAGGCAACAACTTCAACTCATCTCTAAACTTGGAAATATGGTCGTACTTTTTCAATCCAAACACAAATCTGATACATTGATTTTGTAGTCGCTCCAATTTATTAAGAAGGTCCTCCGAAAGATCAAGATAAGCGACGTCATCATAGTCCAGAAGAGGAAAAAGAAGAGTGCGTATGAGCATAAATTTGGTAAACAGAGGAAGAAAGTACTGCAGCCGCTTGAGGGAATGAAGTAATGCAAAGATTTTACGACTTACATTAGCGATATGCTTCGACCAAAAAAGTGTCTGATCCATTATGATGCCCAAATTTTTAACTGAAGTGGAAAAAGGAATTATGTCATTAATAAAACAACTTTAGGGACGCTGCGCTGGTAGGATTAATCGAAATCAAGAACTTCTTCTGTCACATTGCGGCGTAAAAAGAAAATTCCATAGAAAATGTTCATACTTGACGAAAATATATAGCACAGCAGATTTTTATTTCATTTCTCTTGAGTAGTTCCTATAGTAAAAGTTTGTTAATGAGTACCATTGTACACGTCGCGCGGCGGCGCACAGTGGGCCCAAATTGATAATCCTTAGACATAGGAATAACTTGTGGAGTATTGAGCGAATTTTCTTTTATGTGATAGATAATAACATTCTTAACAACTTTTAATCTTGTATAATTTCTTGAAAAGTTGATAGTTTCGGAGAACAAAATAATAATTATTTTATTTTTATCTCAAAATATACGAAAATGTTCCATTCCTGCTAACTTTTATTCTTATGTAATTTCTTGAAAAGTTTTGAAAAATTTCTTGAATAATTTTTAGATCTTTTTGTTTCGAGAAATAAACATTTTAATTTTTATCTCGAAATGTAGGAAAATGTAATGTGTGTGGTTTATTTACAGTATAGGTCCAATTATTCTCTATCAAGAAAAAAATAAACCATCTGCAAGTACTTGCGACGTTATGAGTAAAAAGGTGGCAAAATTGTACATTTGTTATTTATTTTTTAACACAATATACTAGTTTCTGCTTAACTTTCGTGTTATTGTTATAACATTCTCTAAATTGCACTCATATTTATTTTTCTTTAGTCGTAAATAAACGTAAAATTACATAAAAAAGTTAGCAATTTTGCCGGACCTTTACTTACAAAGACGCAAGTACATGCAGACGGATTATTGTTTCCTTCTTTCTTTTCTACATAGAGAAAGATTAGACTATACTGGAAGTAATCCACGCACATTACATTTTCGTATATATTCGAGATAAAAGATAAAATGTATATTTATCCATACAAATTTATTTTTTTCTCCGAAGCTATCAATTTTTTAAGAAATTATACAAGAATAAAAGTTGTTAGGAATGTTATTATCTATCACATAAAAAAAAATTACCTCGATACTCCACAAGTTATTCCTATGTCCAAGAATTATCAATTTGGTCCCACTGTGCGGCGGGCGCGCACACATACAAGCCGCGTGACGACGTTTGTATGGAGTTACCATACTTGTGTTATTATATTAAGTGAGTACTATCTACATTATAGGGTATGATGTGATTTAAATATCATTCTGCATAATTATGTAATTAACAATGAAGCATCATAAATTTGCCAGACAATTACATCAATTATCTCAATCTGGGAAATTCCCCGTAATCGTAATAGATACCACAAATTAATGTCAAACTAAAAATCGCACCTAGAATACTCAGATCATAATCAATTTAACGTAAAAATAACGTCTGCTAAATCAAGTCAACTAAGCATTTCTCACCAGGCACCTCAAACGTTCTCCCAAGTAAGCTGTCACCGAAAAAAGTTACTTCCTGTTAAAGCGCGTGCCAAATTGAACACAAAATGCATGCAGGTCTAATTCACCACGTGGTACGTACTCGTACATTGTAAATTCGACCGATAAACGAAAACATTATAAATTATGTTCCAATTTACACGTGCCGTAATGTCTATAACGATATCTCTTTGGGTCCCTGATTTAATCATATGTATCAAATTTAATTATTGATTTATTGCTTAATGGCATTCGTTTTATACTGTTAGTCGTACCGTATTTCCTTCCAGTTGTAAATTACGTATGTCAAAGACATGGTCGGGGTGTCCCACTATGTGTAAGATATGCACAATGCATTCCGCATAGCGCTACGAGAATTGATAACGTTATCATCATTGTTTGTTACACTTTTCATAAAAAGGGACATCAATCACAGTAAATGAGATGGTATTGTTAATCAAAGACAATGGAAACTTTACGTAAATTAACCATTATAATGATGACCACATTTTATTATCTGTTCTGAAAACAGGGAAAACACTACCTATCTATTGCGAAAATTCAGTGCATACTAATCTACGATGTTACATGATTACATGTTTAACTGCCTCCGTGGCCGAACGGTTGCCATGCCGGACTTACACGCAGAGGTCCCAGGATCGATTCCCGGGCTGGGAGAAATATTTGTATGGCCTACAATTATTTCTCTCGTGAGTTTGGGTGTAATTTGTGGTTGTCTATGTGTATGTCCATGGCACCGGCAACACAGGGTTTCCCTAGTGCGGGGCTATGTTGAATGTTTGCGTTACTTTACTTTACATAGGCTATCATGATAAACAAAATATAGGCTTTATTCAATGTTATAAGTCATAACGTTTCGTACATGCAGAGGTTGGAACGTCTATACGAAAGTCTCTGGTAGTTGCATCGCTGCTTAAAATCGTGACCTATGAGGGCATAACAAGTGAACTTACGTACTGTCCCCACCAATTCTTGTCTATGGCTAAGTTCGCCGCGCGGAATAAGTGGAATGTTGATTTTACTTTGACCTAGTCTGTTGGCGTTTGACCTAGGTAGACACGAGTAACGTATAAGTAACTTAACTTACTTTTTGCAATTTCTGTGACTCATCCAAATGAAGTCCACCGACTTCCACTAAAGCAGGCACTAAAGGTCGAACTTCGTTGATGCTGAAGTGACTATTGGATAACACCAAACTGTAGTTTTGGGCTAGTGTTTCCAGTTTTAGACCGGGACCAAACATACGATCTGCTATTGCCTGAAATATAATTAATTGTTGTAGATACGTTATATACTTATTCTGAAATATCTCTACTTTCGTTTGCAATTCCTACCTGGGATGGAATTTGTGACATGTATTTATATAATATCTTCGACCAAATAACAGCAATTGTATTGGAAAATCGTTCCCAGAGATTCATTCGTTGTCCATAACCCATCATATAGGCTGGTACATAAGAAGTTGCCTCTGGGTTGCCAAGTTGTTCGTTCACCCATGGTAAGGGAACACTTGAGAGCAACCCTACTACAGGAGCTTTGAACCTTTGACCGAGCGGCAAAAAGCATTCACTTCCGAACACTTCTACTATAACCATGTCAAAGGTTACTGAGGAATTAAGCAGAGCCTTTACAGAGGGCAGTCTTGAAACGGTTTCACACGCATGAACGCATTCTTTCATAATTTCTTCCAAGTTCCGGACAAAATCTGGTTTCAACGAATGGTAATGTCGTTTAGTGAGATTGTTGGTGATTTCCGGTATTGTTCCAGCAAGACTTATTTCCTCTACATTGGGCGGCGGATTTTTCTGTAAATAAGATAAATAATTTAATTTAGTGTAACACGTGTAACATCATCCTATTATATGTATCGTGTTTTGTTTTGTTGCCGAACGCTAATATAAATCACGTGATCAGACATGGGTAATCTAATGATTTCATTTCTTTCGCCTTTCATTGTTGAATTTAAACTAATGTTTATAAAATCAATGCTAATGTTTCATGCTTTGTCAAAGCGTTGTTAAATATTTTGGGGACAACGGGACTCGAATCTTAAAGACTATCCCGCTCACAGCGGGACGTCAGGTCAGGGTATGCATAGATCAGACACGAGATGAATAAACAAACTTTTTGATATATGATATGATAACTTTAAAATGTAGCATCAGAAAGTGCATAAATATTAATTTGATGTGCAAACAGCGGGCCAAACCACGCGTGCCGTCTGATAACACCAGTGGACAACCATCAGACGTGGGGTGAAGGGGCACTTACGATACTACTTCTGATTGATAGTACAGCGCAGCTGATGCTTGGAAAATGGAACAATGTGTAAAGAAATTTTATAAATGCAATTCGTTTACTTTTATTTGATGAAACTCTATTCTTACTTTTATATTCATCGACCTTGCAGGCGACGCTTTAGACCGTTAGTGCACTACACCCAGTGCTGGATAGTTTTTGAATTACTTGTATTTAAAATACTATTACGTACTTTGTATTTCAATTACCGCGTAAAATGTATTTTGTAAATGGTATTTCAAGATATTTGAAACACCAGTTGCAATACATCTTACGTGGTACCTAATGTATTTTGTAGTTGATATTTCAACTAATTATTTCCGTAGTATTTAAGTATTGTATTTTAAATGCACTCCGTTAAAGATTTTTTGTATTTCGTATTTTAAATACATTTACATTTCAAGTACACAAGTATAAGAAACTATTTTGTAATTTATATATTTTTTTAATTAAAACATGCATGTAAGCATGTATTTTGCGCAGCCCTCTTGCGTCGACATAGGTTAGGTGTCCGCAACCTTGTTCCGGGGCATCTCCGTGTAGGTCGCCCCCCATGATTAAGGGGGCGATGGTGTAGGGGTCCGCCCAAAGGCGGACCAGCACCACCGGAGTCGCGGTAGCATCTGAAAGGGACCCCGCGGCTCCGGCGCCAGGTGCGCGCAGGAACATCGTGAGGTTTTTAGTGGGTATGCTCTTGGGGATCGACATAGTCCTCAGGAGAGAGTCCCACATATCCCCGCCGTCTCCCAGCGGCGGGGAATGCGTAACGCATTTTCCTCACGATAATAAAAAAAAAAAAGGTGTCCGCAACCTAACCTATATCGGCCGCAAGACGTCGCCTCTGGAAGCGTATCGGAAAGAACACAAACTGGTATACGAAGTATAGATTTCTGTTTCGGCCCGATAAATATTATCGGATCGGAATAATAATAATAATGTGTCAGGCACACAGTTGTCAGCGACCACACCAGTTGCCTGGTCTCAAACTAGGAAATTCCCTGTACTATGAGTACCACAGCAACGGAATTCACTATGGGGCACATCCCAGAACATCCAGACCAGAGCCTATTAGAAAAAGGCATTTGCCAATTTGGTCCTCCTTGTTCAGCGCACATAGTATAAACCTTTGGGCAATCGAGGACGTCAGTAGTGTACAAATGAACTTAAGTAAAACCTCGAGAGAAAATTATATTTAATACAGTGAGCGTAGCTTGTTGGAATTCGTGGAGAGCACTCGCGACTACAATCATGGGAGCTTTATTTTGAAATTTCTACATGTTCTGATCAACCTTGTGAGAGGTGTTGAAGCCAAAATTATATTGCGTCTATTTTATTTAAGTACATGTTGTAGCAGTACGTTTCACGAGGAATTTATGGAAGTACGAGCAGAAGACGAACAGATAGTACAATTCACAAAATGTTTGATGAAACTATGCAATGTAAAGTAAATAAAATAAACTTTAATTTTTTTTAACAACTCACTGACACAACTGTTATTTTGGTAGCCCATAGTAACCACACTTTTGTTTAAATTTGTAACATAAATGTCTGATTTAATTCATATAATTCTTTCTCAACCACGTAAAAGGTTTGAGCAAGTATGAAGTAAACTCGAAACTTTTATAAACTATTATAATATTTTTAAAAAACGTTAATTGAAACGTAACTTATATTAATATTTGTTTAACCACTGGTAACAGTGGTCAAACTTTCGTTGCGTTGTGAAATAAAAGGAGAAATGAAAAGTAATTGGATGCTATTTTGGGATTTAATAATATTGTTATGAATAGAATTTCATCTAGTCGATTATATTGAAGACAATATCTTGAGTGAACACTTTTAAAAAGTTTACCTTGCATTATATTTACTAGCATTGCAAACGATGGCAAACGGTGATAAACGCGATAAAATCGATTTAATAAGTGTTTGCTAGGAATTTCATCCCGGGAATCTCGATCTCGAAAATGTCGAGTCTGGCCATTTTTTCTTTAGTTAATAGCTTGAATTGTCATGAAACGCATACCTTAATTTCATATCTATTATCATTATCAACGATAGAATTACATCAAGAAGTGACGACTTTCTGCAAATTATTATTAAATTATTATTATTTAAATGTACATAGGAAATTATCACAGTCAGTTTTTTATATCAAAGATTTATGGGCATAGCGTCTTCACAAACGACTTAATCCCCATACTGGATAAATCTTCTTTTTTAAAATATATAATGATACTTAACTAGAACTAATCCAGTTAATGGCGAACAATTGACATATGTTAATGCATTGTAACCATTGACTTACAATTATATTGTTACACAAATCATTATAAGCACTTATGTAATTTCCTGTAAATACTATCCACGTGATATGCACATTTCACTGGTGACATATAAATCTGTTTTAAAACAATGAAACTAAAATTCGAATCCAACCGGATCTAAGGATTTTTTTTTTGTGTTCCATCTTTGTATTAATAATTATAATTATAACAAACTACTAGAGTAATTTCACAAAAACTATTTTTTTTTATAATACCAAGTGATGGCACGAACAAGTCGTGTGCCTGGTGGTAATCGACACAGTCTGTCTATAACAGTTGCAGTGCCACTCAGTGCTTTAAATCACAAAGGTCTGAAGAGCAGAGATAAGTAAGGTGGCAGTGCTTCCATGGACGTACTTCTTTCACAAGGAGCTTTTACTGCTACTAAAATATAGCATGTTAGTAAATATCATGGTGTAAAACATTGTGATATTCAATAACTCCATATTAGGTAGCTATAAAGGTACCTGGCTGAGTGAAGAAAAACTTTCGTAGATTTGTCATATATGGCCGCAAAAAAATCGCTAAAAAGCAAAAACAACGATCTGCAACAATTACAACGTACAACGATTCTCCAAAGCAACAGTAGCCACGTGTCCAGTTTTATTAAAAAAAGAAGCAATCATCCGCTTAGAGACACTTTGAGCGATGGATCGTATCTATAAAACTATGTTTCGTCACCTGTTACTATGTCCCACACCCAATTTGACGCCCTTTCGTTTAATCTGGGAGTCTACTTTCGATCTCCGTCCGATATCCGTCCGAAACAATTACTGCCAAATAAGCAATACTTGACCAAATCAAAAGACGCGTGATGCGAAAGAAGCTTCATACTTGATACTTGTCTTTTAATTTTGTCGAATATTACTTATTTGACAGTAATTGTTTCGGACGGATGTCGGACGGAGATCGAGAGTAGACCCCCAGGTAAACAATTGCAACAAGTGACGCCATTCGTTTTTTGAGCCTCAGTCAAATTGTGTGGAATCCACCGAGAAGACCCAAATGTTTGTGTAGTATTGATTGTATTTGACTCATGCCTATGCCTCAAGTCTATCAAGATGCTCGATCTCATGGTATGTCACATGCCTGTCTGTTTTGATCATACGGCGCACAGCATTGATGTTTTTGTTGTTCACAGCAGTGGACGGGCGACTATCACGAAATTCGTCACTGAGATTCACACGACCGCGTTTGAATTCTGCAAATTAACTATAAATAGTTGTCTTGCATGGTGCTTCATCTCCAAAAGCAGTTTAAAGCCGAGTGAAGCTCCACCGAGCTGTTAAATTACACTTAAAGTCGTGGAAAATCATACTACGAAAGTTTTCAGGAGTTAAATCCATGGTGATATAGATAACCAATTTCTAAAATGACGCCACAATGTAAAAACAAATGATAGTCCGGTGAAACAAACTGTATTCTACAGCCAAAGAGTTCCATTTTCAAATGTTATAATTACTTTTTAAATATTGTTTATGTAAGTGGCCAGTTCCGGAAACTTATAGTGCGCGCTAAGTACTTCGGTCCAGTTTGGACTATGGTTCCCAATCTATCATAGTATATGGTTATGGACAAGAACACAAAATTCTTGAAATAGGCAATATTATATCTATTTGAATTGAAAACGAATTTGAATACCTTCATTAGTGCGTTTTTAATTATATTTTGAGTTATTGATTCATAATATAATTTTAAAACGCTCAAAAAATAGACAAGTACACAAAACTACTATTTTTAGAGACAATGTTATTTCATTGAAAGCCAAAGGCGTTCAAAAGTGTACGTACGATTAAGTAATCGTCGAACTTGGAAAGATCAATCCACAATATAAACATACTCGAGACTGTCTTAAAATTAATTTGATTGTTTGTGTTTTTTAATTTATTTGTAATATTACAATATATTGCATTAAATTGGATAAGGGGTCGCACAGATAAAACTAATTAATTATTCAAACTTTAAACAAAACCAAAACTGATAAAAATATTGGCTCCTCAATTTTGTATAGGGAGACGGGGGCAGAGAGACAATTTTTTTCTGCGAATTTATAAACATTTTTTGCAATGACTAATTTGCAATATGGTCTCACTTTTTTAAGATTTGATTTATAATTTGTAGAAGAAGATAGAGGCAAGTAGATAGAGTGTAGTGATTAATTACGTCATCGATATTTGCGAACT